AGGTTTGTTTTGTTTTTTGTCTTAACGAGGCTTTCTTTGTTTTGTTTTAGTTATTTCTGAAGACTTTTGTTAACCATTTGTTTTGGGTCTTGTGGCTCAGTTGTAATCACAATCGGGTCACAGCCGAAAGGTTCCGGATTTTATTCCTGCGGCAGCAATTGCCTTTCACCCGATGCCTCTGTTTACCTAGCAGTAAATAGGTACCACAGGAGTACGTCAATTATTGTGGATTGCATCCTGGGAAATTTTAGTAATTGGCCAAGTGGGACCTCGATAACCCTAACAGGTTTTCTGTTCGAGTTTGGGAAACTATTCTCGGCTTTATTTGCTGTAGCCTCTTTATTTATTCGTTTATTTATTTTGTTGGCAGAGGCTGAGGGAAGGGACTATCAGGGGACAGCGTCAAAGAAAAGGAAGCAGATGTTTGAGAAAATGGAAAGGTGAACAGTGAAAAGAAAGAGAAGGCAGAGAAAGTAGGAAGAGTTAAATAAGAAGGGTGAGGCAATATTATATTGCGGTTATAATCAGGTGAGACAATAGATTAGAACTTCGAAGGAGAATAATGAGACAAGGTAAGGAAATTATTAAATCAGCGTGGATAAAGATGATTCAACGTTACTCGAACATGTTCGTCATTGGGAAATTATGTTAACAAAATTCTGAACATGAGCTGTTAGAACTTGTAACTAAAACTTAAAAATAAATATTTCGCTTATCGTTTTATCTTTATCAGGATGTGGGCACCAAGAAGCTCCTTCCAGCGCGAACAGCAAATGTGATTTAACGAATCAGCATACAGCTCCTCCAATCAACGCAATGCAACTGTGATCTTGACAATCAGCATAAAGCTTGCAGGGAAGGTGACTTTGCCCGTCGTTGTCAATGAGGATCAAGTCAAGAGGAAACCAAGAACAGGGAGCCTCGCGGAGCTGAAGCCAAAATAACGAGGTCTTAGTCGCCCGCCGACTAAGTATTAGTCGGCGGGCGGCCAATCAGGGCGCATGATGCTAATGGAAGGGGGAACGTTAACATAATACAAGCGTGAAATTTAATTTTAGTGGAAAGTACAGTACTCTAAAGAGTACTCTGAAAACTTCATAAGTGAATAACTCTCGTTTTGATTCCAAACAGTACTCTGGAAATTTGCACTTCTCATCTAAATATATATTTTAAGATTTAAAAACATGATTGATGTTTTAACCAAATCAATATATGTTGAACAAAATAATTTTTAAACATTTATTTTGCGTTTCAAAGGCCCAAATCAAGCTCTATTTTGATATCTGTGATTCATTGTTGTTAGCAGCCTATCCTGAAAACATTGACCAAATGCTCGTTAATGTTTCAATAACACTTCTTCACCTTCGAACACAAGTTGTGGACTCTAAGCACACTTCTCTAAATGCTAGATTACCGAGCATTTAAGCAAGACTATCCAACGCAGAAGACACGAGGCTGCACATTGACGTAACAATTACGTGATATATATGAGCTAATAGACATCCGGGATTGACCCGGCGCCACCACCACCACCACAGCCTTACATCGTTATCCTTGGGTAATGTGTCTGAATTGTCCCTGAGCCCATTATGTGCCTCTGTAACCCTTTCCACTACTGCCCACAAGATGGGTATGGAGTGCATAATAAATGAGCTAAACTAACGTTGGTTTTATGCCACAGATGTTCTCATATATGTGGCTAGGCTGTATTTTACGAACTCCACAAACTGCAAACTTACTTCACTGTATCTCCATCCATCAAGAATAGACTATCAAACGAGAGTTGCCACAAGTGACAAACCTGACTGATGTTCCCTTTGCACCAACACTATTTTCACTCACTTCAACCATTCAACAGCTTGCAACAGAATGGTAGACGACTCAAAATGACATTCAATAAATGTAAAGTTTAGATATTATACAGGCGAAGCCACGTACGCTCTCTACGGGTAAATTTAAAAATAAAAATAATTAGTAGTAAATAAAAAAAAAAATTGGTGGTTTCCTATCCAGTGGTTGAGTGTAGGCAGTGAGAGATGCGCCCAAGGGCAGCTACCTCGTATGTCATAAACATGGCTCCCGGTGGCGCAGCCTGCCGCCCGTCGCAGTTTCATTATCTATACTAAATTTCCAGCAACATTTCTTGTTTATATCGCTAAGTGAGATATTTCCACATATATATTCTGGGAGTCGCTCCAGCATCTGTCTTGAAGGATGCTTTATGGGTCAGTTAAGTTGGTGTGTGCTGGCAAGTGCACATTGGTAGCGAGTCTGTGCACTTGGTGCGCTTCTCAAGAAGTTGCAAACAAATCTTCCCAACAAATGTACCATAGGAAACTACGTGAACCATCGCAGACATAACAGACGAGCTTCTAAATCTAGGTTTAAATTATGGGAGTTATGAGAAAGATAGACTATTCCGGGTACCCCTCCTAGCATATATATGAGGGAGAATGTTTGTTTTGTGCAAGGGTTAATTGTTAATTTATAGGGAATGGTATATGGCGGTCGTCAGTTACCCCATGCCTGTCCTTAAGTAGGATTGGGAGGAGAGAGATGGAGATATAATGGGAGGGAGGGAAATGAGACAGGGAGGGAGAATGGAAGGAAGAGAGGGAAACTGTGAGGCAAGGAATGGGAGATAGAGAAGAATGGAAGTAATTATCAAAAGAAGACACCAAACCGGGAAGGCTATGTAGCACCATCAGATGTGCGGGATAATCAGAGGGCGCTAAATATCACCAAGGATGCCAATACGAGAACAGAAACGCATAAGGCGAACGATATCAAAAGTATCCAAGTCACCAAGAATACCATCGAGGGACAAGCGACCGCGGGGGACGGTCGGGAAACAAGACACACGCTCGTCCCGGAAGTCAGGACATTCAACAAGGATATGCACGACCGTAAGAGGGACAATGCAATTAGGACAATAAGGAGCAGGGCGGCGCTCCATCAAGTGACCATGAGTTAACCGAGTATGGCCAATACGCAACCTCGCCAGAGCCGTTTCCCATCGCCGGTTACAGTGGTAGGAGGACGCCACGAGGACACACAACTCTTAAGAGTACGCAGTGTTTTTTTTACCAGTAACAGACGACCAACGAGCCTGCCAACGGGTAAGGATGGAGGAATGGATAACCGGGTAAAAGTCGGAATAAGGAATACCTTTACAGGAGATGGGACAAGAGCGGACAGCTTCCCTGGTGGCAGCATCCGCACGCTCATTTAAAGGGACAGAGAAGAATGGAAGACATGGAGAAAGAATGGGTGTGGGGGTGGGGGAACGAACCCTCAAGTACATGGTAATTACAAGATACAGGCTCGGTCATGCATACCTTTTAAGTTGGTGGCAGGGCTTGTAACTTCCCAAGATACCTTGGTGCTTATTTCAAATACAAATTATGGGGTTCAGTCCCTGAGCCCATTATGTGCCTCTGTAACCCTTTCCACTACCGCCCACAACATGGGTATGGGGTGCATAATAAATGAACTAAACTATTCCAATGATGCCACTGACCTCTCTAGAGCTGGCAATTACATCAGCCCAAGCTGTATCTTCAAGCAGACCAGCTGACGACTCCCAGCTTGACCACTACTTCCTCGGGTAACTAGTTTCTCAACCTGTGAATTAGGGCACGCCACTTCCCCGAATCTGGCGAAATTTGACCGTTGACCCTTAAAGAAACTCTCAACGTCTGATTCTCATGACCTCTCGTGTCTCAGTGACTCCCGCGGGCGTCCACTTGATGATTTCTAATTTCCACAACCCGGATTGGCCGCCCAAATGACGTCATCCATCATCTCGTTTCTGATTGGGACAGGCGCGCCCCCCTGCTTTCAGCTGATGACGTCATCCGATAACTAGCTCTCCACATGTCAGTTGCTTAATTTAGAAATTGTATTTGTGGTCGATCTCGAACCCATTGTTGATATAACGACTTATATTGAATTTTGTAACTAGCTCATCAAGATTGTAACTTGCTTAGCTAAATGAACTGTGGGGTTCAGTCCCTGAGCCCATTATATGCCTCTGTAACACTTTCCACTACCGCCCACAAGATGGGTATGGGGTGCATAGTAAATGAATTAAACTAACCGATAATGGCGCCAAGATCGCCGTAAATTTTCTAGAACATTCTAGAAAATTATGTTCTCACCTCCCCGTGCGCCCAAGCATAGGACTGACATAAAATATGAATAAGTTTGGGTGGAAAATTTTTAAAGGGAACCCAGTTTCCCTTTTAAGAGATATCAGTCAGTTACAGCCTGGCTCCTGTGCCAGGTAAGTCCACTACGGGCACAAATTGGTCTCCTCTTGCTCTCAGCACTTACTTCATTTGCAGATTACCCATATTTCTAACACTTATTGCAGAGGCATGGATAGGCAATGTATTCCTGAATGGAGCATCTGACACCAGCAGGAATTAAGGAAGGATGAAGGGTCCTACCATTAATGATCTCAACAATGACATCCATGAGGAGGGGTTGAGTGAATGTGTCATCTTCGAGGATAGAATAACCTCCGACCTCAAGGATATATTTAATATTATCATGGCAGTCTTTAAGTTCCCTGCTCCCAGTTTCAACATGGTATGGGAGAATGACTGGCATGAGAATGGAATTTAATTGGAGACCCAAACTGGGGTCTCACTAGTTGCCAGACAATTGGCTGTCTCTTTCAAAGAGGGGAAATCCTACTGCAGTGTACATCTTTCCACACTGGTGCAAAAACCTCTTTCTCCTTCTCGCCCCCGCGTGGATACCCAACCAACTCCAAGGGCGACCCCTCACGAGTGACCCTCCCCCTCCAATGGGTGGTTCAACGATCCGAATGAGTATCCCACATTTGTCTCCTTCACTTACACAATGCCTGGAGAGGGGCAAGAGTGGGGGCTGAGGCAACCCCCCTTACCAGCCTCAGGGACTCTTACATAAACCACCTCTCACCACACAAGGGCAGAAATTTGAGGTAGTATTGAAGGAAAATAAAACAAAAGTGATTTTTTGTTTCTTAAATATTTCTCAATATGCTGATTTTGTTTTTCCAGTTTCAGAGATAGGCATATTGAGGTCAACTTAGGCCAACAACTGACCTTTCCCAAGCTCCAACTCACAATAGTCACTGAACTTCTTGAAGCATATTTTTATGCTAGGTGAACAAAGGCATCAGGTATAGGGACAGTATCCAAATGTCTCACCCTGCACAGAAATCAAACGCTAGTCAATGTGGTTGTAAGACCACTGCACTAATCACCTGTGTTACAAACCCAAGACCCCAACTCATTTATGTACTGTAATTGCAATTATGGGAAATATGATTCAGAGAACTGAAAACACAACTTACAAACAGTTTTTAGTAAAGCATTTTTGTAAAGTGGGGTCTACTGATGTGGCTTTTACATGATCACTTGTTAAACATCAATTTTTTTACCTGCCTTGATCTAAGTACATGTTTAATATTTAGACCTTAAAAACATTAAAATAAATCGTGAAGTAAGTTCAGCTAAAGCAGGTAATGTGTATATGATTTTGTTTATGCTGCTATCATCATTTATGGTAGTTAATAATGACCCATGGGTAACAATGCTATTGCATAATGACCTATGGGTACTGTACTATTTATATACAAAGCAATGTAATATAACAGAATCTGGACATCTAACATTAATATACCATGACAACATTCATATACAGCTTCAAAAATAAAGAAAGAAGTGTACATTAGATTCAAAAACAAACTTTTGATCACACATTACTACTACTGTAGTATTCACTTAAATTTTTGTGTTTCACAATTCAGTAGCCGATATTGCTGAATATCGCATATAGTAATGTGAATCAAAATCAAAACCCACAAATATATTTTCTTACGTTAATAAAACATCAACAAAGATCTTAGAGAAAGACTCTAGATGATTAAAGTAGACAAGATTCAAGGCATATCAAACATTTAAGTAAATCTATTCATTGTATGCAAAGTGAAAAAGAACAACAGATAACATGTTCTCTACTACATAAAACAAAATATATTATGCATTTTTAAATACAAAATAAATATGAACTTCTTAGTAAAATGCAATAAACACTTTCTAACAAAATATATTTAACTTTTAAACTACTTATTAAATATATATTTTATTGTATAGCCTAATACTATACCAAGGGTCTATCACTGGAGAAGTTTCTTGAGATGTTGACGAGTATATTCCCAGATGAAGAGAGCACCAGACACATGTACATTGAGGGACCGAATGATGCCACTTTGCGGAATTTCGACACACACTTCAAGCAATTGAAGCAGTTCACAGGGAATTCCTTCTCTTTCGTTCCTATAAAATAAATCACACAAAGAAATATTTGTCACAGAGGGAAAGCGACACATGGAAAATAAGAGACATGCCAACACTATGTACCAATTTTTACATACATATCCATAAAAAAGTGGTGGTGTGTGATTATTGATGAAATTGTTCAAGGAAAAGGCATTTCACAACATAAGTTTATAGAAAAAGAACTATCACTGCTCTAATTTTCCTAGCTATTCTTAGTAATCTATGAACTATTCTCAGCTCATTGATTATTCTAATGTAAATCCACAGATTTATGTCAAATTTATTTTACTGTACTACTTCAACAAATATTTCTTACTGTTGCTAATTTTTAATCATTTGTATCCCCCAAAGATTTGTGTTACATTATACATGACATGGCAAACTCACCCTAACACAACAACTGTCCTCTCTGGAAAACTGTACTCGGACAGTTTGATGCTGTTGGCAGTTTGCTCGGCTGCTACCAGAGTGTAACCTTCACTTTGAAGGGTTCTCAGATATTCTGCAAGACCTTCAGGTTTTACCTGAAGAGCAAAAAACCTAAAGTAAAGACCAAGTTATACATACAAGAGATCCCCATTATATGAACACCTGTTCAAGTGTTTGTATAATGGCCCCTCAAGTCCCCTTTCATGCATTAAATCGCTAACTAAACCCGCTGCACCTTCCCCAGTATTGCGAGCAGCACACTAAAGCGTCCACGTGATGCTGTCCACGTCTGTACAGCCTACTAGAGAAGGTGGGGCATGATCACACCAGACTGCTTGACAGCTCACTTAACGATTTCCAAAACTGTATACAGTATATCTCAAGGTTAGGATGTATTAGCTTAGATTACACTGTGTTAGCCATTGTTGGGTTAGATTAAGTTTATTTGGGTATGAATAGATTTAGCTGGGTTAGGTCAAGTAGGCTTTCCTTGGTGCTTTCTTTTGAAGGCACCAAGCCGGGGAGGCTATATAACACCGTCAAAAGAGCGGGATATTCAAGAGGCGCTAAATATCACCAAGGATGCCAATACGAGAACAAAAGCGCATAAGGCGAACAATATCAAAGGCATCCGATTCACCAAGGATACTATTGAGGGACAGGTGACCCCGAGGGACAGTGGGGAAGCTAGACCCACACACACCCTGGAAGCATTATGAGTAAACTAACAAACAGTTACACGTCCCTACAGTTATATACAGGGAGGCATTCCCAAGTTCATTATGTTTAAGTGCTCAGCCAAGTATTTTCATTAAGGATCCAAGGCAAAAATCTGTGCACAGATAATAAATCACAATAACAGTGCTGAAGATTAGACATTACACCATTATATGACTTTAGTGGTCCATAATGGACCGAAACATCATAAATTCCTTTATTTTCAGAGTTGTGGGTTGGTTATCTATCATGTATCCACAAACATTTTCAGCATAGTTGCCAAATATATTTTTCTAACAGTCTGATGTCTTTTGAATTCTATGTATACAATGAGAAGCATTTGCTTCTAATAATAAGAAGAATAAAGTACTGTGTAAATAATGTCAAACTTGCCTCTCTCATGGGTACCCACTGCTGGGATGTCAGAGAAAGTGAATTAAAAGCTTGGTCCTCTAAAATGCTAAGGGATGGCACTACATATTCTTTGACGCTGAAGACCTCACATGTTCGGCACAAACCACCAAGGTTCGGAGGTTTGTCTATCAGAGAAGCCACTATTATTAATGATCCTCGTCTTTGTTGGGCTTCAATCTGTGGACAAATATTTGACATTCTTATATTCTTATCTGTAAAGTTACCTACCAGAAATATTTATCATATATAGTTCTCTATTAAAAAATATAAAATGCTTTATAATTGAAAATATTTTTCAAAAATCAGGTAAAATAATTAAGTTGTAGACTTTCCAAAATCAATTCTTGTATATACATAAAGACTTAGCTTATCATTTATAAAACAAATAAACAATAATTTTATGATAATTTTACTAATATTAAAATAAAAGTAATGTAATCACAGTATAATCCATTTACCTGCTGAGGTAGATCCAGGGATGCACTGATTTCTGCAACCATTGACTTCCATGGAGTAATTTTTCTCTGGACATTGGTAACAGATTCAATGTCACCATCTTTTTCATCTACAGGAGATGTTTCACCTGTGAATTTGGCTATGGTTAGCTGCTAAGCAGTTTATTACATATTAATTACAGTATCACAAACTTGGTCCTGTGGAAGACTTACACTGTAACACATCAGTGTAAAAGTAGCAATGTACAGTACAGAATTTTTTAATACCTAAAAAAACTTCCTCAGATAAATTGGAAGAATCCTTCACAGGCTGTGGCGTTCTTGTCATTGTTTGTGTGACTTGGTAAGAAATGATGTTTTACCATCAGCACATGTAAACGATTTGATACTACTTTATCTACAGTTTGGAATAAGCTAAGCAATAAAACTATGGCAGTTTTTCAGTACCTTATAAATAACTATTTAATAGGTGGGGTTTGTTCATTATATATATATTTTCTGTAAGACCCCTCAGTAGTTCCTCCAGTGTATGAACTGGTACAGCCAAGCCTTGAAGGATGCACCAGACCTCTGAGATTCAGGCCCACCTACAGGGAGCCAGGAAAAGAATCTGGCTCTTTCTGTGAGGTAAAGGAAGCTTGGGGGGGGGGTTAGAGATGGTCCCAAAAACCACAAAAAGTCCACAGTAAAAAATTAGACAAAAGAAAACAAGCTAATGATAAGGAAAAAAAGACAAAATCTTAGGCAAACAAGGTAACGACTGTTGCCATCAGTGAATAACACAAACTTTAGTATCCCTTGATTATTTGCATAATTAACCCATCCACATAATTTTATGAATTGTGTATGCAAGTAAAGTAAGAAATATCATAATACCTGTACATGGTTTTCTAATGATAATACATTACAGCAAACTTGCATCATATTAAAGTGAAGGACTATGTTGGTCACTAACCTCAGATAACAAAATGGCCAATATCATTTATATGGGATTATACAAAACAACAAAATATTTCTTTATAGTATCCTCCTTGGAATGCCAATAACTGGCAACTGCCTCACTTGAAAGGACAGTCGATGCTGCCAAAGAAAGTGTCTAACAAATGCTTCTTTAACTCCTTCAGAAGTCTATGCCTGGGGAAGATTTGACATGTGGCAATACCCTTAAGAAAGCTTCGTGAGACAACAAAGACTCAGTAATACAGATACTGTTGAGTTAATGTAAACTTGGTATGCTGTTGGTCACAGTGCTAGAGCAGCAGCTTGATAGACAGTAACAAATTAGAATTCATAAATTTACTGGAGTTTTTAACATAAATTTCTATAGAACATTTGATTTGTGAAATATGGCCGAAAGCCTATAAATCTACTTTCAAATTAATCATAAAGAGTTTTGTTATAAACTATATTGTACACCTGTAGGGATATTCAGATGCAAGGTGATAACATATAGTAATCAATAAGCTTGGATTATAAACCCATAAAAGAATTCACACACACACACACACACACACACACACACACACACACACACACACACACACACACACACACACACACACACATCTTTATTCTTCCAAATGGCCTTGGTATAATTTTCCATAATTAGACAACATATAAAGCCCAATAACATTCACAGTTTTAATAGCTTTTAACCCTTCAACATAAGGAGGCGCTCACCTGCAGCTTTGACGACCCAGGGAGCAGGAAGTGATGCTGCCAGGACCTTGTCAGGGTTGTAAAGGGGAAGATCGCTGCACACTGGAAGTTCATTTGTATCCCTAACTCCTAAGAAGAACTCCACAGTCACCCACTCATCATCCGCCAGTAATGATAAGCACGGTAAATCGTGAAGGATTGTCTGTTGAAACAGGTATATATAGTATACTGTATTTATAACAGGACACCAACTGGTTTTTCTGATCTTTTATTGGACAAAAGGTCTCCATGTCAAAGATCAAATTAATAAAGCAATACAGTCAAGCACTGTTTTAGAATCTGCCTGAAAATGCACTAAAACTTCCATATTCACTTTCAAGTGAATGTAGTTTCCCCATTGGAAATTTCTCTTCTTCCTGTACAGTATTTATACCCGTTAGATTTTTTTCTGACCATGTTTCCCAGTTACATATTTTGTGAGACAATCCCTGTTCTTACCACATATTCTTGCTTTTTAATATCAGTATGCTAACAGCTACACCAGCATGAGATTAAAATCATCACTAGAAAATCTCATGAAATAATTCAAGAGCATCCTCATGTGTCTTTAATGTTTGGAGGCATCTAAAATATTTTCTCTAAGGCATAATAAAGTATCCCCTCATAAAGTAAGGTTCCCAGAATCATGTGAGGAAGCAGCTGTCGAGTGTGAACAATACACAAGCGTCAACTGCCCCCTGTCTTAGTATTGTAATGTACAGTACAATGTCCCTCTCATGGTGACGGTGATGGGACATTTCCAGGAAATTGTCAAGGGGTTGGCTCAAGTACTCCTGGAACTGGAGGAGTGTTTCCAAATGCAGACGAGGAGTCACAATAACGTGGCTGAAATATGTTGATCAAACCACACACTAGAAAGTGAAGGGACGGACCGAAACGTCGAAAGTTTCCAAATTTCAAGCTTTGGCTTAAAACCTCTTCTTCCAGGAAATCATAAAATATACACAAAATAAATAATACAAATAAAATTAATATTATATAACATATGCAATGTATAAACAATTTAAGATATACAACTTGTTAAAATTGATATGCAAATGAAAATATCTACATGATCTAATAAATGGCTCACCTCTAGAGTAAGATGTTTCAAGGGGTGAAACACCTTGAAGTAGAAGTCATTAAGCATGTTGAGTGTGTTTCTGGCAGCACTGCCCTGTTCTACCACAAACTGTAAACACTGCTGGATTGGTTCATATTTCTCCAGCACTCTTGTCACTTCTTTGGCTTCACAGTGGTGCCATATTTTCCTCAGTGATACCTGACAATAAAACAAAAGCCATTTTCTTAGTTCATCACAAAATGTTAAAGAAAATAGAAAATTAACAAAATAATTCGAATTAGATAAGTTTAGACTTCAAAAATAACTGGGTGAACACTGATTTGGAAATAAGATAGAAGATTTATAAAATATTTTTGGGGGCAACATAATAGAAGTTGGGCCACCTGCTCACTTTAAGTATAAGACTGTCAAAAATGTGTAAGAATGGCTGGACATAAATGGGAATGCCTCACAAGCCTTCTGTAATTTCATCGACAATTTTTTAAGTTTTTATAAACAATGTTTTAATGAGCAACTGAATGTGGTATTTAAGAAAAATAGGTATGCAAAACCAAAATGTTCAATACAGCACTACAAATTATTTGCTCAAATATGAAAAGCAGATTATTAATCAATATAAAATCCAGTTTTATTTTATAGGTTGTTTATCAAGATATTAGTTTAGCGGAGCCGGTCGACCGAGCGGACAGCACGCTGGACTTGTGATCCTGTGGTCCTGGGTTCGATCCCAGGCGCCGGCGAGAAACAATGAGCAGAGTTTCTTTCACCCTATGCCCCTGTTACCTAGCAGTAAAATAGGTACCTGGGTGTTAGTCAGCTGTCACGGGCTGCTTCCTGGGGGTGGAGGCCTGGTCGAGGACCGGGCGCGAGGACACTAAAAAGCCCCGAAATCATCTCAAGATAACCTATAGCTGCATCATGATATACCACAACTAACCTGAGCATACAATCTTGTGTTGAAGTGTTGGGCCATGCACCAAGGCAAAGTGTACTGGATTGCCTGGCACAGGAGCTCATCATCCTCGGAAGTACAGGCCACATGAGTCAATGCTGCCAGAAAAGAGCCAACACAACCAACTCTTTCCTTGGTTCCCTGGAGAGAATTTAGGTTAAGAGGTTAATAGTATTTAAATGTGGAGTCTTGTATTAGCTTCTCAACTTCAAACATAGATATTTATACATTTCACTTAGGTTAGTAGTTTAACCAATTATGGCACAATAACTTAACCAGTGTCATATATATGAAGATTACTCACAGCCATATTGAACCTCAATTACAAAACATGACAAAATACATAAAAGAGTAGATACACATTACAAAATCCACTAGTGTACATCTCACTCTACACCTATTACACTACATTTTTGCTCTCATCATCCACAGATGATCAACTGTAGCTGCAAGAAGATCTGCAGATATTTCTACCCAACCCAAGTTGTTTATTAATCATGGTGGTAATATAATTAAATATTCCATCCCCCTAGATGGCCGGGCCTGGAAATCATCTGCCATATTTTGGTCATACTGTAATTCCCAAGTGCCTTAATTTCCTTCAATTTGCATTAGAAAAAAAGACCTCCGCTGTGTCTGCCAGCACCAAGCATCAGAAGATGAAACAAGTGACTAACAGCAAGGAGAGTAAGAGGAAGGGTTTAATAAGACAAATGAATTATTGTATATTAAGTTCAAGGCAATGCCAGCAAATCTTGAACTTATCTAACCTGCAAGAAGTGGGAGAGAAGATCTGGAAAGAGCTGTGGATGCATTATTGTGATGAGTGCCACTCCCCACTCCTGCAAGTATCGTACACTTGGTTGTTGGTGATCTTTGATAAGACCTCGGCACAGCCACTCCAAGTCTTTGGAACATGCATTCTGGTTTGGTGAAGAAATATAAACATAAGTGGAGCTCTGAATAAACTAATAAATGTACCTAATTAAGTATACTTCCATACAAATTATAATGCAGTATTCCAAATGGTGCAATAAATTGGAATAAAAATACATTGTGTAATAAAGAACCCTATAATCAACTTTTAGTTAGTCACCAACATCCTCAGGGGGGAACAAAACCAACAGAATATAATCACTCTCTATTGGGCAAAACCCAAGTCATGCACAATGTTACTTTTTACTGCTATTTACGGCTAGGGGAACAGGGGTGATACGTGATAGGAAATATGCCCAACCATTTCTGTCCCACTCGGGATTTGAACCCGAAATTCTTGATTGCAAGTCAAAAACTAACTTGACTGTACTACTAAGACTCTCCTAGTATGTAATACTGTATATAGAAAATTTATATACTGTACTGTACATAAATGTTTCAATAACACTTCTCACCTTGTCTAGCAGTGGAAGTATCAAAAGGAATGCTTGCAAAAGCCTTGTTTTGTAGCGATGCTTCTGTGAATTGGCAAAATCTCTACGATCGCCTGTGCAGCGTGCATACTGATATCTTATTCCTTCTGCAACTGCCAATGCCCAAGCCCTGTCACCGAGACTTACTTTCTTCAGAGTAAGAAGAAATCGCATAGCAATGGAACGTGCTCTTAAATCAGCATCATGATCACTGAAATAAACTTATCCTGTTATTAAGATAACACAAAAATAATATATATACATCATGTTTTCACTGTCAGCAAACTCTGCTCCGATTCCATAGAAATGAAAGAATACCAGCAACGAGGTTTAGGTCAGGAAGCACATGAAGGGCATGGGTCAATGTAATGCTGCAATCCATGGCCTGTTATGGCAACTGTGTAGGATTAGAGAGAATCAGAATACTTAACTGCCAAGCTGATATGAGACAGTAAGGCACTAGAAACAAAATGTATTTCTTATTAAACAATAGGATATCCCTACTATGGATACCAAAGAATTTACCTTCCTATCAGAGAATTAGTGCTGTATGACTGCCCACATTCCTGAATGAACTCGGTAGTATCCCGTACAATTTTAAACTGCTTTCGAAAAACACTGCCAAACATTAGCAGAGGTACAAGAACATCTTGCACTAAATTACATGACTTTGGATCCAAATTATTTCTTATATGGGCTCTTGCTAGTGTAGTTACCAAGCTCCTTGACATGTGGGCGGCAATTCCTTGTACACCCTCTCCAGCAGCCATCATTTGCTGGCACATCTGTTAACAAAACAATAATAGAATGAAGTTGTAGGGAAGTGCCAGAACAAGTCATTAAACAACTTTTCATAAAATATTTGTTAAGATCAGGCATTTTAGGAAGACCTGTTTGAATTATGCTTTATTATAGCTATACTTCTAGTCTAGTCTTGTTCATAACTCTGACAGCTCTGTGACAGTAAACCTTGAAGGTACACTCATAAACCTGAGGGTACGGTGTGTAAATTGTCAGTGACACCATATTTGCAAGATGTTACTAGACAATATGGTAGGAAATACAACACAAAGGAGGCTTGTTCTGTCAAGAATGTCTAAGTGACCTATCTTTATAATATACAATATTAATACATACCAACATATTTATTTTATATAAATCAAAAGTAATAAATTTAAAACAATAATGTACAGTAAGCTAGACAATCTTTTCCTTGGTAACTGTAGTTAGAGTAAATGAAAAAGTTTTTTTACTTTGTTTTCTTTATATTTTCTGTATATTTTTGTCACTTTATATCTTCAAAATTTTCTTAGTAGACAGCATTTAATACACTGGGTAAAAATAATACAAATCTGTTTTCTCTTAACTTTGATAATATTTAATACACATCCTCATCAGAGTTGCAACTTAATTTCCCCACAAAATAAACCCCCATTACCCTTTACAATGTAATGTTTGCTGTCCAGCTTCCTTATATCACTGGAAGACAGAAGAGTTAGAGGAGACATGATCACCACCAATAAAATTCTCAAGAGAAATTGACAGGGTAGATAAAGAGAAACTATTTGCATGGGTGGTACACAAACAAGGGGACACAGGTGGAAACTTAGTACCCATATGAGCCACAGGGATGTTAGAAAGAACTTTTTTAGTGTCAGGGTAGTTAACAAATGGACTACATTATGAAGTGATGTGGTAGAGGCAGACTCCATTCACAGTTTCAAAAGTAAATATGATAAGAGTCCAGTAGGTTCAGAAACCTGTACTCCAGTTGATTGACAGCTGAGAGGCGGGGACCAAAGGGCCGAAGTTCAACCCCCCCTCAAGCTCAACTTGGCGAGTACAGCTGTGAAGTTTGACTTCAGGATGCTGAAGTCACTGGTGGTTTGCCCACAAACCACCAGTGCGCCCCATCAACCTAAGGGGCACCCAACCCGGGTTAAGACAGAAGTCACAAGATCCCCGACTCACCCTGGATAAGGGCCACCATATGCATGGAGGACCTCTAAGGAAGCTACCCCTGAACACTCCAGAGAGGAAAACTTTGGCAATGTAAGGGAAGCACTAAGGAACACAGAGAAATAACCCAGAGCACATGCATCTTCAAGCATTCTACAAAGGAGGCTCATATTAAATGAACAAATCCACAAGGGCCGTAACGAGGATTCGAACCTGCGTCCGAGAGCAACCCAGACCCTGCCTTAATTGACTGAGCTACGACATGGTCAAAAGGAGTTGAAACCTAAGTTCTACTGAACTTACTGGATCCTGCAGCTTCTCCGAGGCACAAACCTCGGTAATGAAGTAAGGGTGAAGAGGGAGAACAGCCTATTGACATAGCTCGAGTGCATGGGGGGGAGTTGTGTAAAATCCTGGTTTGTGCCTCAGAGAGGCTGCAGGATCCAGTAAGTTCAGTAGAATTTCGGTTTCAACTCCTTTTGATCATGTCGCAGCTCAGTTGATTAAGGCAGCGTCTGGGATGCTCTCGGACGCAGGTTCGAATCCTCATCACGGCCCTTGTGGATTTGTTCATTTGATGCATCATGCAATTGTAATTTCTGTGTGTAAGGCTCATATTACACTGCAGTATACAGGAAAACCACCCAGGAAAACACCAAAAACACTAAGCTGAACAGTGGAAGCCACATGAAAGAAGGGCGACCAGGAACCACTACATCAGTCAAGTGAGCCCCAACCATTTCATTGTAAGAACTGACAGCTCAGACCTCTCGAGGTGAGAAGCTCCTTTCCCCTCCCCCCTCCCCCTCTTCTCAAACAAATAGGGAAGGTGGGGAGAACGAGCTGACACTAGTTTTGAGAGATTTGATCATTTTATATAATTGGGGGAGCTCATTAGGCCAGTTTTGAGACTTTGGTCTCATTTGAACCCAGCAGTGGTTTGTTTTGACTCACTGATTTTCTGGGTGCCTTTCCCAATAAGGTGGCAAAATGTCACTGCTCCCTGTGCCTCTGTGAAGAGGGCCCAGTTCTGCCTCTGGTCCCTAGTAACCCTAAGAACTCCACGCCTGATGCGGCCAGTGTATAGCTTCACAAAGTCACAAGGAGCTCCTCCTAGAAATATTATTTGAACACCAATAACTTACATTAGGGACTGAACAAGCACCTTTACCATAAATTCAGGTGCCCAATGGCATGAATAAAAATCCTAACCTGTGTAATGAATCCATGATTATCTGGTTGGACCACTGCTTCATCATGGAAGAGAAGGTCAGTCACACAACCAACAAGGGACCGGTAAAGATCGCAACCCTTTCGAAACTCCAAAGATGATAACCACATGAGGTCTACTAGCTCCTGCCATATTCCATTCTGAAATTTGATAAATAAAGTACTTTATGCTTATCAAATTAAAAATAATAATGAAAATATGATTACTTATGTTTCTTAGACATACAGTTAAAAAGTTTTAATATTTCTGTACACTAATATGAACTTCTCATATCATAATAATAATAATAATTTATTTACAAGAAGGTACACTGGGTTGGTGAGATTACTTAAAATTGGTATTTTTACATTCATGCAAAGCCACTAACACACATTGCATTTTGGGCAGATATAAAGTGGTTCCAGTATTTATAAGAACATAAGAATGAAGGCAACTGCAGAAGGCCCATTGGCCCATACGAGGAAGCTCCTATTTATATCAATCCAATCCCACCTACCCAATTTATCTGAGTTTCCTACTAGGCTATATATTGTCAGTCATCTCAGGAATATCCTGAGAATATCCTCATATCCTGGCTGGGAAGGACTGACTGTATGCCAATCCTTAACTGTAATCTCTGTTCACCCAGCAGTAAATGGATACCTGGTTGTTAAACGATTTGGTGGGTCATATTCCAGGGAAAATTAAGATTAAGGACCTGCCCGAAATGTTATGCATGCTAGTTGCTTTACAAGAATATAACAACTTTTGTATATATAAAAAATATACATCATCAGAGTCTTACTACATTAAGACATGCCCTGCCATTACGACCAACAAGATCATCAAGGCCAAACTCAATATGCTGCACTGAGAATAATCTATTACACAAAAAGGAAGATAAATTATTATAAATGCTTACCAAGATTATTGATGAAGCTAAACTAACAGCCACATGAAACACATGTAACACATTTATCCTTCCTGCACAGCCAGCAGCACTGAGCAGCATATCTCTTGTTGTATTTAGTAACTCATTCCACACTGCTGAGCTTCCAGTTTTCAGTGATATATTCTGAAAAAGTTGTGAAAACTATAAATTGCATCTTACAGAAAATTCCTTTGCATGTATAGAACTAGGTACTGTATGTCTTGATCACGGAATATAACACCAGTCCATATACCTTGCATATCTTGCAATACAAATATTATAATGAATATTCGTAAAAACAAAAATACTACCCCCTTCTCCATTATACACATACAGTACCACTGTAACCTTGGCTCGAATGGAGTGAGCCAGAATCATCAGTTGGTCAGAAAAAATTGACTATAGCCTAAATCAATGCAGACCAGAAGTTAGCACTTCATTCACAATGCATAGGCATACCCAAGTTTTCAGGAGGAAGCCTTCCAGTGACTCCCTGAAGTATAATGAATCATTATACTGTACCTTTTTTATAAGTAGATCTACACAGCTCCAACGACTGCGAGTTGTTTCCATTAACAATTTTGATGCATGTTCCGTCGCATAATACCCATCAATTTGTCTTCTCCGGGCTTCATTTTCTATATAGCAAACAATCTTGAAATTAACCAAATCCACAATTCTATTTTTGTCTATAGAGGATGCACTTTCATAATAATAAGACACCAAATGTTCTAATAAAAGGGTTCCAAAGGCAACCTTAATAACACTCTCCTGATTTAAAAGTTCATGAGAGGAATCAAGCAACACAGGGTATTGTACACTTGGTATGCATTTTAGGCTTTTTAAGTTACTACACTGAGCAAATAAATTTAGAAAGTGAGCTATTACTTCAAAATCATATGGCTGGTTGTACCTTCTTATCTCTAGGACAAACAGTTGTGCTACACTATCAATGCCCTCAGTTAGACAACACAGATGTTTACCTAACTCATCAGGCATTGCCTGACAATCAGATGGCACATCACAAAGTATTTCTAGTGTCTCAGTTATCAGCTCTAGGGCCCACATAAATTTTTTCTGATCCAAATATGGTCGTAGATGACAGTCTTTCAAAAAGGCAATAATTGGAGATAGTAAAGATGCAATATGTGGTCTTTTTTCTGATACATTTTCAAATTGTGAAATGTTTTCAAGAAGTAAATTTATTCCTAATGCAATATCATGAGGGCTTATAGTTTCTGAAGCAGAGAGAGATTTTTCAATAGCACAGTGTACTAATGAAAATCTGGTTTGCCAAGTTTCTTGAAAGGTGTTGAGATCATTAACAATAGTTTTCCACAGAACAGTGCCTCGACACCAGCTTTCCTTTCTCCTAAAATGTCCTACAATATCACATAGTTCAAGAAAATTAGCCATAGGTGTCAGATGCTTAAAAATTGCCTTTAAGAGATCACACTGGCTTGCTGAGCGTAAGACTACTTCTTGTGTACTAAGGCACCCTTCAAAGTTTGCAACTGCACTTTTAACAACTTTAAAATTCCAAACAGAAGTTTTTGGCATTAAAGCCAAGCTTCGTATCAAATAAAATAAAGGGATCCCGCCCCATGATCTTCCATCAAAAATCTGTTCAATGAGCACACACATGAATTCACTTTTGGCTTCAGCACCAAGAGACTCAATAACACTCACAAAAAATATGACAATCTGATCCCCAACAGCAGAGACAGTTCGTGACTGCTGACCCACATCACGAGAATAAAGACAATAGTCACTCAGTGCAGACAACAGATGTAAAGCTATAAAAAACAGAACCCCTTTTATTAGCACCTTCTCTGGGAACTTTAACTGCAGAAACTTCATTACTCCCCACTGTTTTATATTTTTATTATCTTGGTCAAAAATTCTTTTAAAAATAACAAGAGTCCAAGACACATGAAACATTTTCTCAGTCCTACAGCAAATATTAATTAGATTATCTAACCTTTCCAAGACTGGTTTTACAACATGAGCTTGTTTTTCTTCTAGTGTCTCAACAAGCAGGAAAAAATCATTCCAAATTTTTGCTAGATCCTTCTTTTCCCTCTCAGGCCAGCACATGTATTCTGATTTAAGTTCTTTTACTGAAAATGAAGAACAATGGTCAACATATCTTTTCAGGATATATTGACACCTCTTCCTTGATAGTGGATTAGTATGAGTAAGGCCATACTGAATAATTTTCCACAGTGCACTCTCATTTCCAATATGATACAATTTGTCTCCTTCAAACATATGACCAGCAATAAAGCACAGTATCAAAAAACCAGTAGCATTTTTCTCCTGCATTATGAAGTCTTTGTCAGTACAATAAAAGTTACAAACAATGTTCCACAGCTTCAGAACAACTTCAACCTTGTCTTCATTGTTTACATCCATATACGGCTGAATAATCAATGTGAGCAGCAGTGCTGTAGTGTCTGCATCATGGGACACTTCAATCATTTTCAAAGTAACTTCTACTACTCTCTTGATGGCTTGCTTCAGGACAGCCTGTTGCATGCACCAGCTATCCTTTAATACGTTGGCAAATATCAGGGATAATATTTTTACTTTATGGCGCTCTTCTTCTGCCATTGTATCAAGATAATGAACATCAAAGGTTTTTGCAATATTTTCAAAAACATTTTTAAATGGAATGAGAACATTCTTGTTTACCGAGTATAAATTATTACATAATTCTATATTTTTAGAATATATATCAATAGGTAACTGTGATTTACATGAACTTGAGATTATTTTTAGAAGTACAGTGATTAACCATGATAACTTTGAAGCCAAGATTAGTTCATCAGCTTTCAAAGCCTTTTGAATTGCATCGTTACATTCCTGGGCATTTAAATTATCATCTTTTAGTATCAAATCATTTGTCACTAGATTTGACTTACTGTTCTCTGTCTCACTAATATGTGGGAGTTGATAGTGTTTACTTGATATGGCCAAAATCGAGTACTTTTCAGTAATTCTTTCCAATTGAGGTAACAGACACTGTTGAAGCAATTCCTGATATAAATTATGCAGGGCTCCATCTTCTGAAATGACAGAACTTTTTCTTACTGCCTCCCTGACTTCTACAGCATTAATGAGTACTTCACATATTCTAATTGAAAATTCTGTGCAATTTAATAATTTCGTCAGGAGAGAATGATATTCATGGTCATCTAATAATCCTAAACTCAACAGTTCAGCAGCCATAATTCAAAACTCTCTCTCAAAACACAGTCGACAGGTTGGACACAATCATCTTCATGGTAAGTGCAGTTTCAGCGAAGGTTCTCCTCTTCCTCCTGCTTAACACGAGTGCTGTTAAAGGCGGATGTTTTCTTCTTGGCAGTCGTCAGACCCGAGTGCTCTTTCTTAGTTTAAACTTATTTTAAATGTGCAGCTTGCGCGATGATCTGCCGTGAGCATTTGATATCAATTTGCTTCTTCTTTATAATACTTCCCCTTTCCGATGACTGCACAAGTGGTCAATGTAAAGGGAGACACGTGCGGTGTCACTCTGGTGTTGTTGTGCCGGGGTCAGGGGCAGCTGCAGCACACTCCACTTGTTGTTGTTGTGGTGTCAGATGGTCGCTCAAATTACTGTTTTAATAGGTACGTTTTCTATAATAAAGCAATCAAGCCATTTTCTAACAAGTTTTAATTGTAATTTGGTGATTTTATGTATTAATCATGCTATTAAAATTGTCTAATTGGTATAAAAATGTTTATGCTAGCTTATCCTAATCCATGCACCAAAGACCTCTAGAATTTCTTTATTGAAGGTCAGCATTATTCAAAATGATACAACTGAACTCAATGTGCCGGATTTACAATTTGTACAAAGCGTGACAACAATGGCACTTTCCTGCACTGTAGGAGATTACTTTTCAAAATTTAATCCCTATCTACCAAAGAAGCAAATTAAAGATCAGCCCAAGTTTCTCTGTACCTGAATTTACCTGAGAGCTACTTGTCACGCGAATTCCCTGCATAGCAGAGGAACTGCCTTTTTCACTAACCCTCAATGCCTCTATACTGGACATTCACCTGTTGTTGTTCAAGATTCTGCTACTGGGAACAAATTTCCAAGTAGCACAGGCTATGGTGAGCCCATAGTGGACTTACCTGGTACAGGACCGGGGCTGTAACTGTTCTGACGTTCACCTCTACTTCAGCCAAGATGAGTCCATCAGTCCAGGCACCTCTCTGTGCCGCTCCCCCCCCCCCCCAGGGCCTGGTACAACTCTGAGGCAAGCCAGGCGCCTCAGCTAACTGATAGTTTGCCTTCGCAAACATGCAGTTAGCCGCCTTCAACTAGCAGTGGTACAGCCTCAACATAAAGGCGCCACCAGCCACAAACTAGCAGTTGGCTATCAGCACTTCTTACGGACCTTGCTTTGACACCGACTGAGTCACCACCTCCATAGGGAGCCAGTCTCTCTCAGTGCTCTTGGATCACCTTAGCCTTCTGCACCATTATACGATCCCCAAGTGTTCTCAGGTGCTATTTTTGTTCATTAATATTTCAGTATATTGTTTTAATTATTTATTTGATGATTTTCCTTCTTTTATACCTATGACTTGCTGCAAGGGCCAAAGCAGCATTTTTTTTATTTAAGTGACAGAGCCATACCACCTTGGTTCAGTATACAGTAACTACAATACCACAACCCGTCACACACTATATCTCTCCAGTGGCCTCGACGAGGACAGGAAGCCAACAGCTTATCTAAGCCCTGATGATTTTATCAAGCTGGATCTTGAAATTCAGCAGTATTTTGGCTTTACCTGCTTTGGCAGGTAGGCAGTTCCATGGGTACTGTATATAATAATATACCCATGGAGCTATATATTCCATATACTTATATATATAATATATATTCCATGGGTATATATAATGATGAGTTCCTCCAGGGAACTCATCAGTCTTGACTTTCATGAGTTTGATGTGTGTGGTAATTTTGTGTATGAGAATTTTTTAAATATCAGGGATTCAGTATCAGCCATGTACTATTTAATTCTTTAAATTGACTCGGCTTGTATCTTTGATTTATTTCTATACAGTACATGTGAAGTATCTAATATTCAATAAATGTCTAACAATCATGATGGTTATACGATGACCAAATTATTGATTAAATTAATTTGGTGTTGCAGTTGAAAAGAATGACTGAACAGATTGATGTCAATTCATGCCATTGATGATATTGAGACAGAAGTCTCGGTAATGGGGTTAATAGTTTAACCACATTGAAAGACAATACACAGTTTGAAACATAGTGGATGGTGGCAGCCATCCCTTATGTCCCATTTGAGCCCCTTTTGTTCTCCATAGAAAGGACATGATCATGCTTCCCTCCCTTTAGTCATCAATAGCCTAGTACTCCCACTCTTTCACAACTAATATAGCTAGTTATCAAGTGGGTAGGCATAACCCTTAAGAGTCAGGAGTGGTTGTGTAACATGTTTCTTTTAGTGGACAAGTAAGTACAGAGATTGCAGATTAATGTATTTTTAAAATTCAAAGTTAACAGTCTTGTCCTTCCAATTCCCTTCCTCCCAGAACACAAACCCCCAACAAAAGAACACATGGCACTACGATCTGAACCAAACTGATGAAAACACAGGGAGCCAGATTCAATCCAAAGGGAAGAACACGAAAAGTAGTAAGCCTGATGCCCCACAATGAAACCGAACTTTTCCTTGAACCCTGGATGAATAGGGGTAAGCCAACTATAAGGGATGTCCAGGTATCCCTGGACATGTCCCAGAAGTCCAGGGATATCATCTAGGAGCCCGACTTAGATATGAGGCAGACCTGGGCCAAAGTTGAAATCTGGAAAGTGGGGCAAGGGATGAAGTGGTTCAAGTCAGACAGATCAAAGATGAACCAGAACTCTGTCAAGTCCAGTTTCTGAACCGGGAAGAGATAGGACACCCACTGAAAAGATGGGGTCATTTTAGCCACCCCAGAAGCAACCCACTCCGAAATAGCCCAAAGCAAGCAAAAGGGGAAAAAGGCTGGCCGAAGGCTCTTCTCAGAAAGCAGAAGAGACCAACCTTCACTCAAAAAGGCCAGCCCCACACTACACCAACAGTGTACAAAAACCAAACCACATGGGATCCGAAGAGGCAATTTCATATATTTGCTGTCTTGTGTGAGAGCAGGTTGCAACCCCGCTCTGTGATTTGAAGTAAAATTCATCGAATTTTATAACATATAGCTGAAGAGCACCTGGGCCAGCGATAGCTGACAGATTATCCAAGAGCCCTACTTCAGCAATGTAATACGAGCTGCATCAGCGTAAGTACTGATTGCTCTAGCCAGTGGACAGTATGAAGCCTGGCCTCCCTCCCTTTCCAAATGAGTCGGAGGGGTGGGGCGAACAAGCGCATACTTCCTTTGAGAGATTCAACTGTTTATTAACATTGTTGGGGGAGTTTATGCAGTGGGTTGTAAGGTTTCAGTCTCTTTCAAACCCACCAATGGTTTGTATTGGTTCACTGACTTTATGGGCACCTTCCACCAGAAATTATAGCCAGTGACCGCTAGCATATCTGTTCAAGAACAAGTGGTGGGCTGCCAACTTTCCCCTCCCACAGGGGAAGAAGGTAATACTAACAAGCGGAAGTGCTAGTGCATGAAGGGTTGCTTGTTTGGTTTCTTCTTAGGGGAGTTATTTTTATCTTTTTGGATGTAGACTGCACAGGTTAAGCAGACAGTGGTCCGTTTTGATGTGCCTACCTTTCTGGGTCCTTCCCCGGTCAAAGGCTATTATGACATACTTTAATTGTAAAGTGCTCATAGGCCATTGCTACCTGCGCCTCTCTGAGGGGAACCAGGTTCTGGTTTGTGGTTTCCAGTAGGTATAAGAACTCCCCACAGAAACACTCATTCATTCAATTTATCACTTAATAACACCCATTTATTTAAATCCAACCATCTATAAATTGAGCATTTACTGATGTTCAGTGCTCTTACTATGACAACAATAGCTAAAGGTACCTTCATACCTGCAGTACTGCCAAGTATTTTGGACAAAGATTGTTTTTCTTGTTTACAGGAAAAATATACAGTACAATGTCATATATTAACTGGTATTCTTGTACTTGCTACATGAGGATGATACATTATAGAATTAACAATTCAACAAATTCATTCTTACTTATAACTGAAATATATAATAATTCTCATTTCATACCAACTTACCAATACTAGTAGTTCTTTCATAACATTTTTCTGCTTCTTTTCATAAAGTAATGTCTGATCTTGCAACTGCTTGTGCTTTTGGAGGGCTTTTGCCAGACCTGTATGCTTTGCTAACAGTTTCGTCCATTTTTTTGCCTAGAAGTGATGTACCTTTTCTTATTTGTTTTCTTTTTTTTTGGCCGGTATCTGAAACAGTTACATATGATGCTACATCACCACTCTGTGAGTGAGTCCATTCTGGTCCAACCATTAAATCATCAATCTTATTATTATCTTCAACAGGTACCAGCACTTGATAAGTTTCTGGCATTATAGTTGGCTTTTCCTCCACCATTTCAGTATTATCATCTTTAATATTCTGTTCAACTGGCACTAACAGCTGAAAAATTCCAGGCATTATACACGACTTTTCTCCTACACAAACTTTTACATTGTTTTTTACTTTTTCCTTAGGCTGGATCAAATAAATCTTTTTCGTGATCTGCAATGGCTTCACTTGCAATGTTTCTTCACTTTGTTCTGACTCAATTCCATTAATACAGCTAGTACTCTCCAGAACTGTGTCATAGGTAACACATGAATCAATAACTTCACTTTGAGGATGAGTCCATGATGACCCAACCACAAGATCACCAAACTTATTATCTTCAACTGATTCTAATACTTCATAAGTTTCAGGAATTACACAAGACTTTTCTTGTACTTGAACTCTCAAAATTTGTTCCCTATTCTCCCTTGTTAATTTGAGAGTAGATTTTTTGGTTAACCTTGTGATGTTGCTTGACTGAAACTTAGTATCTTTTTGCTCTAAGGCAGAGCCCCTCTTTCCCTCTGCATAATCTAAAACAGTGTCATATGCAATTAAGAGAGATTCATAGAGTTCTCGCAGTATAAGTGGATCTTCCAAGAGGTAAGTGTAATTACAGATGTGGTCAATCACTTCACGGCATTTTAAGGCAAGGTTTTCTTTGGGTTCCTCATATACTGGTGACTCCTCTGGAATATTGGTCTCTATTTCTTCTGCAGTGGTCTCCTGAAATACAATAAATAATAATTAATCCTGCTATTATACTACAATTCTATATACAGTACTAAAGTAGAAATACAGTAAGATAATTATGAGAAAACATTAACCCTGACTACGTAAAGAGAGATGAAGACAAGAAGCTGGAATATGAGGATTGGGGAGAAGAAAGGTCCCCAACAACTTGCATCATCAGGGATCGAATGTTGATTGCGATATACAAGGTCTAGGCAATACCCACTAGGTGAGTACAAGGCCGTCTCTGTAGCAACAAATCCAAGTGGATGGCCACAGCTCCTTCGTCTCCCCCCCACCCCCCAGTCCTCATATCCCAGTTCCTTATATTAACATCTCAGCTTCTTGTCCTCATATCCCTTCCAAGCACTATATTCTGTAGTCACACAGTTGTGCCAAGAAAACAGCTTCTGCATTAACCATTCTACAGTGTAAAAGAAAAATAGAACATAAAATTAAAATACTGTAAAGAATACTATACAATACTATATACCAAAGTAAATATCATTAATTCTATTAGTGCAACTGAGGAAGATATTTAGAGGCACAAACTATTGTAAGATCTGCAACCACACTTCAAACTTGCCAGTGCAGTAGTGAGTGAACTTGACGGGTCGATCCATAACGAGCCACGCTGCAGACCAGGGCCTAAAGGTGACTAGCCAAGCAGGATACCCAGGCACTTGGGACGCCCGCCTAGAGAACAGGCAGCGAACACAGCCAACAACAACTTGGCTACAGAGCACATCTACGCATCTGTATAAACAGGCACGTGTGTGTACCCTTGTGCAACCCCCACAACGAAATGTGCAGAAAAGTCAATGACTTGTGCACCACCGAAGACAAGGCTCCCAACCCAGTGGGCAGGCCTCTGTGGGGCAAACTCCCGAACACAAAAGGGAAGGAACTTTATCAGTGCAGGGACAATGCTAGACGAGCACCCAGGTTAAGTCATCTCAGCACATGCAGCTTCAAGCAAAAAAATTGCCAAGTCCATGCAAGATTGCCAAAAAGTAAATACAGTACATGAATGTGAAACAAATATTAATAGAAAAGAACGTCACAACCCGCAAACAGCCACCGCAGAACAAAGTCCAAAGTATGGCTGGTACTTAGCTGAGAAGCAGTGGGACCTGCTGCGACAGTTGCCAACCTGAGGAGCACACTACTGAATTAAACTGCATCAGGCACAGGACTGACTCTAGAGCTAGCTGGTTGTTTTGGGTTGCCTGATGACAGCCATCGGTACTAATGGGTTCAAGCTAGTTTTGAGTGAACCAATTGATTGGATTGAATTCTTTGTGGAGTCATTTGGCCATTTCAATATTTAGTTTTCTATGGACCTTGCAGTTGTCTATAAAACTTCACAGATTTTCTGAATGCTTTCCCGGTGTGGGTAATGATAATCATTCCCTGCTTCCTGCACCTGTTGCCAGGTTCTGACTCTGGTAGGCCAAACAAGACTCCTAGGACTGATGTGGCCCAGTAGTGGAAAGGCATCTCAGCAAGATAACTTCAGGGAGAATGTGGGGGGGAGGGGGGGGGGCAGGCATCTCACTACTCTGTTGGCATATATGTAATGACATCTGGTGATGTTAAGCATTAGTGGCCAGGCAAGCTAACTAGTAGCTAGCAGAGCAATACTTTAGTATCTCTCAGATGTTGAACAGCATTTGAAGGGGCCATGAGTGATGTTGAATGAACCTTTTGGAGAACATATTGAACTAGATACAGTAAAACTTTTTTCAATGTCCCCCTTTCCTCAGTACAACTTGGAGCCAACCTGAGCCAACCAACCCCCATTGTACTTGGGAGTAAATGTTGATCTAACCTAATTATGTCTGGTCCTTTCTCTGGTAAGAGCAGGATACGGTACACCTTAAGGAAACAATTGCTCACTATCCATGTTCTTTGATATAAATATAGCCAAACCTCGTATTTTTGTTGGATCTGGAATTTCAGCCGACTTACCTGTAGGCACTTGGTGTAGAGATCTGGCAAGAAATATTCCACGAGAATTGAAAGCAGGCCACTTAGGGCATTCTGGTTGTTACACTTTATGTAGTAGCATTTGAAAGTTTCATTAAGCTGTTCAATTCCACTATATGTGTTCGTATTTAGAAGATGATCTTTTCGGTAAGCCCATACCCATCTCTGCAAAAGAAAGGAAGGCATTATAACATTAAAATATTTTCTAAAGAAATACAGTACAATATTGCAGAAGCAGTAAAAGTATTGCATTGAATGTATTGAAGCATCGTTTTCTGGTACTTCCAGAGTGGCTTGTTGGTGCTTATTATACCAGGCTTCGTAGAAGGCTTGGCTGTACCAGCTTCAAATTAAGAAATTTAAAAAAAAAAAAAAAGAGGAAAACAAAGCAAACTGAGGTGTTACTGATGGAGCCTTCCCAGAACACTATATTTCCATGATTTCCAACAAGGGACCTGATGCATGTCATGTGTCGCATAAAAGAAAAGGATTTTCATTTGATTATGGCAGATATTTTTGTATCTTTAATATAATTTAAATATAAATGCACAAATTATAAAAGAGGCAAAGACTAGACAAATTGCTTCATGTCCAAGGTAGCAAGATTGATACACTAAATTATATTTGATCATACATTAGTCTCAAACAATATTTATTCAATGTACCCATAAAGTTACTATTCAAAGAACACTAACAAATAAGAGTAAGCATTAATTACCAACATGAACTTGGAGGCATAAATAGGAACATACCTGATGTTCAGGCAGCCAGATTTTCCCAAACCACTTCTGTAATTTTGGGTTCTTAATCCAAAAGTCACTACTGAATAAGTGCTGCTCTGCTTCATTAAACTCTTGTATTGAACTGGAATGAGAAATTGTCCTTAAATGTGAAAGAACCTCATCTTTTATGGAATAAATGCCATTATCAGCATTTAGAGCCCATCTTTCCCAAGACTGTTCACGCTGAAAATCACAAATGAGAACCTGTACATCAGGAAATGTCTGTTCAATAGCAGCCATTTCCACTCTCGAGAAATCAGACATGAAGACTGAAGGCTTCCACTGAGGATTCCATTCCTTAAAAATATTAAGGGCCTCTTTAACAGCTGCCTCTGTTTCACTCTGCACTATAAAAGACCCCACAACTTGATAATCAACATCAGTCTTAACAGCCAAAAAAAACAGGAGAAGAGAATTATCCAGATTCTTATAAGTGCCATCCAATATACAGAGTTCCTGGCCATACCAATCTAATAACTGGCATTGCCACTTTGTCTGGTAAACAACCAACAACTGCTGAAAATAATCAGGTGGATGAAAAGAAGTTTCATCTGTCACATCTGCATAAGGCCTGAAGTAGAATTTGTCCTCTGGTTGACACTGCTGCCATTCTCTAATTTTGATTTCAACATCTTCTTGATCAGACTCAGATATTCTTAGTTTAATTGTGGATAAATTTACACAGTTTTCTATTTCTGACTTTTTGGGAAAGAAATGTCTATTGCTTTTTGATGGTGAATCCTGCCCAGCAAATATCTCTGTTTGTACAAACTGCCTCAGAGATGTTTTAAGAGCTTTGCTGTCTGTTACCCCTTCAGCAACTAAGTCTTCTATTTTTCTTTTGACTCTTGAATCAATGGGATACTTTAAACCTTGAATCTCTGCCACAGAATGATTTTTATGGTCAATCATATAGGGAAAGTGTACATATGTTCTTCTTTCTCCACATGCATTTTTTTCTTTTATGGCATTTTGAACTTGAGAGGATGCCTTTTTTCTGTAGTATTCTGTATTTGATGTTATTCTGAAATTTGGAAATTTGATTATCTCTCGCAGATAGATTTGTGCAGGACAATCTTGTTTCTTGGTGCCTGGGACTCGATGGTAGCGTTTCTTGAATAAATTCTCACCTTTCATTTGAGACTCCTTGTATCTTCGCTTATGGTTCAAGTTGCGATCAACACCATACTGGCAATCATATATACGGCTTCCAAGAACAATGTATGGTAGACCATCAAATTCTAAGTGGCATTTTTTTATTCTGCTATTTTCACCATCATTCCAAAAGATCTTGTGTGCACCAGGTTTCACATCTGAAAAAATACATACACTATACAGTACTGTATTAAATAATACATTTACACTGATATGTGCTTATATGCATACAATGTTGTTATATATAAAAATGACAAATAACTGGATAAATTTTATATTAATATTAAAATCACATGATGATAGGAGCCTATACTCGTGGACGAGCTACATATTTTGTCTGACAGTCAGAGATGTGACTGTAAAACGTAGACGTAGCATACATGGACTTCTCTACAGTTTTTGATAAGGTACTGCATGAAAGACTGATGAGGAAATTATAAGCACATAGAATAAGTGGTAAAATACTAGAATGGATAAAAAAGTGGTTGAAAGAAAAGGCACAAAGGGTTGCCCTAAACAGCAATGAATCTGACTGGAAAAATGTGGTGTGAGGAGTTCTGCAAGGTTCCATCTTGGGGGCCAATCCTTTTAGTCATATGAATTAGTGACATAGATGAGAATACTGTATTACAAACCACATCATCAGATTTGCAGATGACATTAAGGTTAGTGGTAATGTAAAAGGCATAACACTACTGTGGTCTTACAAAGAGATTTATATGAACTCCACAAATGGTCAAATGTAACTGGCAAATGCTTTTCAATAGCATTAAAAAATGCAAGACCTTGCATGAAGGGCATAACACTGCACATCACAGATATTATTTCAACAATACTACCATAAAGAAGATTGATAAAAGAAACGGACCTTGAAGTTTGGAACCAGACGGAAAAGCACCAAGCCATTACGACAATATAGAACTGGGATGGGATCAGGATAAGGATTTGGGATGGGACGGAGGGAAGGAATGGTGTCCAACCACTTGGACGGTCGGGGATTGAACGCCGACCTGCATGAAGCGAGACCGTCGCTCTACCGTCCACCACAAGTGGTTTGGAACCAGAACCAGGAAAGAGAAGCCAGAATCAGGGCACCTGTGCCCCTCAAGGCAAAATTTAAACCCCCAAAACGCTTATGTTGTTGACCCTAATTGCAAACCTGAGTGATTAGATTCCTTGATATGGCTCCAGGCCTGGCAGAAGAAAGTTCCCGTGTTTCTCTGGAATGCATTAATTTCTTGTAAGGCTTTCTCATAGCTATTAAAATACCCAAATGCTTCAGAGATCTTTACGTCGAACGATATTTTAGCCATGATTATTTGTTTACACTCGTGACGTCATTCGTTAATATTTCTGAGCCATTTGAGATGACGTTATCTTTATCATTCTAATATTATTATTAAATTTTACCACTAAGTGATTTTTGTTTTACTAATATGAAGGATAAAGAGCAACGTTAAAGTTGAAAATAAGCTAACTATACGTAGTGCTTCACCCAAACTTGAAACAAGTTTTTAATCTCTGCTTAACTGTACACCCATTTCTAATATATAATCAAATTATTTTATAGTTGAGAAAATACCAATTTTGAATTCAAAAAGTTCAAATTTATGAATGTTTAGAGTGAGCAGGAGGAGCCCGCAATGGTTACCATGGCAACGTCAGCTGCTGTTTGGTAAACACAACTCTGGACGCTGTTCCTTGTGGCACCTTTTGGCACTTTGTGGCACCATGTGACACCTTGTGGCACCTTTCTCAAGTTTTTATCAAGCTCATCATCCAGGAGTGTGTAATTGGTGTTGTACACGGTACAAACATGTGCAAGTTAGAAGATCAGTTGCTTTATTTTTTATTTATTTATATATAAATACCAAGAGATACCAGTCTCCGTGGTGAAGTGGTAAGACACTCGCCTGGCGTTCCGCGAGCGCTATGTCATGGGTTCGTATCCTGGCCGGGGAGGATTTACTGGGCGCAATTCCTTAACTGTAGCCTCTGTTTAACGCAACAGTAAAATGTGTACTTGGATGAAAAAACGATTCTTCGCGGCGGGGATCGTATTCCAGGGATCTGCCCGAAACGCTACGCGTACTAGTGGCTGTACAAGAATATATCAACTCTTGTATATATCTCAAAAAAAAATATACAAGAGTTCTTACATTCTACACTGGACACGTTCAAGTGAATTTATATTCATTTTATATTACGGCGACAAAAACAAATCATTTATATCAAATCGGCGACATCTAAATCATTTATATATATTATAAACAACAGAGGTTCAAAGACAGAGCCTTGAGGCACTCCACTTTCAACATTTTCCCACTCTGACTTAACCCCATGACTTAAGTACACGTATATTCTTGCTGTTACAGTATTATTAATGTTAAATAATATATATGTGCTGTTGCTAAAACTACAGCTTTTATAATGTAGTAGTCTGTGCCTGTCAACATTGTTTCATCTTTTTATAGTGTATCATTTGCAAAATTTCTTGAACATCTTGCATGTATAACCTGAATTTACATGAGGGCCACCAACACTAGTGGCACTGACGAGGACAAGAAGTGGGTGGCTTGTCGAAGCTCCTCTCATTTGTCCTTATGATTTTAATAAGCTAGATTTTAAAATTCAACAGAGATTTGGCATTTATGGCTTCGGCAGGTAGGCAGTTCCATGGGTTTATAATCCTGTGGGTGAAAAGGCATCTCCTGTTCTCAGTCCTACATTGTGGCTTGTTGAGCTTGAAACCATTGCTCCTTGTTTGTGTTGTATCTAACCTGGAAAAAAAAAATCCAAATCAACATATTGTTCAGTATTAGTATTTTCAAAGTTTCAATGAGATCTGCTTTGTCATGACTGGTTTGCAATGTTGTTAGCCATGTGGCTCTCAACCATTCCTGATACGAGACTTAGCTCAGGAAAGATTTTTTGTTAGTATGCTTAATTATTCTTTGGATTTTATTAGCTGTTTTTTACTGCTTTTCCTACATATTCAATTTTAAATGAATAATGGTTTCTAACTCCAGGGTCCTTTTCATCAATATGCTGCGAGCTAATGTGTTAGAGTACTTCTCATTTAGTATTGCTTACTACATTATGCCTATAAAAATTTTAACAATTATTTTTTTTTGCCTGAAACACTTTACACATCAGTGACTTTATTTTTCCCTTTAATATGCATCCTCTGTATATTCAGACTTACCTGTGTGTTAGCAAGAGCAGGTATTGAAAGGGGGGGGGAACTTTAAGAAGGAGGTAAGAGGAATAACTATTAATACTTTTTAATCTTTGTCATTCCTTGCTGTGCACATTGAATGGCAGTCCTCAACCTACTGTACTTTAAATCTGCAGTCCTTGACAGTACTGTACAGTATCATCCTGCAATTATGCAGATACAGCGACCATAAGAAACAGAAGAAACACTCACAGGTTACATACACTATAAAGATCAAGGACCGTGTAGGCCTGTGGCGGTTGCTTTTTCTCCAGTCAGACAAGAGGAAAATTAAATACAAGCATGCTGTGGGAAGACAGAGATGTTCGCTTCGATATTACTCCACAGTAAGTACAGTACTGTAATTTGCTTTAAAAGTTTGTGATATGATAATCATGTTGAGCAAAATTGAGAATAAAAAAAAAAGTAACATGATTCTGGCACTTGCCAAAGTCAGGTTGGGCTACCATCACCTATGGCAGGTAGCTGTAGGTAATGAATACTGTATACCAGTTCTGAGCACTCCATATGTGAATTTTGTGAAAAGGATCTGGGTAATGTTCTCAAACATGATATTGTTGAACATCAAATCATGAGGCTCTTTAAAGTAGACTGTCCAGTATGTGCTACTCAATGCTTTCCAACTATTTTATCCATTTTTTTTTTTTTTTACATGATATCCATGGTCTATCAAATTTGATAGTGCTGGCAAATAGATTTTACTATGACAAAACATACTGTAGTTTAGGGATGTTACATACAGGAGGAAGTACTTAAGTACAGTATTATATGCCAATAAGAGGTCGATGGTAAGTTGTCATGACTGTTATTTATATATATGTACAGTATACTATATATGTTTTAGGTGTCCCCAGTAAGTTTACCTTATGGGATTGTCCAAATAATTTAACAAAGCTGTATTATGCAGCCACTTTCTGTTCTTATTTCCATCCCATTGCTCTTTCCTTTTCTTCATATTTCACATGTACATATGGAAGGTCATTTATTATTCTCATATAAACTTGTATAGAATGAAACTGTTGTAGCACATATTAGCTCAACTTGGGTCTTTTATGGAGAAAGATTTAGGTCATCCTGCAGTCTACCTTGTTGTTTGGTAATAGTATTATAAATATTAATACAGTAACTTGGAATTCTTAGTATGTGAATAGTTAAAAGCATTCCCCCATTTTGTAATCTGTTGAGTAAAGATTATTTTGTATATGTTATGCTGTCCAGTATTATGATGCTTTTAACTTGCAAAAATGTATACGCTTAAATATAAGGATGCCAAAATTTATGGGAATTAAGTACTCCTGTATTTTATGTAGCTATTGTATATCAGTTTTAAGAAATGAAGGATATTTTTTATTCGGGCAAATTTTGTGATAAACCAGGTTTTATTGAATCCCATACAAATTTAAATTGAACCCAAAAATTCTCGATCCCGTTAACATACTGTAACTTTATACAGCACTGTATAGTATTATCTGTGTTGTGATCTTAGACAGATGAAAATGAGGTCTGGTGAGCGAATTATTGACAAACTGGAATCTGTTGAAGACACCAAAGGAAACTCGGGAGACCGTGGACGATTCATCATTACAAACCTGCGGCTGCTTTGGTACTCCATGAACATGCCTCGGGTGTCACTCTGTGAGTTTTCAAAGTGTTTTAACAGGAGTTGCTCTTTAACTTCCAGTCAGTTTATAAATATTGTTGCTAAGATAAGGGATACCTTTGTATACTTTTGGAAAATATGTTCATGTGTGTTACGTTTAGAAGCAGTTCTCGTATTTTAATTCCATGAAGATGTCACTGCATAGGTGTTTTATAATATGTTAGCTAAAACTGTAGTGTTTTATTGGAAATTGGCAGAGAGCCTGATGGAAAGATAAATTCAGTTAAGACAATGTATTTACTGTATATGCGAACAAGCCAGAATGGTCCCCTGGACAAGTCCCCTGAGTTTTCAGTTACTGTATATATATATTCTTTATATAGTATTTCAGTGGTGTACATAATCAGCTCGCAACGAAGAGTTTACTTAGCAGTGAAAATACTGTAGGTACCAGGGAGCCAGATAACTGTTGTGGGTTACATTCTGGGAAAAGTCAGTAGTCTTTCCTTACTATTTTCTCTCATACTTTCCACAGTGCTTTTGTAAATATTGATACTAGTTTGTTTTTCCAGCTGTTGGTTTGAACTGCATAATAAATATTACAACAAAGACAGTCAATTCAGTAAGTTTCTGTATTGTTTACTGTAGTTCATTTTATAGATTCCATATTTATATTTGATGGCTTTGTTTATATTTATTAAACTGTTTACAAGCATCAAAAGTTCCCAATTAAATGTGGTTATTGTTATAAGCAGCCCCTAGTGCTTCAGAGCTCATAAAGTGATTAATAAATGTAAACAAAGCCACCAAAGATTTGACGAGATGTACAGGTTCATAGGTGGCTGCATAAATGCTGGTTGAATCTTGGCACGGGTCGGTGGTTGACTGAGAAGTCTAGCTCTCCATATTTGCATGGTGAGACCATTTGAAATGATACTTGTCTTTGTGGAGAGATTAGTGAACAGAGCCTTGTGTATGTACTGTACATTGATTTAAATGGACAAATTAGCCACTGGCTCAGGATGCAACCAAGAGACCAACTAAAAAATTATCATTTCATTCTGTATTTTTATTGTATGGTACAAAAGTTTTCTGGCATATAAATTTATGGAGTGCATAACAAATTAATAAAACTAATTATTAAAGTAATTAAGCCATACACTTCACAGTGTATCACAATCTATGTTTTGTACTTAACCAGTCTTTGATTTGATTTGTGTACACAGCAGTCCTTGTTTATCCTGTCTATTCCCCTCAACATTTTGTATTTTTGTATACAAGAGTTTTTACATTCTTGTAAAGCCACTAGCATTTCTGGCAGCTTTTCAGTCCTGCTTTCCTATTTTCCTATTGTTGTGGAGGCTGATGCCTCCACAACACAAAGTGGGAAAAGGATAATAATGATGAGGATTATATACAGTACATATATTTTTTATATTTGATCGTGTTTCAGAAACTGAGAGGACTAACAGAGGCTCTGTATATTCTTACAAAAGCGAACAACACAAGATTTGAGTTTATCTTTACAAATCTTGTCCCGGGTTCCCCGAGGCTCTTCACATCAGTTATGGGAGTTTATAAGTAAGTACTGTTCTTTTTATAAAGGAACTAACAAATGAAAGCTCAGTGCATGAGAATGATTAGGTGTTTGTCTTTTAAAGTTAAACTATTATACAGTACAGTACAGTCGTTATGATTAATACAATTGGATTTTAAACTGTGTAAGGTATGTGTTCCTCAATATGCCTGGCCCTTTACTGTGAACTCAGCAAATCCTTACCCTAAGAAGAAACCAAATAACTTTTTTTCAGAAAAGTGCTTTTTTATGTTTTTGAAATGCCTTAATTTGTTTGCTTTTGTCACAATGAAGTTCCTGTTTCGTAGTATACTAAATTATAAATGTTTTTGCAGGTAGGATTACTTGGTGAGGTTAATGGTGTCAGGTTGCCAGATCAGACTTGTCCACTAGCTTAGCACTGGAAGGTGACTGGGTAGGTCAGTTGGCTATTAGTTAAAATTAAATTAGCAGGGGTTTGTTTCCTCCATTTCAGATGCAGATTTTGCAGCTACCAAACATTTGGCCTGTACTGTTAACAGATAAATACTGTACAAATTATACAATTCTCCCAAACATCAAAATCCTTTTTGTATTGGATTTGGTAGAAAAATATTTCAATTGCCCTGTCAAGTCTTGCAAAAATTGTAAACACACTCTACAGTATCTAGAATATTTTAGTTTTCCATTCCCTCATCCTGTTCATTCATGTCTTTGAGTGGACTGAGGGAGGTAGTATAGTTCTTTTTCTTTCTGAGTTATATATTTTAACTTTTGCTAAACTCAGCATTACATTCAGAATCTCCATGGGGATATTTTGTGGTACAGCAAAAGTTGAAAATTGTGTGAAATAAGACATCACATAAGAATATAATGGAAGGAGTCATAATATGGTGTTTGATTTTCAGTTCAAAATTTTGCATTAAAACAGGATGAAGGAGGTTCAAATTTGCACACTCTGAATTTGACTTGACAAAGGATTAGATGTGATATTTTATGTATATAAAACCAACTTTACACTTTACTTATGCAACCTGAGCATTAGAGAATTTTAAGTGATAATCAAATTAGGACAATAACTCAACAGGGCTTACACTTCCTCTAAGATGTATCGCGAGTTGAAACTACGTGGCGCTATCATCCAGAATAAACAGCTGAGGATCTTGCCACAAGAACAAATATTTTCTCGTGTGAATGGCGTCTGGAACTTATCTAGTGACCAGGTATGATTATCATAGAAGAACAGTTTCCGTAGCATTCCCTACTCTCTGTATTCTATCAAAAATATTTCTGGCAGGAGCCCTTAAGTGGCTCCCTGAAGCTATCTCTGAGATGGCTTTCCACTACTGATTAACATCAGTTATAAAGTCCTGTTTGGCCTACCAAATACTATCTGAGCGAGAAGGCTTCAGGCAGCCACCAAAGCTCTACCATAGAGGCATTTCATTACATTCAATGCTGGTCTTTTACTCTACAATATCTCCAGAGTTTTATGTCGTACCATACTATCAATTTCTTGCTTAAGAATATTTATACTTTTATTATGATATCTCATTCAACTACAGACATGTTTTATTTTCTGCTTTTAGCTAATTAATCATTTTTCTTAAAGCGCTCTACATTTCTAATTCACCTTATTATTCATTTTTTTAGTACAGTATCGTGTTTTTTCTATTTATGTGTATCATCTTAAATGTTAATTTTAACTTTGTTTGCTCCTTAAGGAGTTCTTAAGGAGGATTGAGGCATTTAAATGTATTTAAGGCACAGAATGTAGCCTAGAGTCTAAATATTAACATTATATTTTTCCCAACAGGGCAACTTAGGGACTTTCATCATCACGAATGTGCGGCTTGTATGGTTCGCCAATATGAACGAATTATTCAATATATCACTCCCATTTCTGCAAATCGCATCTGTAAGTGAGCATGCATATTTAACTACTGTCCTTTTAACTTATCATTTTTCAATAATGTATAAATTTTTCATACCTTTGTTGTTGTGGTATGCCAATTCAATCACATATTTTAAAACCATTATATACATAATGATTTAATGGAACTCACAGCTACAGTAGGGTACAGTATTTTACATTTATTTTTATTTTATGATTTATTAAAATACACTATAACTTTTCTTACATTTTTAAAAGGTAGATGGTATTTTAAAATACAGTACTGTATTTTATCTAGTGAGGAAATTCAATAGTTTTATATTTAGTTTCTTAAAACATATACTGTATAAAGTTGAAATAATATATTTGGAACTTTAATAAACTTTATCTGCTGCTGTATTTCCATACTGTATTCTCCTTTAGGTAAAAGTGCGGGAATCTAAGTTTGGAATGGCATTAGTAATTGAGAGCTCAGAACCAAGTGGAGGATATGTGTTGGGGTTCAGAATTGATCCCCTGGAGAAGCTGCATGAGGTTCACAAAGAGATCAATGCACTGTACAGTGTGTACTCCCAGTGTCCAGTCTTTGGGGTGGAGTTTGTTCTGCAGGATAAGGTACACACTCATCTGTAACATAATTAAATGTCATTTACAACTTATTTGTTTAATATACATATATAAATTGTTTAGTACAGTGTGGTACAGTACATTTATTATGAAATATAAATTGGAGTTTACTTTTTTGTATATTAGTAGTGTTCATTTATTTATAAAATAGTGTCAGTAGTTTTTCAGATTAAATGTATAATTTTTCAGTGTAAGATCAAGTTCAAATTACATAAAATCTACATGCAGATGAGGCGTCATAACAACGTGGCTGAAAAATGTTGACCAAACCACACACTAGAAAGTGAAGAGACAACGACGTTTTGGTTCGTCCTGGATCAACTTGATAATGGTCCAGGACAGACTGATTGTCATCGTCTCTTCACTTTCTAGTGTGTGGTTTGGGCAACACATAAAATCTAGTTAAATGACTATGACATATGAAGTACTTTTCCAGGATTTCCTGGGTTTTGGTGGTATCAATATGAATTCGGTTCCTCGAGCATATTTACTGGTCAATGCAGACCAGGTAGGCAAACATTGCACTTCATTCTAGCATCAATAAAGCTTGCTAGTACTACTAATGTTCATGCTAGAGCATTTAAAGGTTGTTTGGAGATTGGATAATAACTATTTCTTTATCCTACTCCCTTCATACCTCATGAACAGCACTTCTCTCTATATTTTTCATCATATATATATATATATTTGGGAGAAATTTTAGTAAGTTATTAAGTAAATACAATAGACAGTATTTCATCCTTTACCACTTATACAAAATTTGTCTTAAATAAGTCATGAAAAACATGAACATTCTATTTCTTGCAACACACAAGCTGAGAAGCCTTGAAAGATTGGGTATAAAATTTGTATAACCTTAAAATATATATAGTGTCATTACATCTATGTATCTCTGAAATTTACAGTTTCTTACCTTTGCAACTTGAGTATTACTGTAAGGTGTTGCTCAATGCCATACCACAATATACCTGTTGGTAGCCATTCATATTACATCTTTTGCATGCATACACACACACACTATCTTTTAACCTAATATTTTCGCTTCCACGTAACTTTTAATTTAAATCATGAAGTCGATGCAATTTTATTATTGTGAATTTCATACATCATCAGTCTGAAACAGTAGATCAATCTTAAATTCTTTTTTGTTTTGTTTTCATGATCCACATTCTTTCAAGACCTTCAGTAGTTCTATTTCTGTTTCATGACTGATGAATATTTTCTATATTTGCCTGAAGATGTGTGGCAAAACCAAGACATACATGTATATCTATGTTTATTTGGAAAGTCATCATCTGTTTAACATATTCATGTTATAGGGGTAATATGAACTTCTATACTTCATCAGATATAGTTCTATACTTCATCAGATTTACTTGGTTTTGCATCAAACTCTTGCTAAATAAATATTACATTAGTTCAAGGAAATACTCTTGTTAAAAATCTAAGTTACAATTACCATTTTTCTAATTAGTTTAGATACTGGTAAGTATATTGTAACTATGTTTGCAATATTTTTTTGCAGGAATTATGTGCATAGCTAATCCATATATTGTATAACACTACTTACAGTACTGGAAAAGGAGCATGTTGTATGCAAACATGCTATAGTGTGCATGTGTCTTGTCCTACATGTCAAGGCTCAATTGCCGGGCAGGATGAGGTGCTTGTGCACATTCCTTACTCCTGATGCCTCTGTTCACTTGTTAGTAAATAAGTACTGTACCTGTGAGTTTGGCAACTGTTTGTGGTTGCATATTGGGGATAATCAGTCATAGCCTTACACCTGGGTACATACTAGTACTTACTAATAAGTAAACAGAAGCATCAGGAGAAGGATAAGGTCTACAAATTCGTTCTGCATGGCCTGATTCATTTGTCTGGCAGGACAAGATATTTGTGCTGCTTATTTCCTTTCTCCTGATGCCTCTGTTCATGTATTAGTAAATAGGATAGGTTAGTCATTGGCCTAGGGGGACCTAGATAAGTCTAACAGGCTTCCTGTCTCTGAGAATAGGAAACTAGTAGTATGCATCCATCAGTCTCAAGAGACTATGGAGTTGCACTCTGTTTGTTGGTCTGGAGTGGCCTCTCCAGGGAGCAAAGCCAGGGTAAGTTGATACAGGGAAGAAGCTGTCACCCATGCAGAAGGTCCCCCCTCTCCATGACGCCGAAAGTCTATGACTTACTATGGAAAACTATGACACCTATTACAGTAAGAGGGTTACAACATTATTTCATTACTGCACATATAGCCAGATCCTATTATAATCATAGTCTGGCTGTAACCCCAGCCCTCTTATACTAACCATTATACTCTATGTACAGAAACACTCAAAAAAATCAAATTCAAATTCAAATGTTTATTCAGGTAAAGTACATACATACAAGGGGTGATACAAATACTGTATTGATGAATTTATAGATAGAGCTAGTACATACAATGCTATTACTATAAACTATTTACTTATTACTTATTACTTAAATATAACACTATTTATTTACTTATTTTTTATTTCATTATTTCTATATTTTACACACACACAATGTGTACACTACAGAATATACTAAGTTTTTTTTTTTTTTTAACAATAGCCATCTACAGATGAGGAGCATCTAGATTTACCAAGTGAGGACGAAGCTGAGATTGACGAAAGTGTGAGCGACACAGCTGACGTTCTGGCAGCATATCTTGCAGATGGTCATCACCAGGACAGAGAACCAGTATATTCAAGTGAATTAGGATTGGCCATTGAAAAGCTGAAGGATGGGTATACCTTACAAACTTTGTGGGAAGTTATACCAAGCTAGATTATTTCCTTATTCATAATTGTTACTTTAAACTTTCATGAAGTTAGAAATCATCAGCACTAAGTAAAAAGAAAGGGATATAGTTTAGGAATATTCCCTTGAATATCTTTAGGGTGCTAAAGATATTCAAAATATCTTCTTATTTTTTATTTTGGATGGTGTAATCACCACATAATAAATAATTCACAACAGCACACCATCCCTGCAGACACACACCGTAACTGTCCCAATTTTTGGCTTGTTACAACTTGTAACAAAGTTGTTACATCGTGTTATAACGTTTTTATGACGTATTAGAACATTGTTACAACTTGCTATATTAGTTGTTACAACTTGTTAGGTGTTAAAACTTGTTCGAACGTTGTAATAACGTCGCAGTTTTGTCGTGTGTCTGGCGGGACTACCATGAAAGATTAGTTGCACAGTGCTTCTTGTATTTACTATAATACAATACACATGGAATACCTCCATCACAATATACTGCCACTTAACCTTGTTCTATATCACATTCTGTGTGCTATGCACTTTTCAAGTCCCACTTTCTCACACATTCATTCAGCACGTCTGCCCTATACCAGCCTTTCTTTTCTATACTGGTAGTGGATATTAGAGATATTAAATGAGTAAGGGTAGACAAGTAGAACATTGCAATAACCATTTTAATAATTACAATGTTCACATTTCAATATTGCATAAAACTAATCATAATAGTGATAATAGTAATTGTTAATTGTAAAGAGGCTTATATTAATAATTTAAGAATGAAAGTTATTATGTTTATAGTCATTTATTCTATCACCTTTTCTTTGGTTAAGTGCCATTAATTAGTTTTTTATACTGGGTCATTGAAGGTAAAAGTTTGAAGAATATTTATATAAATAATAATATATTTTTATTGTATAGTAAATAGAAGTCTTTAGGAAAAATAATATTTGCATCTATGCATGTTTTGTTGCAGAAAAATATACCTATCAGATAATGATCAGTTCAGTTCTAAGCCTTAGTGGGTTTTTTTTTTTTTCAAAAACAAATTGAAATTTAAGAACTTAATATGTGTTTGGTGTGTTATTATGTTTTTTCATTAATAAACTGTTTTTCTTATTTAATTATACAGTGCTAAAATAGCTTAGATGTGCTGACAATTAAAATACCTAGTCGACAGATGCACATGAGAAAAGTACGTTAATGTCACAAGTGAATGATATTTTACATAAGCTATTTCCACCTCTCAGACTGTTTGTGAATATTTCTGAACTATTCCTCTTGAAATCTCTCAAAGACAAGATCCATCCTGGTCACTAAGTAGTAGTACATGACAGTCAGGGAGGGTGATGACCAAACCACACATCAGAAGATGGAGAAACGATGTCATTTTGCTCCGTCCTGAATCATTATCAAGTTGTGTGTGAGGAAGAAAGGAAGGAACAGACCAATAAATAAGGAAATAGAGTGAGGCAGGGAACAGGTAAGAGAAGAAGGTAAGAGTAAAGTAAAAGTAAGAATAGGATAAAAGGTACAAATGGGATGAAAGAAGAGTGGGATGAGGTAAGAATAAGAGGAAAGTAAGAAAAAGTAAAATGGGTAGGCTTAAGTCAGGTCTTGTTTGTTAAAAAGGTTGGAGTATTTAACGAAGTTCTGTGAAAGGGAAGAGTCAACAGCAACAAAGTCAGGACTAAGGTTCATGTTGGGTATGTTGTATACCAGAGCTGATTCAACAACATAGCGTCTGTGAAAACTAGAAGCAGGAAAGATTATTTTAGAAGATGGCCAATCTTTACAATTATTAGAGTCCATAACATGACATAAGAGAGCATTGTTTATGTCTGCAGACTTAACACCTCTTTTGTGTTCAAGTCTGTCATTTAATGTACAGACAGTTTCAGCAGAGTATTGGAGAGGACAAGACAAACACGAAATAGTGTAGTGTAATAGGAATGAGCTGGTAAGAAATTATGTTGCTGGTTGCTCTGTTGTGAGAAAGATTTCAATGCTGTAGTCAGTCTTATATTCTCATCCACCTGACTGTTTGGATCAACACTGCTTATTGAGTGATTGGTTATAGGAAAGTACTGTACTTGATTCTGAGAAATGTGCTGACATGTGTGGAAGTACTGTAGCTGTTACAGAATTTCTGATGTAGTTGCTACACTCTAATATACTATGTGACAACAAATGAATAAAATGTAATCAATAGAAATTAACATTCAATTTAGTGTATTAATGTGGGAATGCATGCAGATGTGGGTGTAACTGATGTGTGTAGGCCTATATATTCTTGTGTATATGTACAGTATATACTTTAATATAATTACACAAACACCAGCATACTGGATTTTCCTTCACCTATGGTATTATGTATTTATTTATACCGTTATTAAGAAAATATAAAGTGCCAGATCAAAGTGGTGAAAATAAGTGGTTTAAATTAAGCCAAAGCCCATCAAGTGAAACAGTTTCCCATCAAGTAAAACTATGCTTGAAAGTTTCAAGCATAGGTTAAACATATGAATAAGTTTGGATGGATATAAATAGGAGCTGCAAATAGGCTTTCAACAGTACTAATAAGATTATTGAGATAATTGTATTAATGATCTTGCTTAAATCTTTTTTTTTTTAATTGGTCAATCAAAAATTGATCCAAATTATATCAACCATTACTAATGTTCAAATTGTAAGGTTCTGTGATCTGTGGTAAAGCAGATTGAATAATGTTTCTGTTGACAAAGATTTTACAATTAGTTATTGAAGAAGAACTCTCAATCAATTTGGTGAAAGTTTTCTGACAAATGAACAAAGTATTAGACAATTGGCCATGTCTTACAGGATGTGTTGTGAAATTCTAAATTTCAAATCTTTGGATGTTTGATCTACATAGAATGCATTAGTCGTTACAAGGTATTTTATGAATGACAGTTATTTATATACTGTATATTATATGGAAATGTCTGTTCAAAATTGAAAGCCAGACCAGGAAGAAAGGGTGGCGAAAAATAAAAAGAGGAGAGTGGGAAAGGGGAAGATGCAGGAGAGAGAGACTATCCCAGGCACTGCCTGGTACATCCAATAATAATAATTTTTATTCATGTAAAAGTACATACATGCAAAATAAGTTACAATGTATGTAGTCCCCGTGGTGTAGTGGCAAGCTCGCCTGGCGTTTCGGGAGTGCTTTGTCCTGGGTTCGTATTCTGGCTGGTAAGAATTTACGAATTTACTTGGCGTTGCAAGTAGCCCCTGTTTACTCAACAGTAAAATGGGTACCTGGTTGTTAAACGATTTGGCAAGGTCTAATTCCGAGGAACATAGGATTAAGGACCTGCCAGAAACGCTATGCGTGCTACTGGCTGTACAAGAATGGATTTTCTTGTGTATATAAATATATGAAACGTTTAAAAAATGAATGTTGAATTTGTAGATAGAGCTGGTATATACTATGCCTAAAGCCACTAGTACGCACAGCGTTTCAGGCAAATATTATTATGAATTATAATAATTTTGTACCATCTGTCTTTTGTAATGTTAGATTTGTATTTGAAGAATTTTTGTTTTGTTTTATTAAAAGTGGCTTATAGTTTTGGAAAGGTGTGACGGGGCACGTGGTGGTGTTGACGGGGTCTGGTCGCTTCTCACACCACACCATTCCAAGCGCGTTTTCTCTTTCTCTTCGTTCAAAGCGTATATTGTGTTATGCTTGGCAGTGTTAGGTTAGGATGTATTGGGCTCAGTTGGATAGGTTAGGTTGCGTTGAGCTAAGTTAGGTTGCGTTGAGCTAGGTTAGGTTGCACTGAGCTATGTTAGGGTAATTTGGTTTCATAATCCGCTGGTGAACGGTGTTGTGTACTAAGCGACCTGTCTCAGTGTTGACAGTGGCGAGGAAGATGTCGTCGAGGAGGCCCGAGCTGCAGGCGCCGCCTCAAGTGGTAAGACTCTCAGCCTCTCTCTCCTCACATTGTGGGGCTCGCCCCCCCCCCCACGCCCCTCCCTCCCAGTAACCTCTTATACACTTGTCCTCCCAAACTACAGTTTGAAGTGTGATCAAGGGAGCATGACTGAGCGGTGTTCATGTGAACAATTTTGATCAATTTGGTGATATTTCTCTCTCTCTTTTCCAGTATTATGGAGTTGATGAAGCTCGCAAGTACACTCAAAAGTAAGTATTCTCTTAAAAGGCATAAAAGTGGAACACTAGTAATCATAAACTATATATTAGTTTTATTTAGATATACAGAGTTCTTACATTATTGTACAGCCAGTAGCACGCATAGCGTTTCAGGCAGGTCCTTAATCCTAATTTTTCCCCGGAATACGACCGCAAAATTGTTTAACAACCAGGTACCCATTCATTGCTGGTTGAATAGAGGCTACAGTTATGGATTGGTGTCCAGTCAGGATACGGCCAAAGCGCTCGCGAAGAGTGGGGCGAGTGTCTTGCCACTGTGCCACGGTGACTGCTAATGTAATATTGGTAAAGTTGTTAGGGTCTTAAAAGATTAAGGTACAGTATTGGGTTGTGATAGTACATGTACATAACATTGGTGTTCTTACATTCTTGAAAACTTACACTAACATGCATAGTGTTTTGGGCAGAAATAGGAAAAGGGTAAACATACTATGCTTGAAGACAACAGCATCTGCATCTTGTGACATCTTGCATATACCAAACTACTTCTTGTTCAATTGTAAAAATTGGTTATTTAATTTTACTAAAAAAGTGTTCTTTATAACAGTTCTCGAGTGATTGAAGTCCAAGAAAAATGCACAGCACGCGCCATGGAGCTGCTGGCCCTCCCAGATGACACACCCGCCCTGCTACTGGACCTGGGATGTGGTTCGGGCCTCTCTGGTGAAACCATAACAGAGCAAGGGCACATGTGGGTGGGCATGGATATATCTTCAGCCATGTTAGGTGAATTTTAATATTTTTGCATTATATCAGGTTTTGTGATCTCTACTTCAACATTAAAATCTAATGTCATAAGATTCGTCCAGACTTTGTGAATTCAAATACTACTACACACTTCTATGCGCCCTTCAGCTATAATTCTCACAACACATATGTCTTGTGTGCACAGCCTGTGCCTTTGTGTAATGCCTCATTTCCCCTCTTTTGTTATATATCTGTATCTACAAGAATCAAGATCTACCTTTAGTGTTATATCTCTTGTTGGTTACCAGATGTAATTATTCATTCTGACAGTCTAGGGTCGCACTAGATTTTTTTATTGTTGCCATCAGAGGCAGCTAGTTTATTGTGCACCCCATATTCATCCTGTGAGCGGTAGCACAAAAGGATTACAGAGGGCACTAGGTGTACACGTTGCCTGTGGATCACAATAAGCTAAAAGTAACACAACCTGGAGTCCACCCAAACTCGCAAGGAATTTTGAGGCACTAAGCTAATTGGAATCTACCTTCTTGTTCCAGAGATTTTCTCCTAGATATATCACATCATTATGATTTTATTATGTATAGGTCATATTCCTGGCATACTGAGTGTATCAATTTCCTTGTATTATATACACACTTTATTTCCATCTGTGGATTAAGATGGCAATTGTATCCCCAGACACAGCCCTGGAGAGAGAAGTAGATGGTGATATGATGCTTGCAGACATGGGTCATGGTGTTCCTTTCCGTGCTGGGATGTTTGATGGAGCCATCAGCATTTCAGCCATCCAATGGCTCTGCTACGCTGACACTGCCAACCACAAACCAGCCAAGAGGTTGTACAAGCTCTTCATGTCTTTATTTGCAAGCCTGGTAAGCCTTGTGCTGTTCCAATACTGTATATGCAAAATTGCTTGCTGCTCACTATTTGCATTTAAGTACATAAGCTACAAGCATTTCTCCAAAAATTTTATATAGTCTATAGTAAGGGAACGGAATTTGTGCACACATGCCAATTGTGATCATTTTTACACACTTGAATTGTATAGGGTGCCTGGTGTAATTGATATGTGAACTTAAATTTTGGAATTGTAATTCATATAAATCACAATTTTTTCAAGGAGATGCTGTTTTAATTCATGTATTGTATAGGCTCGAGGAAGTCGTGCTGTATTTCAGTTCTATCCTGAGAATGATTCACAAGTGGAGCTGATTGTGTCTCAGGCCATGCGGGCAGGATTTACTGGGGGTCTTGTTGTGGACTATCCCAACTCATCCAAGGTAACCTATTGTACCTCTTATTGTTTACATTTTTTTTTTTTTTTTTTTTTCCCTTTTGCATCAGGCCATAGAAAATTAGGTTGTAAAGAATATATTAATTTGGGTTCCTGTATGATTAAAAATTTATCAGTTCTCCCAGCCAATTTATTTCATATTCTTGACTGCATGTCACTTGGGCCGATTCTGACTGGCTTATGACACTTCTCAACCCAACATGATTCATCTTGGAAAGTTGGGTGAGGCTAGCCCAAGACATCTGGCCTCCATAGATTACCAGGAGAAGTACCCAAAAGTGCCTGGAATAGTCTATCCCCCCCCCAAACCCTTCATTCCACCCCCTCTTCTTTTCCCCTTCTTTCCACATCCCCTCTCATTTTCCATATTCCCTCTCCCAAATTTCCTCTTTCTCCCTATACCCCCATCCAACAGACAAACAATTCCATTTGTATACAAGGGGTACTTGGCTGCACTCGGGTCTCTCCCCATCTTCATCTTAACCCCCGGTGTCTCCAGCCTCTTGGTTTCCTTTTTCATTCCCCACTTCTGTCACAAAATATATTATCACTAAAAACTGTATGGGAAGCAAATCAAACATTTCACACTTCACAAAAATCTCATGGGGGGGGGGGGGTCTCTATGGGAGCTAATATATCTTAAAGCATTTAATGTGGGTTTACCTCGAACATCCTTTGTCTCTCCTGTACCACAGACCATTCTTTCCCTGTAAAGATGTGTGAGGCTAGCTCCAAGCATCGCGCCTCCAACATTGGACAGGCGTTCTCTCTTACAGTATAGATTATTATTATTATTTTTATTATTAACACACAGAAATCACATTAACGTGATATATATGTTGATGAGAAAATCCACTGGAACTATAGGTGGGCACGAACCTGCATCCCCGGCATTGCCAGTGGTCTAGTGTTAGAGTACGAGACTGGCAATGCTGGGGTTCGCGCCCACCTATAGTCTCAGTGTATTTTCTCATTAGTATTAGTATTATTATTTTATTATTATTATCATTATTATTATGTATTTGTTCATAACAGGCTAAGAAAATATACTTGGTGCTGATGACAGGAGGGGGTTCACTACCCAGTGGCTTACAGGATGACGGGAGCAACACCACTCAAGCACTCTATCAACGGAGGTGGGTTACCTACAGTGGAAATTGTCAGTGTGAAAAAAAGTTATAGTGGAAACTGGCAGCCTGAGAGTTTCCAAGTAGTGTAATGTTAGTTTGTAGGAAATGTTTGACTATGGTTGAAAAAAGTAATTAATGAATTCTCAGATGATGACATAGCCCAAACAATCCATGAATGTTGTCTGTAGAATCATAGATATCCAAGTTTTTGCAAATTTTTCTGGATACCTCATTAGCACTTAGATTGTTGATGCTTGTTGCCAAGTGCAAAATTCTTCCAATGGCATTCAACCCTTAGTTCACTCTTAACGAAAAATGTCTCCATATGCTGCAACACGCTGCCTATTTATGAAATTTTATCTTTATAGTTTTTCATTGGTCTCTACTAAAGGAATTTTCATGATGGTTTTGGTATCATCTGCATGGGATATGAAGCTGTGATTTGATATTTTTGTACTGGCCTACTTGAAACTAGTAGTACAAAGCATGGACTATAATTTGTTTGAGACAAACAATCTGCTTTTTGCATGTTGACTCCACTTGTTATATTTACTAAAATAGAAAAGAGGATATGTTGCAATATAAACAGTTCAAATTATTGTGCTAATGTTTTTGGTTATGTATCATTTTAAGAATTACAAAGGAATACATATTTTTTCCAGGGAACGCATGAAGCAGATTCGTAGTGGTCGCCAGCCAAAAAGAGTATGGATTTTGCAGAAAAAGGAACGGCGAAGAAAGCAGGGCAAGGAGGTGCGGCTTGACTCCAAATATTCTGGCCGGAAGAGAAGTGATAAATTCTAATGTATAAATTTTTACAGTAAATTTATAGTGTACAGTATTTTGTTTGTTTGATATTTTACCATTATAAATATGTGTACAATTAAGTAATGATTTTGCTAAGGGTGTATTTACTGAAATTTTGGTGCTGTAATGTGGTGGGGCTGTTTTGTGGATGACTTCTGGAACATGATGCGAGACCTAGTGTTCTGCATCACTAATGTTGGGGATAATGTCATAGCCCTATGGTGATTAGTAGAATTTTGCCATATGCACTAAGGAAGAATTTTGTATAGTTTTTCAAACCTGACATTCATCCTTTGTGATACATTTGCTCAGTTAGATTCATGGTGGGTTTCTTCCTAAAAGTTGCTGCCTGTGTTGTGGTTAGGTTGCCATACTGTACAAGCTTTTGTCTCGAACATAGACTAATGCAGCAGCTGACATGTCTAGAGCGCGCACACAGAAATATTAGTGCTGGCACTCTCGCCTGTTTATGCATTTTCAGTGTAGGAACTTTGTTGTATTGAGAAGAATCTGGCACATTTTTATTTCTTTTACCTGTGAAATGATTCTTAAGGATGGAAAGGGCACTGCTCGTGGTTCACACTAGTGTTTCGGCTTTTTCTTTTTTCTTCTATCTTCTAGTTTTGGCATGTTTAACGAATCTAGTTTTTCCTCGTAACTCTTGTTTTTCACTTCCGGAAGCCATTTTGTAGCATGTTTTTGCACGTTTCCCAGTTTCTTTATGTGCCTCTTGAGATTTGGGCACCATACAACTGCTGTATTCAGGTATTCCCATTTTGGTCTCGCAAAAGTCATAAAAAGTTTATTTAGGTGTAGTATACAGGTTCCCGAGCTTATTGAGCTATCATATCTACAATTTAAAACTCTATGGAATCTGCCTCTGCCACGTCAATTTCTAACGCATTCCATTTATTAACTACTCCGTAGTTCTTTCTAATGTGTCTGTGGCTCATTTGGGTACTCGGCTTCCACCTGTGTCCCCTTTTGCAAGTACCAATCATGCTAAATTATCTATTCTTATCTATCCTGTCAATTCCCCTGAGAATTTTGTAAGTGGTGATCATATCTCATGAACGGTTATGATGAAACAATTTAGGTATAAAAAAATATAGATACAAAAATAATGATATTTATTGTCTTAGTTTTAATTTAACCATTTATATTTCTAAGCACTGAATATGACATAGATTTTTATGGTCATTACTAAAAGTCTGTTACAAGATAGCAAAACTATAGCTATACAGTACTAACATTTTTAATACTTTTGCTGAAGTCGGCTATGGCTTAGTTTACTAAATTTTATATACAGTATTAAGGTATGTACTGAGTATATGTATTTTTATTTGTAGAAAAGTGTAATATATTCATCGTAAACATCCTATACCTCTGCGGAATAATATATTCATTATTATAAAGTTCATAATTTTATATTCCATACATTTCTTGACAACACACTAAATCAAAAAAGTATTTACAGTATATACATGAGTTCACAGGACGAGTTGAATAAGGTTGTATTATAATAATTCATTTACCAGCAGGCTGACTATACTCATTATTGTGAAAGGGTCGGTACCTGTTTTTTTAATATTTCCCGGCCATCCCATTGCTTTTATAAAAATTTCAATATGTGCAGTTTTTAATCAAAACTATAAATATACTTCAATACTGGTCAATCATAAATTATTATTCATAATGTATATCACATGTCAGTATCATGGATACTAGTAATTCGTATAACAATAGAGTAGCAGAGTTCGATACCAAGTACAGTGTCAATATCGGCAGTGATTTAATTCGCAGAAAATAGAAAATACAAGTTAGCAACCTTTGCGCATATCAGATGTGGCATCTGTTCTGCTGTAGCATTAGTTAAAGCTTTAAGTATATCTTTGTAATGTCAAAGCGGCGAAACTGCAGTTTTAATGACGATCTCCAGAAGGAATTCAAATTTATTAAACTGGACAAACTGTGTACTGATGGAACAAAAATGATATGCCAACACTGTAGTGTCCATTTTTTCGTTGCTCATGGAGATGGAAGCAACATCATCCAACATTTACGTAGCCAGAAGCTTAAGGATGCTGAAAAGACCGACATTTTCTGTGTAAGATTCCTTCGTTGGAGAAATATTCGTGGTATGATCATGGTGAAATACGGTCCCCCCTCTATGTCTACCTAAATTTTAGATGGGTTCTATCTCTGAAGAATAATTGTAAGCTCAATATGTTTATATAATAAAACTTTGTTATCTTACTTTTTCATGAACATAGAATATTACATAACCCGTTTTTGCCATTAGTGTCCCGTTTTTCTCTCCAGGAAATATGGTCAGCCTATTTACCAGGGTTCTGCTCTTTTCTTTTACATTCTTCTTTCATCATCGCTGTCAATGGGGTCTCGACGATCACCTGAACAACATAAGAGGCCACGTTTGGTGAAGCTTGGCTTGCTTGGGTGGCATATTGCATAGTACATTATCTGAAGCATCAGTCCAATCATGAATATAACCAACATAAACCACGGGGCCTGAAAATATACAATAATCAATCATTAAACAAAAATTATGCACTTCAGGAGACAAAATCTGAAAGTATATACTGTACTGAAATGGTAAAAAAAAAAAAAAAAAAAAGTGTTGAATGTAATAAAATTACTCTTTCTGGTAGGACCTGGATGGCTCCCTGAACTTATCTCGCCGAGATGGCTTTTCCCTAATGACAGTCAGCCATATGTCCTGTATGGCTTATTAGAGATTAGAACCAGGATCTAGCTGCCTCTTCATGGTGAGTAGGAGATTATTACAATCACCTTCACTGAGAAAACATCTAGAAAGTAAGCAAAGGAATATAGACAGCTGCAAGGTATGGAAATTGAAGCACTGAAACAGTCAAATGATTCTACAAAAAGATTCATTCAGAAATGAGTTCAACCCCTTAGTTATGAATGGCACCAATAGGTGGCAGCACCCTGGAAGCTCCTTGCTCCATCACCATCTTGCTTCTGTTGGAGGTGATCGACCATAATGTGATGCACTGGGTAGGGAAAGGGGGGTCATCGTGGCCTTATTAGAAAGAGGCTTTTCGTTACATTCAGTGCTGGTTTTATGGCTCCCTGAAGCTACAGATAAGACAGAAAATATTGGACTAAAGGAGGAGGAAGAATGGCAACAATACACATGAAGATGAGATGTTGATACAGGAAACCCAACCCAGTGCAACATAAGCCCAACCAGGACCAGGAACACTGAACAAACAAGGAGCTGCCAAGACCCTGGTAGATTGCCAACCCAAGAAGTCTACCAGGGCCTAAAAAACAGCCTATGACATGCTAAATACAATGACCCCAACTAATAACCCTGGGAGGCCTGGTAAGTATTGGTCATGAAATACCAACCCAGAACCAACGCATCTGTGAACACATCAGGATGGGTAAGAAAGGCGCCAGGGAACCAAACCCCGTAAAACCCAGAGAGGAAGTCAGGAAGTCTGCATTGGCAAAACAGGCAGAACTGGTGAAACCAGCACGATGCCCAAAGCCAAACGTTGCCCAGGGTAAACAAAAGTTCAGGTTCCCGCATGACCTCTCAACTGCTAATCTAATACCAGTCAGCAAAGCTGCAGGAGGCAGACCAGGAACTTCAGATTAATCTGAAGCCGAAAACTGGGATTTCTGCCAGCTCACTAGGACCCAAAACCTGGTAAGTTGGAAAAGAACCAAAATCCTGGCTTGCTAGACCCACTAAAGCTGAAACTACAGCCACATAAACAAGTCAATTATGAAGTTTATAGTCATCTGGGACCTCAAAGGTGGAGGAACTCATCAGTGGTGGAACTGAAGGCTTGAGGTGGTGCACAGTTTGAGCCCCAGCTCCCCTTCCTTCCCCAAACAAGCGGGAGGGAAATTGTTTTGAGAGTTTTTCATTTGTTTACATTGTTGAGTTGTGAGGCTTTGGTCTTTTGATCCCAGTAGTGGTCTGTATTGGTTTGGTGACTTTCTAGATGCCTTTTCCGGTGAGGTGGCAGAGTGTAACCTGCTTCCTAAGTCTCTTCTGAGGGGGGGTCAGGTTCTCGCTCTGGTTCCCAGTATGCCGAACTGAATTCCACAGTCGATGCAATCAAGTGGTTTGGGGGCCATCTCAACAAGATAGCTTCAGGAAGCCACAAGGGGCTTTCCCCAGAATATAGGAATAAAACTAATTACATAAAATAAACATTTATATTGGCATTCTGAAAAGGTTCTTAGGTGACTGGACAAAGGCAATAGTACAGTAATGTAGTGCATTAAAGATCCCTTCATACTTTTCAATGCTGTTCCAGTATTAGCAATTAAAATATCCTAAATATCTTTTTATTAATAAACTCATTCACAGTTTATAATTACATTTGCCAATTTTGTAGTCATTTATACTGCATTGTTTGAAAATGTCACACATCTTAAAACTTAAACCAAAATTTTGAACTTTTAAAACCAAATACTATTGTTCTGATATTAAATTTAACCACCAAAAAGTTATTATTATTATTATTATCGTATAGTTGAATATCTTAAATGGAGAACCTAAACAGCATTACAAAATATCTTTATGAACCATTTGTATATTCACCTTATTAGCAAAAAAATCCCCTGAACCTGCCATGGCAAAGTTCCAAAGGTATCCACAAGCGACAGTTTCGAAGAAGGCCAGCATGTAGTAGAGGATGAATCTGCCCAGTTGCCGCCCACCCTGCTCGTTAGTGAGGGCAATCAACCATACTGCCCCAACCAGCAAGGAAGACACTGACCTGTTGAACCAAGGACAACTTACTGCATGCACCTGGTAAACACATCTATGACTTTTCTATCACAAAGAATCCTGAGGATCCTACCTTAAAAAATAAATGGATTGTGAACCACCAAACTTAATGCACACTAGATGAAAATTAAGAAAAACCAAGTTAAAATGTAAAGTTCGTTATAGTCATAAATGCAAATTTTGCTTAAGCCAGGCTCTAGCAAGAACTAACACTCACCTGGCTTGACACCGGCCTCAATTGAGGCGAGGCAAAGTTCTGGCTCTGCTCACAATAAGACCAATTAGGACTCTTGTGACTGATGTGACTCAGTATTGGGGAGCCATCTAAGTAAGATAGATTCAGGAAGTCACCAGGGGGCTACCCCAGAAATATATTTGACAAGGGAAAAGAGGTTAAATCGTGTATACTCTAGCTGTTAGTTTCTCATTGTCAGGGACAAGAAACCTGTTAGGTTTATTGAGGTCCCCTATGCCAATGACAGACCTCATATGATGCAACCCACAGCAGTTGCCAAACTCCAGAGTACCTAGTTACTGCTAGGTGAAGAGGCATTGAGTGTAAGGAAATGTTACCAAACATTTTGCCTCGACTACATATCGAACTTTAGGGCCAATCAGCCGTGAGCCCACTATGCTACAGGTCACAACTACAACACAACTAGACTCACAAACCCAAATGGTCAAACCACATAATTCCTCATCCCAACCAAGATAATGATTTCTGGTGTGCTGATAGAAGATTGGACCTTGGGTCCTGGTAAAAGGGTATAACTAGGAACATTATAAGCAGTTTCAACTAAGGGTTTAGAGGTTGTGTGGGCAGAATCATGATGGGTGTGGATAGGGACTGGGTGGTTGTGTGGGTAAGGGCCTGGTGGGTGTGGGTAGGGACTGGGTGGTTGTGTGGGTAAGGGCCTGGTGGGTCTGGGTAGGGACTGGGTGGTTGTGTGGGTAAGGGCCTGGTGGGTCTGGGTAGGGACTGGACGGCTGTACATGTAATCACTTCGTGTCATTTGCTATAAACAGAAGTTCTCATTAAGGAATTGTTTTGATAATGTAATAAAACAATTCCTTAATGAGAATTGTACTTAATAAAGTACTGTAATGTAGTTAACGTACAGTAATGAATTATACTTAATAATGTAGTTCATGACAAGTAAATGCATTAATCAATTATTAGATAAATCATTAAATAACTAATCACAATAATTACTATACAAATATATTTGTAATTGCATTTTGAATTTAAATTATAAATGCAACTTAACCCAGATATTGCAGTGAATCTTCTCTCTGTGATAAGATAATGCTGACCTGGTTAGTGTTTTTATGCTCCTTTATCACCGGCATGCCTAACCTCAATCTTAACTGTGACGTGAATGTAAGGTATCTACCAGTATCAAAATTCCAGCTTTTGTCTTAAAATGCAGCACTACTAGATTATCACCTCACAGGTTTTGTTTCATTTATGGGTATGGGGTGCATTTATTATGCACCCCATACCCATCCATCATCACTGGAGTCTGGCTGTTTAATGCAATTGATATCCTTAACCAGAACAATGTTGTACAATTACAGTGTGGTAATTATTATTTATCCGACTTTCTTTCAATGAGGTAGTCATCTGGCATGCTGGTCTATGTCCAACACACAAAGAGCATTTATCTTTTACAGATTGTTGACATTCAAGTTTAGTATGGTATTGTGCAGTATGTTAGGAAGTCATTGCTTGTCTTGCTTGTATGCTTAAATATTTTAACGGGAATTACAAGCAACTGACGCTTAGTAATACAAGACAACTCAAAGCTATTTACTCTATTGAAGTAATTTATAGCTGTATGTCAGTTAAAGCATTACAGTACACTGTATCTATACATGCAGTATATTCCATGTAAGCTATTAGTTAACTCAAGTATCTTGAAGCTGCATATTACAACAAACCCATTAACTTGAAGTGATGTCAACTTCATTGGAGTTGCTAGGATTTGAAATAGGAACCGATCCTTCGTAAAAAGGTCATGAGAGTCAAGCCCAAGCACCCTATGACACTTGCCATACAAATGCAAATCGCTCTGCAAAGCTCCGTGAGGCTAGCCCCCAAGTGTCTGGCCTTTTTTCCTTGGATAAAGACAGACATTCTGTCTTATATAGATTACTGGGGCACTTTTCTTTGATAAACAACTAAACTAGTGCATTGTTAGCACAATCATATGTGGAGTTTTGATTTTTTTTTTTTTTTTTTTTTTTGTATAGCAGGACATAGGGCTAAATTTGGACTTCGAGGCATTAATAAGATTAGATGTTAATGAGATGTGGAACCAAACCCCCCTCCTCCCTGTGTAGAGGCTATTGTATCCCATTATTGGGAACAGGAAACCTGTTAGGACTTGTCCAAATACTCCTAGCTAATGGCAAGACAGCCTGCACAGACATTCGACCAATTACTGGTCAGAAGCTTGAGATAAAAAGAAAAAAAATGTAGACAGAGACCTAGAAATGCACACGAGACATACCTGGCAGGTGTGAGACCTCTGGAATTGAGGACAGAGATAAGGTGCCAGACAGTATTAACAACCCAGTGGGTCCCAGCAATGAAGTACACCCATGGTCCCCAGGCTGTGCCCACCATGCTGTATCCTGTCACCCGTGACCCTGAGGAGAATTGGCAGAGCAGGCAGAGAAGCAATGGTTAAAGTGAGAAACAGTAGAATGAGGGAATGTAAATGAAAACTGAAGACAAATGAGTCACAGAGGAACTTCTTGTGATAAGAAGTTCCATTTATTTGTGACTTCTACTCACAAATAAATGGGTTAGATTACGAGGTTGATAATACTGTAATTAAACAAAAAGTTTTAAATGTAAATACGGAACATGATAAATAAAATAAGAGAAAAGTTTGTACAACAAACTACTAAAGGTTGAAATATGAGTATCATAACTGGTACATAAAGAATACCTTAAATCACTTTACTTTTAACATTACTTAGCTTTTAAATTTAGTCATTACTTGTTAAGCTTAGATGCTACCTGACCTCTTTAATCAGGCATAACGTTCCATAACATCCTAATTCAAGCTGATTAAATCTCATCTATCGAAACTCAACTGAACAATATGACTATCCTAGACTATATTAATATCAAGGTAACTAAGGCCTTCAGTATCAAAATACTGTGATGGAAAATTTTGTATTTGCAGCAGGTAATTAACAACCACATCACTATTTTTCAACTGCATTTGCAGAGTTAAATGTTATTAACTACCTCCTAAGACTTAGAAAAGAGTTACCGCCTCACTTCAAGAATACACATATTTCATATAATGTCCAATTTGATTTTAATGTTAAGTTATATAGTGCTGGCAGGAGGACTTGAGAAGGAGAAGAGAAACTGTTGCATTTCATTTTTAACATTATTTTAGAATTTTGTTTGTGTTGTGAAATACTGATGATAGTATTGTATTGGAATGAAAGATTAGCAATATCTCTCTTGATCACCATTATGTGATTAAACTAAATCCCATTTTTCTGGAGGGATTCCCTGTTGGCTCACTGAAGCTATCTTGCTGAGCTTACTACATACCATATTAAAGGGTCACATCAGTTGTGGAAGTTATGCTTGGCCTACCAGGGATCAGAGGCAGAACCTGGCCCCCTTTCCATCCTCACAGAAGTGCAGTGAGTGGGTGTCAATCCACTACCAGAAGAAGCTTCCAGAAATTCAGCACAGCTCTACAGACAACTGCACGGTTCACAGAAAAGAAGCCTTCAAAATTCTTGGCCGTCGCCGTCTTTTCTTCCCCCTCCACATTCTAGAGGATGTCGTTGCTCATGTTATCTCTGTTGCAGCTTTTTCCTGCCACCCTATTGCTCATTTGTTTCCTCAGGGTTTTGTCCCCTTTTGGAAGTAATTGGGCCACTGGGACCTCGCCTGTTGTTGGTCAGAGTAGGTCCTTGGGTGAATCAAGTTTCCAAAACATGTGCTTCTTGAGGAGGCTTCCTTCTTTGACAATGCGATCACTCATCATGGAGGGTTGGTTCTCTCCGCACCTTATTTATGCTTTACACTTCGGCTCGGGATACTTTTCTTAACACTATCTTATTGTTGGCTCTCTTCTCTGGCTGTAGGGTTGTGGTTACAGGCTCTTCTCCAGAGGCAGGGGCTCTGTTCTTTTGGTCCTGGTGGGTGGTTTGTTCATTTGCAGCCTTATCCTTCTTTTCTGGTGAAGAATGAGTTGGCAGGCTTCCAGGGGACTCCCTTTGTAGTTGATGCTTGGTTTGGCTGGGGGTAATTACCTAAGTGTAGTTATAGGATGAGAGCTACGCTCGTGGTGTCCCATCTTCCCAGCACACTTTTCATATAATGCTTTGAAACTACTGACGGTTTTGGCCTCAACCTTCCCACTTGTTCCAACAATCTACTACTCATCATCATTTGCTCATACATCATTTGTTGTGTTTGGTGGCGGCCCTTCGTCGTTATGTGCATTACACTAGTTCTACATCAGTGGACAACTTGTTGGTTGACTCAGTTTCCTTGGTTCCCATTTCTCAGATCATTTCTCGGATCGTCTGTGTCATTAAAGTCGCCAGCCTCAGGCTCATGATGTTTGCAAATATTGTATGCAGATTTGCCCACCATCTTTTGTAACAAGTCTTGGGCTGCTATTCGGGGTCAGGGGTTTTGGCTTTCTAACAGGGTTCTGGCAGCCCAGTTATTTAGCCAGTGTTCTGCCAGAACCGAGTGTTGCTTTGGGCTGTCTCCCCAAATCTGGTTTCTCTTCTTTGTCCTAATGTCTTTTGCCTCTCCTCCTTTCTAGTAAATCCTGTGTTTGTTCTGTCTGGCTAGTTACCTTCAAGGAGCCACCTGGGACTCTGTCCAGAAACCCAGCATTGAATGTAATGAAATGCCTCTTTCTGGCAGAGCCTCTGAGGCTTCCTGATTTTCCACCTCTCTCCAGGTACATCGTTTCACCATGGGCTGTTCATCAGCTCAAAAACTGAGATGGTGAGTCAAGTAAAGATGGGTCAGACTGCCTGTCTGACTGTCAGAAGTGCCAGTAATTGGCATTAATGAGTTTGTAGCTATTTTGATTGAATCCCTTGTTCTGTGTGAATTGTTGGTAGAGTTGTTTGGCACTTTCACTGCTTCGTTTTCTGTGAACCTTCCAGTTGTCTGTAAAGCTTCGCTGTCTTTCTGGAGGCTTCACCAGTGGTGTGATATATTGTCACCTGTTTTCTGCACTTTTGTGAGGGGGACCAAATTCTGTCCCCAGTGGACCCTGGTATATCCCAGTAGACCAAACAGAGCTTCCGCGACTGATGTGACCCTTTAGTATGTAGCAATCTCAGTAAGATATTTTTACCGAGCCATAGTGGCTTCTCCAGAAACATGTGTTTCATTACATTAAATGCTGGGTTTTTCATTAATTCTCTTAACTTGACAACTCTAGAAAACAAATGAGCAATAAGAAGATTTGGTGGTGGAACAGTGAAATTAGCCAGGTAGACTTACCGATGAGGAAGAAATGCGCGAGGTAGAGGACAAGGGTAGCAAAGAAGTGAAGCCGGCCTTGTCTGGAGTTGGTACCCCGGAGGTGCTGGAAATATTGGGGCTGCTGCAAGCGCTGCAAACGCTTCACTATGACCCTGTTGAGGAAAAGCTGTCAGAATATAAGAACAGGAGAACTATAGGAAGCTAAATGAAGAATTCAAAGATAAAGAAATTAGGCTGAGAACAATATATTCAACCCATCCTCCTGTTTAAATAGTATTTTTTTCAAAGTGACTCATATGGTAGGGAAGGGGACAGGATAAAGGGTCACATAATTGGGAAAGGTCAGAAAGAGGTCACAACTGAGAGGGATCAGAATAAGGGGTCACAAAAGGAAAGGAACCAGAACGAGGGTTCACACTAAAGAAGGTACTAAAATGGGGGTTCATACCAGAGGAAGAACCAGAATGAGGGGACCACACACTTGGAGGGATGAGAACGAGGGACCAGAACAAGGAGTCACACAATTATGAGGAAGGGTCACACAAAAGTACAAACCAGAACGAGAAGTTAGTTGGTACGGACGAACCAGAACGTGGGGTCACATGATAGGGAATAGCCCAGCACAAAGGGTCACATCCAATGATATGATTACAGGTAGAAAGCGACACCTCGATTTTCCCCTCACTTGGAGGTCTACTCACAGGTAGAACGTGACACACTGGGCCATCTTAGAGAGAAGGAAGAGCATCCTGAACACTATCCAGAACGTGATGGGGTTCTGGGGCTGTAAAACACACCGGGGACCACACTGTAGCAGGTCTTGAGGACCTGAAAGGGACCAAAAATAGGAGAATTCATTTCTGTGCAGATGTGTACCTCGAAAGAGTCGAGAGCATACCTCAGTAAGAGAAGCTGCCACCAGCGAATATGACACGTGACTGTACCGCCTGACTGTGTCACGTGACTGTAAAGCCAAAGCCTAATGATTTGCCTAGAGCCAAAGCCTTTGGATTAGATAGCCAAATGTGACATGGAAGCATCATGGTAAAACTCCAAGTTTCAAATTTTAAAAAATACTGAACAAGTTGGAGGATATTGATCCTGATAATTTCTTCAAAAGGTCAGATGTAACTAGGAGCAGCTGTTTCAAGCTCAACAAGCCACAATGTAAGACTGAGAACGGGAGATTTTTTTCACCCATACGCTTATAAACCCATGGAACCGCCTACCCGCCGAAGCCGTAAATGACAAAATACTGTTAGGTTTTAAAATCCAACTGGAAAGGATCAAAGCAAACAGAGGGGGGGGGGGGAGAAATCAACAAGCCGTCGGCTTCCTGTCCTCGTCGAGGCCACTAGTGTTAGTTACTCTCAGGTATATTTATGTTGCCGTTAAAAAGTTTCTAATTTGGCCAAATTCAGTAATACAAGGATAATTTTTTTAGTGGTACATCACTACATATTGGTACTTTCGACCAAATAATTTCTATAAGTACTTTCATTTTAGGAGGATTGGGTGGTTACTTGAGTGTAAAGCCTATTTAAGTATATCCCTTGTATCTAATACCTAAGAGAACCACGCGACTGCAGAGCCCATCTAAGTATGTCTTGTGACTATAAATCAGTCACCCGTGTCACGTGACTGTAGACCCCATCTGTGTCAGGTGACTGTAGACCCATCTGTGTCAGATGACTGTAGACCCCATCTGTGCCAGGTGACTGTAGACCCCATCTGTGCCAGGTGACTGTAGACCCCATCTGTGTCAGGTGACTGTAGACCCCATCTGTGTCAGGTGACTGTAGACCCCATCTGTGTCAGGTGACTGTAGACCCCATCTGTGTCAGGTGACTCCAGTGCCTACCTTGGGAATACTCGCGCCAGTCGTAAGAGCGCCCCCAGACATCGTCCCGGAGGAGGAGGCAGAGCATCGGGGCGTCGCCCAGTAGCACCTCGAAGAGCCTAAGGACTCCCACCGTCACCATCTCGTCCACATACCTGTGTACACAGCTGTTTATGTCTTGGTCGGGTTCCACACACACACATGGGCAGAGATACACACACATGGCTCTATCTTTAATATTAGGATCATGTAATTTGGATGTTAAAGGGAGAGGGGGTAGCATACCTGATGCCGTCTTCCCAATTAGTCTTCTCCCCGACACCAAATCTCCACGCCCGTGAGAACCTGGGGATAATATTAACAAATTAGCATTATAATGAATGTATAAATAATAATTAGTCACTGCCACATTTGGATTTTGTTGATTTTTATTTATATAATTGACTATCATTTAGTTGTAAAGGTTTTTACGGATATACAGTTTTTAATACTTTTCGGTTTAAGTGGCTAAATGGAATGATAAAATTGGTCATATAATCATGGAGCTGACTAGAAACTTGCTACATAGGTTGAATGCTTGTATGTGGGTTCTGAAGCACGTGGTCTATATGTCCGCGACTCACAAAGGAGGGAACCGGGTTCGGTTCCTGGGTGGAACAGAAACGGCTGGGCACCGTTCCTTTCACCTGATGCCTCGGTTCACCAAGCAGTAAACTTTGCACCGGGGGGTTAGGCAATTGTCGAATGCATACCGGGGAAGGTTAGTAGGAGGCCAAGGGGGGGGGGAAGGACGTCGAAAAGGTCTGTAAGTATGCAGGCTTCCTGTCCCTGACAAAGGTAATGAAATAGTTACATCATTACTTACATGATGTTATAGTGTTGTTCGGAACTCCTGGTGACGGAGCTCCTGCTGGTGGAGTTGAAGATGACCTCCCTGACGAGGAGGCTGAAGGTGATCTACCTGACGAGGGAGAATAAAGATGGCCTACCTGACGAAGGGGATGAAGGTGATCTACCTGACGACCGAACTGAAGGTGACCTACCTGACGAAGAGGAAGATGATGACCTACCTGATGAGGGGGCTGAAGGGGAGGCAGACGATGGCAAGGACCCATCCCATGGCGCCGTCCTCGCCCTCCTCCTCCCGGGCCTCGCGGAAGTGGCTGCAGGACACAACAGCAATATCATCACCTCACCGTAAAAGTACTTAATTAATTTCATCATTTCATAAGAAATTTAAAAAAAATCACTAAATGAATCAGCATCATCAAAATCAATATCGTCAATATCTTATGTTTTTCCACACGTGCATGCGAGAGTGCTCATATTTCTCCACTATATTTTACATTGCCACACTAAACAAACACAGGCACACACACTAGACTCATTATGGAATATGCAGCACCTTAAAAGGGATCCCCTCACCTTGGCAAATAAACTAGGAAATATTCAAAGGCATGCCATCCGTCTAGTCCCTGAGGTATAAACACGAGACATGATCACAACGTCCAAAATACTCAGGGGGAATGGAAACGTAAACAGGTAAACTACTTGATAAGTGACAACCCAACGAGGGGATACGGGGAACATCAGTTTCTAAAATGAGCCGTATGACATGACAATATTAAGAACTTTTTCAGTGTCAGAGTTTGGAAGAAGTGGAATGCACTATGGAGAGTAGAGTGTGGAGACAAACCCCATACACGGATTTTAAAGCAGATATGACAGCTCGAAAGACCAGAGAACACGCACACAATTCAGTTAATTGAAGATTAAGAGGTGGGGCCCTTGAGCTGAAGTTCAATCCCAGCAAACAAAATAGGAGAGTCGCGCATACGGAACAATATAATACGCAATTAAGTGACTAAAACAATGGAATGAAGTATAAAGTATAGCACAATGAATATACGTCATATAGAGATGACGACCCAGCAAACAAATATGTCAGTACAAACTCAACAATTGTCAGTGACAAGGACACTTCGTTGAGTGGAGAGATAATCATATGTTTATATATGAATTTAATAAAAGATTAAAAAAATATAGGAAAAAAGTCCTCAAATTGATTAACAGAAAGTGATAAAACAAATAAAACGTAATTTATTAAATAAATCAAAGGAGGTTGAAAAATTAATAAAGGTGATTAAACAGATAAATATACGTGATTAAATATCTAGAAAAGGGCGATTGGATTAATAAATAATGATTGAACAACTAAATATAATGTGATAAAAAGAGAAAATATAAAACAGGATAAATTTATAAATAAAAAGTGACTGAATATTTAAAATTTGATTAAATAAAGCTTAAATAAAATGTTATTAAATAAATTTGATTCCGTTGAGTGGAGAGGGAGGGAGGGAGTTATCAGGGGACAATGCCAAGCCATTACGACTATATAGCATTTGGAAGGGGTCAGGATAAGGATTAGGGATGGGACGGGGGAAAGGAAAGGTGCCCAACCAATTGTACGGTCGGCAATTGAACGCCGACCTGCATGAAGCGAGACCGTTGCTCTACCGTCCAGCCCAAGTGGTTGGGTCGATGAGTGGAGAGAGAGACGTGTCAAGTCGACGACCATACTCACTACTGAAGGTTCTTGAGGCCGGCCGCCAGGTGCGGGAGGAGGAAGAAGAGTAGGTAGAGGCCGCAGCCTGGCGGGGGCTCCTCCTGGGTGTACTTGTCCACCACTATGCTCAGCTGGACGCAGTAGCCCACCAAGTATGACACCGACACCACCACCATCCACACACACTCCAGCCACGTGAACTGTGGTGGGGATGGCGGCTTTCCTGTCCACACAAGAAGATGAAGATTAAGCCATCCAAAAGGTGGCACGGGCATGAATAGCCCGTAAGTGGTGGCCCTTTTGAGCCATTACCAGTATCAAGAGCTGATACTGGAGATCTGTGGAGGTGCAACTGCACCCTGCGTGACGGGAGATGTCTCCCGTGTGTCCACACATATACACGCAGCTCTTATATATTCCTAACACAATTATGGAAACCATTACAGGTCTCAAGTCATATTTAGTTTTTATTTAAACGTAAATTTAGCAATATCTGTACATAGCTTACTAATTGAATGAGTTATATATTAATTCATGATACTCATGTAATTTATTATTATTAAATATAACATTATTTGACAGTAATTTGCATGACCTTTGAATTACCTGGAACATAAAATGAAAATATAACTGCAAGACATAAATATAAACGTTTTACGCCATCAACAGATTCAGGATTAGTGTGAATTAATCTCTGAATACACAGCTCATGTAAACGGGGTCTGACTTGAACAAGATTTGTGACAGTAATTCCTTCACGGCGTCCAGTGGGTGTCTAGCAAACCTGGTATCCCCGCCCTTGCACTAGTTTGATTTATATCCTCGAGTTCTCATACTTTATTATATATACATCACTCATCATTAAGTTGTATTTTAAGTTGTAATTACTACTGCCCAGGGTAGACTATGCTACAATCTGAGTATGCACCTCCTGCTGATGTAGATTTGATTTGTTAAATGTAAACTCATAAAAAGTATATGCTCTCAAACCCTACATTACTATATGTAATTGAATGTGAACAAATCTTAGCCATGTATCCCAAGTTTACTTACTGTTATTAGCACATATACTGTTTCATAACCACTATAACATTTACTACAGTTCTGTAATTCAAGAATTATACTTGTAACATGATTACAAATCTGTTTATAATTATAAACACACACGAGTTCAATGCCTGAGCCCATTATTGTGGCGTCGCCCCTCTACCTACCCTAACTGGATGAATGTAACCCTTTCATTACCACCCATTCATGGGTGCATAACCAATTGTAATAATTTATAAATGAACTACACTAACAAACTTTTTATTTGTTTTTAGGGTTATAGCTACTCACCAGCCTTGGGGCGATGGTGGACGTAGTCATCGCTTTCACGTTTAAATGACATTGTGAGATTCTTCTGATATCCCTTTAGCGTGTTCTGTTAGCCGTGTCTGGGGGCACGCAGATGATGTTGATGCTGTTGGTGTTGTTACAGATTCAGCTACTCGCAACAAGTTCCAAGTAGCACGGGCTATGGTGAGCCCGTAGTGGACTTATCTGGCACAGGAGCGGTGCTGTGTCTTTCGATGTTGATGCCTTGGTGTGCTCTTTTATCTGCGTCCGGGTACACAGATTGGTTATATATAGAAAAAGTAATTTATCCTATTAATATCAGATAGCACGATACAGTTGCTAATTTGATGTCTGAACTGGTAGAGCACCACATGGTACACTAATATATTACGCTGCGATTAACAAAATGTAGGCAACTGATTACAGTACAACGAAATAAGTTGTTGGTGCATAGTGACACGAACATTATGTTATCTGATATATCAATATATAATCAAACTTTAAAATAATTGTACCCTACTTACTTGAACTATTAATTATGTTTAAATGAAGTTACATTCTCTGTCCCGATTCCGTTACAGTGATAACGATTTACAAATAGTTTTAACGGCATGTGTGCACTAAAGACGAGGCTACTATTATTAGGCTACTAGAGACGAGCTAGTAACCTGTGTGCACATGAGACCAGCTAGTGGCCGGTGCACACGGGAGATCAGATATAGTGGCCTGTGCACGTGAGACCAGCTAGTGGCCGGTGCACACGGGAGACCAGCTATAGTAGCCTGTGCACGTGAGACCAGCTAGTGGCCGGTGCACACGGGAGACCAGCTATAGTAGCCTGTGCACGTGAGACCAGCTAGTGCACTCGGGAAAGTCGAGCTAGTGGCCTGTGCACCCAGGAGGTCATCTAGTGGCTGGTATACACGGGAAACTAGCCAGTAACCTCTATACACGGGAGACGAACTATAGTGGCTGCTGCACACGGGAACACAGAGCTATAGTGGCCAGTGCTCAAGGGAGGACAGAGCTATAGTGGCCAGTGCTCAAGGGAAGGCGAGACTGCTTGCTCCTCCAGAATTGAAGTACCACGATGTGAGGGTGCTCCGCCTAGCCTTCGAAAGGGGGGTGAGATAAGAGTGAAACTGAGATAGCAAAAGCCTGATCCAACAATAATAGATATTGTTTTAGATTTAGCTACTCAGAACGAAATGTCCATGTAGCGCGGGCTATAGTGAGCCCGTAATAATAATCGAGGAAATCCCCGGAATGAAGGATGATACAGGGAGCATAGTTTTAAGTAGGACAAAAACTGCAATAAGACTTGGCTCTGTTTTTGTCTGAGTAATAAATAAGCCAGTTGCTGTTATCTTAAATTGTCTATTACTGAAGCTAAATAGGATTAATCATTTACCAGCATGTACGTAAAATAACATTGTATCAGTTGAACTATTAGAACACATACGCATTGAAACTAATTATTCTGAATACATTCGACGAACAACTCATATTACAATGTTTGGGTTGCATGTGGTATGTAAAGATGAAAACGCAGAGATAACACCCTGCCACCCGGCAGATAACACTTTTTGACATCATTATGCCTCATTACCCCACCAAGTGGTGTTTTAATAAGTCCTGTAATTTATATTCACTGAGAATTTTGGCCTCTTGGCTTTGACCTGAGCGCGAGTGTGAGTGAAAAATATTGGTCAACCGGTGGGTGTGAGATGTATTTACTATTTGCATCTGCAGAATCGAGCTATGCTCTTGGACCCCGCCTTTCTAACCAATTTATTTTTCCTCTATTATGTCTACTACATATATTTCTGTTACAGACGCGCGCGCACACACACAAATACACATCCCCAAGAAGCACCCCGTAGCAGTTTTAACTCCCAGGTACCTATTGCTGCTAGGTGAACACCACGGGGAAAGAAACTCTGCCCATATGTTTCTGCCTCTGCCGGAGATCGAAGTCGGGCCCTTGGGATTATGACCCCGGAGCGCTGTCCACTCAGCCGCGTTGTTGTTGTTATTTTAGATTCAGCTACTTAGAACAAAAGTTCCAAAGTAGCACGTTCGCGTACCACCCGTGTTAAACAGTTTATCCTTATCTACCCTGTCAATTCCTCTGAAAATTTTCTAGGTAGTGATCATGTGTCCCCTTACTCTTTTGTCTTCCAGTGTCGTGAGGTGCATTTCCCGCAGCCTTTCCTCGTAACTCATGCCTCTTAGTTCTGGGACTAGCCTGGCCTAGTGGCATACCTCTGAACTTTTTCAAGCTTCACCTTGTTCTTTACAAGGTATACGGGCTCCATGCTGGGGCCGCATACTCCAGGATTGGTCTTACATATGTGGTATACAAGGTTCTGATTGATTCCTTACACAGGTTCCTGAAGGCAGTTCTGATGTTAGCCAGCCTCGCATACGCCGCAGATGTTATTCTTTTGATGTGGGCTTCAGGAGACAGGTTTGGTGTGATATCAACTCCTAGATCTTTCTCTCTGTCCGTTTCATGAAGGACTTCATCTCTCATTCTGTATCCTGTGTCTGGCCTCCTGTTTCCACTGCCTAGTTTCATTACCTTACATTTACTCGGGTTGAACTTTAGTAGCCATTTGTTGGACAATTCATTCAGTTTGTCTAGTTCATCTTGTAGCCTCATACTATCTTCCTCCGTCTTAATCCTCCTCATAATTTTTGCATCATCAGCAAACAATGAGAGGAATGATTCTATACCATCTGGAAGATCATTTACATACATAAGAAACAGTATGTGTTCAAGGACTGAACCCTGCAGGACTCTACTGGTGACGTCTCGCCAATCTGAGACCTCACCCTCACAGTGACTCGCTGTCTTCTGTTACTTAGGTACTCCCTTATCCAATGAAATACCTTCCCTTTCACTCCTGCCTGCATCTCCAGCTTTCGCACTAGTCTCTGGTGTGGCACTGTGTCAAAGGCTTTCTGGCAATCCAAAAATATGCAGTCTGCCCACCCCTCTCTTTTCTTGCCCGATTCCTGTTGCCTGATCGTAGAATTCAATTAATCCTGTGAGGCATGACTTGCCATCCCTGAAACCATGTTCGTGTTGTGTCACAAAGTTCCTTCGCGTTTGTGGAGGTGTGAGTATTCCGAATGTGAACGGTAATTAAGGTGACTAAGAGGGTGAGGAGGTGATTGTATAGACTTGCTACTGAGGCTTGGAGAGTTGATGAGGTTGACTATGTGTGGTGGGTGAGACAGAGGGTATGGAGTGGGAGCTAGCTAGACTTGGGGTGAAAGGTGGGGAGTGAGACGTGGGATGAAGGGTGGGGAGAGAGAGGAGGGGTGAGAGGTGGGGGGAGAGAGAGAGAGGAGGGGTGAGAGGTGGGGAGAGAGAGAGAGGTGGGAAGAGAGAGGAGGGGTGAGAGGGGGGGAGAGAGAGGAGGGGTGAGAGATGGGGAGAGAGGAGGGGTGAGAGGTGGGGAGAGAGGAGGGGTGAGAGATGGGGAGAGAAGAGGGGTGAGAGGTGGGGAGAGAGGAGGGGAGAGAGAGGAGGGGTGAGAGAGGAGAGGTGAGAGGTGGGGAGAGAGAGAGGAGGGGTGAGAGGTGGGGAGAGAGAGAGAGAAGGGGTGAGAGGTGGGGAGAGAGAGAGAGGAGGGGTGAGAGGTGGGGAGAGAGAGGAGGGGTGTGCATGGGGCAGGAGAGGGGTGAGGACGGACGGACCGGCCACCGGAGGGTCTGGCAGTCTGAGGCGACGCTCGCCAGCCCCGCCACACTCCACCCTTCACACCCACACACTACACCCACAAACTTCACTACACAACATGTTTCGCAGGAAGTTGACGGCTCTGGATTACACGAACCCCGAGAACTTCAATGTTAATGGTAAGCGCGCCTGATTGACAGGAAGTGAGCGGTAATCTGGGAGAGTGTTGAGGAGTGTGGCGAGTGGCCGCGGTGTCTCCTTGTTTAGCACTCTTGATGTACATGTGGCCACGTTTCGCCTCCTCGCTCTCATTCAACAACACCTAAGTTACTTTCCCTCAAGAGCCAGCTAACTCCCTGGCAAGGTTTACTTGACGTTTAAGTAAGATGTTGGGCTTGAGGCAGGTGTGTAGGATGATCTGCTGGCTTACCAGTTGACGTATCAGAGCTTGATGGTGTTGGGTTTAACTCTTGTCATGTATTGAGTATTTTGGGTTTAATGTTGGTCATTACGGGTACTTGGCCAAGTTGTTTATTTCTAGAACTTACAGCCATCAATGTCAGGTTTGGAGGGAGTTCCAAGTGAGGCAACTCATTTAAATCATGGCTACATTTTACCTGAATTTACCCGAAGGGTCACACTATCTCTAGTGGCCTTGACGAGGACAGGAAGCCAGCAGCATGTCAAGGATCTCCCCCTCCATTGTTCTTGATTTTATCCAGCTGGACTTTGAATTGTATTTGATAAAACAAAACTAAACCTTACCTAATACAGTACAAATAAACTTAATCAAAACAGGTATATCTATTAAAAGAAAATGACCATATATAGCTTGAGGATAAGTAATTGAATTTGATACAGGTTACTCTGTAGATAAGTGTTTGCCAGTGCATTTTACTACCTACTTAACCTAGCCTAACTTTGCCTAGTCTAGCCTACGGAATACAGCATCAAGTTAGAAAATATGATGCAGCGTGCTTGAAATACCTGTTTATGATTCGACCCTAATGTCCAGCAAACCTCTTCTAGTTGACCATTATTTTCCTGGTATATCTAGGACAAGTTTGGCTTGGTAATGGTTAGGGTAGATAAGAGTTTATCAATCAACGGTGCAATTGTAAATTACAATATCTATATTATTGGTATAATTTTAAAAAGACTTCAACTTTTTCAAAAAATTTTCTGAGGGTCTGGTAGTAAAATTGGGTTCGTTCTCGACTCTATAGAATTCTAGGTTCAAAACCCGGGCAGGACAGAAATGGTTGGGCGCGTTTCCTATTGCCTAATCTACCTGTTCACCTAGCAGTAGATAGGTACCCAGGAGTTGGTCAACTTGTTGTGGGGTTGCATCCTTGGGAGGGTCAGTAGTTTGTCCTTCAAGAGGGGGGGGGGGGTCCTCGATATAAGCTTAACATCCATTTATGCACTGGCTTCCTGTTCCCTGACAAAATGAATTAAATACTGTACTCGCAGGAATTTTGGTATAACATTTTGTTTGTAATTTGTCAGATTTCTAGTTGATTTACATACTTTGCATGTAATTATTTTATTATGTAATGACTGGTCAGAGAGAGTGCCAGTTTTTGTGTAATGAAGGAAAATGCATGCTGTCAGCCTCCAATAAATTCTGATATTTGACTTTCATACAGTCAGCTTTAACCAAAGTAGATTATCTTGACCAAACCCTGGTCTCATGAAAGTATGGCATGTTTCACTGAAGTTGTACCGTACAGTATATGCATAATCCAGTTAAAGGTTGAGAACACAACTTGAAAATGCTAGTTATCTTTTTATCAGTACTGTAATTTTAGACTGATTTTAATCCTACCCACATCAAAATATTTGGAAAACTAATGTGCTAACAACTTTACCCTGATCTAGCTAAGCATAATATACTTACCTCTGGCCAATATGGCTTCAGACCCCAGAAAAGCACCAATGATCCTTTTAATATGTTTGACTTAATTCATACAGCTCCTGACACAAGCTAGGGCCCTGTAGGTTTATTTGTTGACCTGCATAAGGCTTTTGACATTGGTAGCCACAGTAACTTCAAATTACAGCACTCTCGGAGTCGGGATTCATTTCCTTCAATACCTGTACAGTGCTTGCAATCTTACCTCAGTGACAGGCACCAGTGAATGATTCTACTTCTCCCACACTACCAATTAACATTAGCATTCAACAGAGTAGTGTTATTGTTCCACTCCTCTCTTTTTCATTTAATCAATGACTTACCAAATGCCACTCACCACCTGAAGGCAATTCTATTTGTTGATGACAACCATCATTTTCTCAAATAATAATACATTTATTCTGAATGACACAGTGAATAGAGAACCTAAAAATAAAAAACTGTGACTGCAAACAAACTTCCTTTTAATATTGAAAAATATATTACAGTACCTGTGGTTTGAAAACAATTCCACCAATCAATTCCACTATCAATTAACAATATCTGTATTATTAAGAAGTAAATGGGGAAAACAATAATTAGGAGACTTAAAAGACTTAAACAGTAGGCACTCTTTAAAGTGCTTTGCCTTGGTAACACTTTATTATTCACTCATCTATCCATATTTAATCTACAGTATCTGCTTGAGGATCTACAGGCCACAATTATATATGACCCATTACTAAACATAAACAGCAAGCAGAGAAATAACGAACTAAGATTCCAGACATCACCCGGCACCCATAGTGCATTCCTTGAATGTTAAATACCTGTATCATTTCACACACAAAGTACTGTATACTCTATACAGTACCTGTAAAACTCAATGTTTCCTACAGTGCTATAACAACCCATGGGCACCATACCAGTATCTATTTGATATTCTAGAATGAGACTTGTCAATAAAATGGTTAATAAATGCTATGCACATTTACTATCCCGAATTATGGAGTAACCTCCCAAATATGATCAAAAGCTGTACTTCAGCAGCTTAAATGAGAAATTGGGAAATACCTAGCATGTAACACATTTCACTTGCATTTCCTCATTCAATATATTGTATATCATGCTAATTTCTTTAACAATTCATATATGTTAGTTTAATTCCTCTTTAGTATTAAGTGTTTACCTCATCATACCTTGGAAAAATTAAACTACAGTACATTATTTTTAAGTTGTGCCCGAAATGCTTTGTGCATTAGTGGCTTTATTAAATATGCTCTTCATGTAACAACTATTCAGTATATTTTTTAAGTACAATATTTTAAAATGTTTTTTAGATATTTTTAAATAAAGATTATCATCTAGACATTGGGTAACATGTTCTCACTCTTGATGCTATTTTTCTTTAAGTGAGGACACACCACATACCTAAGTTAGCCAGAGGAATGTAATAAATATATAAGTAAATAAATATACTGTACAGCAAATTTTACCAACTATAGAAGTACCTGTATATTACAATTTGGTAATTGAATACCAACCTGAAGTTGACCAGTCTCCGTGGTGTAGTGGTAAGACACTCACCTGGCGTTCCGCGAGCCCTTTGTCATGGGTTCGTATCCTGGCCGAGGAGGATTTACTGGGCACAAATCCTTAACTGTAGCCTCTGTCTAACTCGACAGTAAAATGGGTACTTGGTTGTAAAAACAATTCTTTGTGGGGGTCGTATTCCAGGGACCTGCCCGAAATGCTATATGTACTAGTGGCTGTACAAGAATGTTACAACTCTTGTATATATCTCAAAAAAGTATGTGTGTGATGAAGTGCACAGGTGCATGAGTGTTATATTAATAATAATTGTAATTAAATATTTATTCTCCACAGATGATAAGAGTTTTCGTGACCTTATAGTTTGGCTTGAAGATCAGAAGATCAGGCACTACAAGATTGAGGACCGTGGTGACTTAAAAGCCATTGATTCTAATGACTGGCCTACAGCATACAAATGTTACCTTGGAGCCCTCAACTGTCCAACCAACCCCAATGATCGACCAGCTGTGGTAGATTGGTTACTGGGACTTTCTGTGCGTTTTGAGTATGGTGATAATGGTATGACATTTACTTTTGTTTAAATTTGATTAAAGTTAATTCCAGTACTTAAGATTAGAAAAATGTGTTCTGTAATATATTTAAAACCATGTTAAATGTTTGTCTCTAAGCTATAGTATTATTATACACTTTTCTCTTCAAATATTTATACAGTATTTAATATAACTCTCATACCTAAGTACTGATAGTCATACCCCAGTTAAATGCACTAGACCTCTATGACCCACCCTGGCCTACCAGGAGCTAGACCCAGAATCTGACATTAGAATGCGAGGGGAGTGAGGGGATTAGAGAGCTGGCCTTAACTGAGAAACTCCACCGGAAAGCATAAACATAACGAAACAAGCAATTGCAAGAAGAAAATTAAGTCTCCGGTGGTACGAGTCGAACATTGCCAGAGCATAAACATATCTTGTTGAACCTACCCACCTGCAGATGGCAGCCCTGGTTACTTGAGGGGGCTCACCTGCCCCAAACCACCCCGGCAACAATCTGAACATCAGAGGTCCATGGCTGTTCAGTATTCTCCCAGCAAGCATTTGAAATATTGCTGGAACAAAGGTGGAAGTCTTCAAGAAGCATTTAGATAAGTTCTTACAAGAAGTGCATTCACTGGTTGTAGTGAATGTGGGCCTGTGGGCCACTCCAAGCAATATCCTGTTGGACCAAGTTGTCACACGTCAAGGCTCGAGGAGAAGAACACCTGAAACCCTCTCCAGGTATACCCCACAGTAGAGAAAAAACAAGGAAGCTACCAAGCACCCCATTAGAAAAGGACTTTTTTTTACATTAATGTTAATTAATGTAATAAAATTACATAAATTTCCAAAAAAAACTGAGAAAGGTTCCACCAAGACCGAACGGTTCAAGACAATATTATTAAGTATTGGGTAGTAGTGCTCCAGGGAAGAAAAGACAACAGGAGACTCTGAAGTGAAAGAAAGAGGCAGAGGGCCTACTAACTACCTCATAATGCAAATACAGAGAGAGAGAGATGTGAAGCCAAGAGGCCAGCTGCCTCACTCCTATACATGTGGTGGTACATCAGGTCTAAAAACTCTATATAGTACATAAATTTCAGTGGAGAGTCGTGAACCATCCAGGTAGGTCCTGCAAGTCACTGATTTCTTGAATGTCACATTTTTTTGCCCTTCCTGGTAGCATTATGAAGTTGTATGGCATTCCTTCTGCCCATTTTTTACCCTCTTTAGTTTCTTCGATAAGAGTTTCAGTGGTAAAGTAATGTCTTTTGGTTTCTGACTTGCTTAATTGCAGATTTGTCCCAATATGTACTGTCTTATTACCATTGGCATTGGTGGAGCGCCTCTAGCTAGCTTTTGCAGTTATGTTCTCAAAGATGGCAGTGTGTAATTTGGTGTTTGTAAGGATGACAAATGCCAACAAATAACAAGTAATTAAATTAAAGTGTAACGTATATATTTTGATTGAATATTTCAAAGTAATGTATAGGTCAGTACTGTCCTGTGTACTTAATTTGTTTCTCTGTTCCTAACAGCTGATAAATATAAAAGTGAGACAGCCGAGAATGTACGCAACAGGCAACAGAGTGCGCCGAAGGTTGTGAACGTCAACCCTCTAGATATATTAGACTTCAAGAGCCCAGAATTTAGAGGCAAGTAATAGAATTCTTTTTACATACCATAAAATATCTGCTGATAATTAAAAACCTTCAGATTTTTTATTAATGTAAATAATATACTGTATATACATGTATAGTACCATGCATTTTAAGGTTTGGGATTAATAAGGAGCTCATGAAATGAGTAGTTTTCCAAACTTGCATTCTGCTGCTCCTAGAAGTGCTATGTGATCTCACTTGTCGTCATAAAATTATTGAAAAGTTATTTTTTTAAGCACAGATTCCATAAGAACTGTTAGTTCTGCAGGACCTTTCAGTGTTCTTCAGTCACTAGAAACTGTTCATCCAGCTAGTTGCACTACTCTGAAATGTGTGTTCACAAACACACCTCTTAAAGCCCCAGTAACCTGAACCGCACAAGCATTTGAAGTATTTCCTGTATGTGCTCTTAACATATTTCAAGTCTTTTTAGTATTCTCGCTGCAATTATTGGGAACTAAGATCCAAGCACAGCCTAGCCTCATATATTTTGCACCAACTTGTAACTGCACACATTGAATATACTGTATTTAGTTTTTCTTGGTAAAAATATTTAAAAACTTTTTTTTTATATATAAAGTGCAGTGATGCATCGGGCTGTCAATGTTTATATCACAAAAATTGTAGAACATCGGTTCGCACAGAAATATTTGTGCTACTGTACTAATATACATGCTACAGTATAATATTAGAACAGTAAGACATTCTAGTTTTGCAGTTATCACACTGTATAAACATGTTATATACAACTATCTAAGTGTTTATACCCTGTTACAAAGCACTAAGCAGTTTTGGAGGGTGTGACTTGTGATAACTTGGTCCAACAGGCTGTTGCTTGGAGTGGCCTGCAGGTGCACATATCCATCACAACCTGGTTGGTCAAGTGTTAATTTACACACTGTACTTTGTGAAGTAGTCAAAACAATTTAAAACAATGCAGCTTACATTCATTGTTAGAAGTAAATATTTTCATTAAGTATGCTTTAGTTTATGCTGTTATAAAGCTGTTATAATAATTTTTTATACATAAATATATATAAGATGTACTTTTCATTGCAGATGGAATAAACCGGCTGGCACAACAGCTAAACATAACTGCGCACCCTGACCACCTCATTACACTCAAAGCTATAAGTAAACTTGTCAGCACCAGACTGTCAGCAGAAGCCATACAAAATCCTGGAGAAGTTATCCATCAAGTATGTTATCTTACACTTAATTAAATTAAATGAACTTCTTGGGAGGGGGTCTATTTTAGAATTAGGTTACGTTGATGGTTCAGTATAATTATTGTCCAGTTCAGTTCAAACACATTAGGCATATGAATCTTTTTTTACGTAAAATTTGAACACATTGTATATTGGTAAATATTTTACCTTACAATTAGGTATACATAGTAAATTTTTTTATTTTAACTTTTTTAATTTGCTACAGAAAATATTATCAGTACTAAATAGATTAACAATTGGAGTGTATTTTAATACCATATAGAGAGAGAACTGATTCCCCTCTAGTTAAGTGTTAGGTAAGCACCCCTTTCCTCCACCTCCACTTAGTGTTTTCTTCCATTCTACTTCCTATACCATCTCTTCCACCCCTTCTTGTACTACCTGCTTCTACTCCACCTCTATTACAAACATAACAAACCCAGCATGTATTCATATTTCTTCAATTCATTGTATTCCATGCTCATTATAGCACCCTATAATCATGGCTCCATATTCTGGACTCATAACACTACCCTGTTTGTATCTTGTGATATGTTGGTACCAGGATACTTTCCTTAATCACAAGCATGTCATTGAAATGTTGTGGGCTCTGATTGAAATTTTGATTATAAGAAATTGGATGCAATGGAAGGGTTCCACTATGGGATGTAATATGACCAATTGCAACAAAAAATATGGTAAGTAATGGTAATGTCTTATCACAGACATAATAACATAGGATAAAACATCCACGCTTGTGTATTTATTTATTTTATGTAAAGATGTGAACTACACAGTCTTCCACACACTTCTGAGATGTAAGTCTCGTCCAAACTATATACTCAGACTTTGATAATGTACTCAGGAGAGTGCAAAAGACTTGGTGTGGCTCAAATCTTTAAATAAAATGTGTTAGTGTGGTTTTTTATCATGTAAAATATATGGTGTTCTGGTGTAAAGGATGGAAACTGGATGCTCTGCAACACCTTTCCCATTGGTGTATTGCAGGGAAACTTCCAGTTTCTCCAGCTTTTCAGTGTTACTAAACAGAGACTTTAGGAAATCCTGCTCCTTGACAGAGCATGGAGATGGGTTCCCCTCTTGAGGTTTTTAGACAATGGTTCAGGTTGGTTTCTCTTTCACTCTCTGTGTGACCAATTGTGGTGGTGTCTATCTACAGGTGAATAGATTGTTGTATCCTCCTACCCAGTTTAAGGTAGATAATTCCAAATTTCTGCATTGTGCCCAGTTCTGTCCTTCAGAAGTAATGACCCGTGTAAAAAGGGCATCATAAGTTTCCTGTCCCACCAAGCTCCTGTATCCTTTTTCTGTGGTTATGGATAGGGGAAAGATAGGTGATTAGCAATACTCAATAATGAATACAGTATGTGATAAAGTATGTTGTGTATCCCATATCCTTCCTTATAATCAAAGTAGGAAATGGGAAACATGATTAGTTCAAGAGAAAAAAAAGGAAGTACAATATAGAAGGTGTATTGTACAGTATACAGGTATTTAACTTTCACTGCAACAATCGGCAAATATCACTAGATTCTCAGAGTAAGCTAAGATTCGAGTAAAGCCTGGGTGAGTGGAAACTGACTGGGGATAATTTATGACTGGTTAACCAATGTAATTTATTATATTTTAGATGCTGGTGAGCAGAGGTTATATAAAACCCATCCTCCAAATGGGTTAAATATATTTATGCAAGTCATTTGCCCTCTTGATTAATGATTTGTACTTTAATACCTCATTTTGAGCTTCAGAAAAATTGCTTCCCTAACTTTGAATATTCACTATGTAGTTTTTAAAACTATTCACACTTGAGACACCTAACAAACAGCGATAGGGTTAAAATATTAAAAAGTGATTGTTTTCTTTATAACCAAGTCTGCACCAAAAATGTGCATAAATTTGCATTTGATTGTTCAAATATCTCTCATGTGGTTTTTGGAAGCAACTCGCCTTAAAATAGGATGGTTTACAAAAATATTTTTATCTCTAATGTGAGTGGTCAATTTGTCTAAAGTCCATATTAATAATAAATTTGTTTTCAGTGCATTCATAAGTATTGTACTGTAATTGGTTTTTTTTCTACCCACAGGGCAAATCTTACCCCATCTTTGAGGCCGATTTGGGCTTTGAGACTGGAGATTATGTCCTTAATAATGCTGGAAAGGCATTAAGGTTAATTTACATTCATGACCTACGAGAACTTCAAACAAAAATAAATGAATGCATAGTAGCAGCTCAGAACATAACGGCAAATCCCAAGACTGACACCAAGCTGGGAAAAGTGGGACGTTAATACAAACACTTAAGAATTTGGCCAGACTATACCCGAGTAATCCGACATATTCGTATTTACTTCCCATGTCAGTGGAGAGTTTTTACTAAGAGATATGTTCATAGATACAGTATAGTGTGTAGAGAAATAGTTAGTTTGACAAAAGTGACAAAATGCTGTTTGATAAAACAGCAATAGTGTCCAATGCTGTTTGACAAAAGTGACCAGGTTTGTTGAACCAGCCAGAGAAATCTATGATACAATTATCTAATAGTAAAAACTACTTTTGGCATGATGTGCTTGATGGCATTCCCTAGTCGTTACATATACAAGTATGTTGCTACATCTAATTTATTTTTTCTGTTGACCTAACCGTTAGTGATAAACTCTCATGCCAAATACATACTAATAAACACCCTGCAGCTAAGTTTGGGGTTTCACATGACAACTCCACCAGTGCTAAAATGAGTTAATGTTCAACATTAATAATGCTCAAATTTTGTAAGGAAATAATATCCTATTGTTTAAAACCTGTATACACATCACGTTGAACAATGTAACCAAACTTTTCTTTTTTTCTTTTTACTCATATTCAGTAAATTTCTGTGATATGACAAAAACCCTGAAGACTATAATTCTGGGAAGTGTTCAGTGGAGTGTATTTCTTATATAGCCAATGTTATTATGAACATGTCTGTGCCTGCCTGATTGTTTATGCAGTAATTCATAAGGACTTTAAAAATAAAACATATTCAGTATTGTTTAATTCATTTACAAGTTACTTTCAGTACTTAAATATATGCACATTCCTACATAAATTCCTTATGGTAACACGCTGAAGACGATTGTCATGACAAAGGTTGGTCACAAGGTATTTGTTCTCCTGCTCTTCTCAAATGGTGGGAGTCTCAGTAGTCTTGTTATACCCACTCCTGCAAGTGCTGAAAATACATAGATTAGGTTACTTGAATATCTTATAAATATACAAGTACAGTATTAGTGAAGATAGTGAGTATCTAACCTGGAGCCAACAGAAAAGCCTTCAAGAAGCTTAATTATTTGAAAAATGGGGTAAATTCTGCAAGTCCTTGGTTTTTAAAGTATTCATACTTTTATTCATAATATTCAATGGACATGATCATAATTTAAGATATTTGACTTTCACATACTACTGTCAATTGATTCACTCACAATTTGTAGTTTGTGATTTCCTATTTTTATCAACTGTGTTTCACTAACCTACCACTAAATATACAGTATAACAAACTTTATCAAAGTACAACATATTCCAGCAAATTTTAATGAGTACAAAAACTATTTACAATAGCTGGTTTTACCCCACACTTAAATCTCTTAATATGCAACACCTTTCCATGCATCCCTAACCTGTCTATTTGTTTCTTAAAAAGATTACTAGAGGAAGATGCAGAGCAGGGATCTTAGTTCATGAAAATATCCCAACATGGCTTTGGAAATATTTTTAATTTAACTATTCTCAACACTGTCTTATCAAATGGCTCTGTGGCTGACAGGCATTGTCATAGTAGCAATTTTGCGAGCGAGATATTGCAAGGACATAAGAAAATAGTATTTAATTTTATATAATATAGGTTGTATATAAGAAAAACTTAATGTATGGCCAAACAAATTTAATGCACATGTTAGATAATGTGCATTTGCATAAATCACAATGAAACTGATTAATAAACAGTAACCTAATTGCATGCGTATGTGTAGAATTTGCCTACAAGTTTGTTAATGTATTCATTAACAAAGAAACCTTGTTCACTTGTTAGCAGTAAATGAGTAGTAAATAATTGTAAGCATCCATCTAACATCTCACTGGCTAATGCTATATAAGACTTGATATATGGCTTGGTTTTCCTGGATAAGTAATGTTAGTTTATTTTACAAAGGTCCATGATGTACTTGAAGAATTTCCTTCAAACACACTTAGTCTGCCTTGGAATTAAGGTACTGTAATATACATGCTAAGCAGTTTAACTTTGCTTAAGAGTCCTAACTAATTTCCCCTACCCCAACCTCTTTACACTATTTTACAATACTGTACGTAAATTTTTACCTGATATACTCAAGGGCTACTAAACCTAGTGGCCTCAATGAAGACAGGAAGCCAGCGCTTGTCGAAGGTCCCCCCCTTCCCCATTTGCCTTGATCTTTTCTAGGTACCTGTATATTTTAAAACAATACAGTTACAGCTTCAGCAGTTCCATGGGTTAATAACCCTGTGGGTGAAAAAGCATCTCCTATTCTCAGTCCTACATTATGGCTTGTTGAGCTTGAAACTGTTGCATGTTAAATAATACACAGACACTTCTGTTATATAAGGAAGCCAATAGTGCAAAATAATCACCTCCAGCAAGTACAAAGGTGAGAGGTCTTCCAATACGATTTGTATTCCTTGATCCATGATAGGCTACATAGAGGGAAGCTCCTAGACAACCACCACCACCAACCAGTCGACAACCCAAGCAATCTTCAGACTCCTTCATTACTTCCTTCTCTGATGATTCTTTGCCAGCAGTCATTGTAAAGTTTCAACTGGAAAATAAGAATTTATTTCAATCATACTAACCCAAAATATATAATTTATATAAACCGACAATGGTTTAAATGCTTTTTTCTCAAATTAAAATACAGTACAACTGATGATAATTTCACCCATAGCTTTAAGAATATTTTTTTCTCTATCCAGTAACATCAAACTATTGTAAATACTTTTACTTGCACAGTGCTTTCTCATGATTATTCCATTATCTCATTTTTTTATAGCAAACTGTAGTGTATAAGGAAACTAGTATCCTAGGCAACCTGTATTCATAACAGTATCAGGATCAGGTCGTTGAGTAAAATCACAAATATCTAAACTTTGGTGGTTAAATGGTTTTTATTGCTTCTTTAAACAACAAAACTAGAAAATGATAGGAATTCTTTAAATATGATTGAAAAATATTGAAACAAAAGATTACAACAATAATATTTCCATTCGGGATACTTGAACGTTTTCCAAAGTGGGTACAGTATGTCCTTTTGTAAGTGATGCCTCCTTGCTTAGATGCAGTACCTACCTACCAACAGGCAGGTAGGTACTGCATGGAGGCATCATCTTCAAAAAGACATACCCACTTCGGAGAAAGTTCAATATAGAATGACAAAAATCATCCCAGAATAACCCATCCTCCTGTTTAGATTGTACTTTATGCAACATGTTGACCGTCGAACTAAAATTTACGATGAAGGAAATGACAATGATATTGAAGCCTTTGATCTACATGAACTCCACAAATGGCAAATGCCTTGCAATATCGAAAAATGTAAGACCTTGCATGCAAGGCATAACAATGCACAACATTAGCCCGAGCAGACCGAGAAAGAAATGGACCTAGGAGTCAAAATCCACCAATCATTGAAAGCTGCACAAGTGGGAGCTGCTGTGAAAAAAAAAGCAGCAAACCAAATCCTAGGGATAAACAAATGAAATTTTGACAAGGTAAGAGATAAGGTATAGTAGTTGTACAAATGTATAAATCTTTGATGTGCCTACATCTGAATTATTGTATCCAAGCATGGAGACCTGAATTTCAGAGACATATCTGGTTGAGAGATACAGTCTAGTATTTTAGTGCCAAGTGACTAGAATCGTTACAGAACTAAATCGCCTCTGAAGCCAGGAGCAGTTGGGGGGCACAGAGCTAACAACTCTGCAAACCAGGCATGACAAGGCTGACCTCATTGAAACTTAAAATACTGAACAATTTGCAGCATATTTATCCAGACCACACCTTATAAAGGTCAGAGGTAACACAAACAGGGAGCAACAGTTTCAAGCTCAACAAGCCACAATCCAGGACAGAAAACAGATGGATTTTTGCCCCTAGAAATGCTTACCCGCCTGACAGCTGCATGGACAGCTCTTCAGATTCGTAGTCCTGAGGTTCCGGGTTCTATCCCTGGTGGAGGCGGACACAAATGGGCAGAAAGTTTCTTTCACCCTGATGCCCCTGTTACCTAGCAGTAAATAGGTACTGTACCTGGGAGTTAGACAGCTGCTACGGGCTGCTTCCTGGGGGTGTGTAACAAAAAGGAGGCCTGGTTGAGGACCGGGCCTCAGGGACATTAAGCCCCGAAATCATCTCCAGATAACCTCAAGATAAGATTACCCGCTGAAGCCATAAATACTAAAACGCTGCTGGACAATATCATTAAGACAAATGGGGAACTTTCAACAAGCTGCTGGCTTCCTGTCCTCATTGAGACCACTAGAGATAAGTGGCCTTCAGGTAAATATACCTAACCTTAAAATATAAAGAGACACTACCAATAGGCAATTCAGCCATAAAGAGCGATTCCACAACTTGCTCATAACTAGGTACAAAATTATGTAACAAATTTTTCCATCCAATTTATTAGAAATAATGTACAATACATTGAATAATTATAGTATTGGACCATGGATTACTGCACTCTTTAGAAATTGGTATATGAGAAGCTGCTTCTATTTGGATGCACATAGCCAAGGAATGCTGCACTCTTTTGATCAGACCAGTCTCAGGTTAAGGTGATTAGATCAAGACATCACCCTCTCTCTCAAACCACTTAGATAGTTATCTAGATGTTGCTATGATCTGAAAGTATATTATAGTTCCAATAATAGCCTGCTTGTGAACTGGCAAAAGAACCTTTGTCCTAAACAGAATATTCTGAAGTTGTAACTATTGTATTATAAAGCCAAGGTTTAAAATACAAAAAGTCTAAGGTCTAATAAAATACAATTATTTTACCAATGGCATAGGTTTTCTTTAATGTTAAATTCCTGGGAACACGGCAATAGTTTTCAATTTTTATATTTCACAATTCAGAATAATACACTGGTTTAACCTAACTATGGATAAGGAGTTGATAATTGCACTAATTACATGGTGATGATTTTGAAGTGATCATAGGCACATGCACATTAAAAGAATACAACCCTATGGAGAATAATAATAATTAGATTTTCATAATGTGCATACAAAGAACAAGAGATGAAGGGATAGCTGTAGTTATGGGGAATAGAAAGCGTTATGCAAAGTGTTTTGGTCAAAGCTTAATAATGTATGTAAACAACATTGTTTATAGGTATAATGGGGTATAGGCCCATGGGGGGCTTAATGTATTGTAAGAATACAGGTCCATGGTACATCACATTCTAAGGCTACAGGTCCATGGGACATCACATTCTATGGCTACAGGTCCATGGTACATCACATTCTAAGGCTACAGGTCCATGGGACATCACATTCTATGGCTACAGGTCCATGGTACATCACATTCTAAGGCTACTGGTCCATGGTACATCACATTCTAAGGCTACAGGTCCATGGTACATCACATTCTAAGGCTACAGGTCCATGGGACATCACATTCTATGGCTACAGGTCCATGGTACATCACATTCTATGGCTACAGGTCCATGGTACATCACATTCTATGGCTGCATGAGAACTAATTCTATTAATAAGGACTATAAACACGAACCTAATTACAGGTGAGCGAGTTGGGTTCAAGCACAAAGCAGCCGTGAGGCCGGCCTCTGAGGTCCTGGTTTATCTGGTGAATATGAGGAGTCCTGTGAGTACGGCCAATGAGGAGATAGATCTCGTGAGTACGGCTAATGAGGAGTCTCGTGAGTACGGCCAATGAGGAGTCTCGTGAGTACGGCCAGTGAGGAGTCTCGTGAGTACGGCCAGTGAGGAGTCTCGTGAGTACGGCCAGTGAGGAGTCTCGTGAATGTGGGTCGTGAGGACCCGAGAGGACTTGTGTGGATGTACGAATCGAGAATGATGTAAGTCACTTCGTACACGGCGTAGATGTTCGCTGGTATGGGGTGCATAATAAAGAAAGAAATTGACTTTATTTATTTATAGTTTACCTGAGCTTACCTGAGAGCCAGTAGCACTAGTGGTCTCGACGAGGACAGGAAGCCGGCGGCTTGTCGAAGGTCCTCTTTCATTTGCCTTGATGATCTTTTCTAGCTGTATTTTAAAAGTTAAGAGTTTTGGCATTTATGGCTGCGGCGGGTAGTTTGTTGAGCTGGATTGATTGATTGATGAAGATTAAGGCACCCAAAAGGTGGCACGGGCATGAATAGCCCGTAAGTGGTGGCCCTTTTGAGCCATTACCAGTATTAAGAGCCGATACTGGAGATCTGTGGAGGTGCGACTGCACCCTGCGTGACTGGAGAGGTCTCCCGAGTTGAGCTGGACGCTGGCAAGCCCTTTTATATGGGGCATGACGTCATAGTTGGCGCGAATTCTGGAGTTTAACAATCAGACGGCAGATAAACGATCGTTAGCTGGTGGCGTCTAATCCCCCGCCGAGACAGCAGGTGTACTGGAGGGTGAAGGGGGGAGAAGGTGTGTCAAGACACTAATACGTTTTGGGTATGTATTGTTTATTTATTTATTTATATATATACAAGAACGTACATGGGATTGTGAGGATACATAACATAGTAATTACATTCTTTTAAAGCCCTTATTGTTGTTGTCGTTGATGCTGAATCTTGATGTTGGAGCATGCAGATAAGTAGGTGGTAAAGGGACAGGCAGGATCTACTGCTAAGCAGATTACACTAACAATGGACACAACTGGTGTACACAGTTGGACACAATTGTGTACAGATGTGTTTTTTGCCTGTTGTGCAACTTTCAGTGAATGGTGGATTTTGACTCCAGGGACAGTGTAGGAAATAAATATATATGTACTGAACTTTTAATGTTGAAAAAAACTAATATAGTATTTAAAATTCCCGCGACTGGTGTCACCTGCGCATCCCGCTGGCACCTTGTCTCGGGGGGTAAAATACACAAAATGAACAATAAAAAAAAAACAATCTCAAATTACTATATTATAATAACGTGTGCTGACTTTGGAGATGGAACAGCAACATTTTATGTATGGATATAATTTCCTAAATGTATTTATATATGTGTGTGTGTAGAGGAAAGCAGGCGAGAGGGAGCGGCGGCAGCAGCAGCGGCGAGTGTTACGTGGAACTCAGCTGTGAGCAAACGTCATCGGCGGCTTTCACCCCACACTTGTGTTATCAGCTGACCGCCACCCTCTACCTTATCAGTGTGACCTGCCGTCCACCTGGAGGCTTGATGCCAGTGCCCTGAGGTGCAGGAGAGAGAGAGTAGTAGTAGTAGTGATGGAGGTGTTAGCGTGGGTGATGGTGGGAGTGCTGGTGACGGCGGCTGACGGCGTCATGTTCCACCTGCAGCCCAACACCCAGAAGTGTCTCCGGGAGGAGATCCACAAGGATGTCCTCGTCTCTGGCGAGTACGACATTCAGGAGTCCCCCGGGCAGAAGGTGGACATACAGGTAACTTCTGCGGGTGAGGGAGTCTTTGGGTCACATCTGTTTGTCCCACACCAGCCTCGGCTTCTGGCCAGGTGGGGTCCTCTCCTAGGGAAGTGTATGTCTTGGGGTCCTCTCCTAGGGAAGTGTGTGTCTTGGGGTCCTCTCCTAGGGAAGTGTATGTCTTGGGGTCCTCTCCTAGGGAAGTGTGTGTCTTGGGGTCCTCTCCTAGGGAAGTATATGTCTTGGGGTCCTCTCCTAGGGAAGTGTGTGTCTTGGGGTCCTCTCCTAGGGAAGTATATGTCTTGGGGTCCTCTCCTAGGGAAGTATATGTCTTGGGGTCCTCTCCTAGGGAAGTGTGTGTCTTGGGGTCCTCTCCTAGGGAAGTGTGTGTCTTGGGGTCCTCTCCTAGGGAAGTATATGTCTTGGGGTCCTCTCCTAGGGAAGTGTGTCTCTTGGGGTCCTCTCCTAGGGAAGTGTGTGTCTTGGGGTCCTCTCCTAGGGAAGTGTGTGTCTTGGGGTCCTCTCCTAGGGAAGTATATGTCTTGGGGTCCTCTCCTAGGGAAGTATATGTCTTGGGGTCCTCTCCTAGGGAAGTATATGTCTTGGGGTCCTCTCCTAGGGAAGTATATGTCTTGGGGTCCTCTCCTAGGGAAGTATATGTCTTGGGGTCCTCTCCTAGGGAAGTATATGTCTTGGGGTCCTCTCCTAGGGAAGTATATGTCTTGGGGTCCTCTCCTAGGGAAGTATATGTCTTGGGGTCCTCTCCTAGGGAAGTATATGTCTTCGGGTCAAACAATATTTGTTTGAATGAAAGTGGCACATTGTCCAGCTGCACTTGACTACATCTACATTTAGACTAACAAAATCTACTGTAAGAGTTTAGTGGCCAAAATCAAAGACAACTTCGGTGCATGGTATGGCTGTCATTGCTTTAGGTAGACCCATTTCTGTATACTCGAAAACCTGAAGGTTTATATTTCGTGCTCTGTGATAGTACAAACTGTTTTCTGACGGTACTAATTTTAATGTACTGTCATGTTGAGTAATTTTAGTTTCTTGTCCCTCGATGCATTTTGTAGAACTCTCCATTTCTGGCTTAAAGGAAACACGCAATGCATGGGGACTTTTATTTTTAATTTTTTTTAATATAAAGTACAATACAAAAATGTAATTTAATAGACTAGTAACATTTGTAATTTTAATAGACTAAGTAACGTGCAGACAACTTACAATAAAGTTACAAGTAGACTTAAGTAAAAAGTTCCATGACAAAAGATACTAATAATATAACTTGTAACTTACATAAAGAACACAATAGTAATTAACAAAGTACACAAACATAAGTAACGGTTTAAGACCGTAGAATTTGTACCATAATTGTAAGATAGAAATACATGACGATTTATGATCGTAAAGTTTGTACCATAAAATTTGTACCATAAATGTAAGGTAAAGGAATTAACATAAACATGAGGTAGTTACTGGGGGTTAATTACCATAAGTAAAAACATAAAGTATTTAAAATTTACACATAGTAGCACCTAAATAAGACTAAGCACAAATTACAGATAAGCTTAATTGACTTGCACGTGCCTACACGACGGCTTCCATGGCTTAAATGTGCCAAGAGAATTTAACCTTACAGCCTTGCAGTGTTTGAAATTAGAAGAGATGAGCTATGTAATTTTTTTACTAGGCTATGCAATTACATTTACTGCCAGAAGTGGACATAATACTTTAGGGGGTTCCGGCGGAGCACCCCTAATTGCCAAACCAGCTGGCGCGTAGAAAATGGCACATTGTGGGACCGGAGCTGTAATAAAAAACAAAACATACAGTACAGTACTTTTTTTATGGGTCACTTAAATATCTAGTTCCTGTTCTTTATACAAAGGTATCAACATATATATCAGCAGAATGCTCATTTGATCTTTTCCAGGTCCAGCTGGTGAAGCAAAAATAGATCGTTATGTTGGTCACTAGTGGCTCTCGACTGACTTGTCATTTTGCTGTATATATTGACAGATTAAAGGGCCTGAATTGTAGTTTTTGGTTATACAGTGGAACCCTGATTAACGAATTTAATTCATTCCGGCACCGAGCTCGTCACGTGAAATGCTCGTCTTTCAAAACGAATTTCCCTATATAAAATATTGGAAATAAAAATTATCCGTTCCACCATCGAAAAACATCAATATGATATTCGATTCTTTACATAATGGAGCAGCCTACATGACAAACGCTGAACGAACCTCTTTGACATGATTTTTTTCCTCAAATTTTTTCATTTTTTTTATTCTACAAAAAAATTCCATACTTTGCAACATCACAAGTCATCCCTTTACATCCCTGCATCATTAACATCTTAAAAAAATGTATTTGCATCTTTGGAGGCATCCGAGAATGTGCGAGAAGCAGTGGGAACGCACCATGTTGTTTTCTTGTTATTCAAACGAGCACTCGCCAATCGAGACAAATTGTCGGCGATCAGCTTGCTTGTTAAACTGCTCGTAAATTGAGGCGCTCGTCACTTGAGGTTCCACTGTATTTTTCTTGTAGCCTAGATTGTTAGCTGCCTCTTGAGCTTTATTTGAAAAAAAAAATGGTCAGCTCTTAAGCTTTTTTTTTTTAACTTAAAAAATCTGGTAATAATGGCTAGTAGACCTAAATCATAATCGGATTAATTTTCATATGAAAATTCCCTGGGGAATTATGACTACAAACCCGACCATTTTGGGTTTGAAATTTGGTAGGATGTTGAATTTTGGATGGTAGGTCCAATTTTGGTTTGGATTTGGTTTGTAATTTTGTTTTGGTAGGATGTTGACGGACTTGAATTAAAATAATGTATAGGCAAAATTTTAGCCCTCAGTGATGCATGATATTCAAACAGAATTCATAATTCAACTTCAATAGAAGCAATTGTGAATTTGTGTTGTGTAAGCAGAAAATTTGCATTTTTTCAAATTGGGATCCCTGTTGTATGAACATTTATGCATCACCAAGCACTAAAATTCTGCATATAAAGTTACTTCAGGTTCGCCACCATTCTACTAAATTTCATAAAAATCTGGGATGGTTGGGTTGGGGTCCACATTTTTATGGTGATTTGGCATAACATGATCCACAAAGTAGTTAAATACAGTAATTAACCAATATTGTTGAGGGTTTGTATTGAATTTTTGGCAGAAAATTTAATTTCAAAATTTTTCCCAATTCTGAAGGTATTAATTGGTTTAAAGAAATTTGGAACAGAATACACATCTCAATGCACTTTACAATACAGTACTGATAGAGCATATTATGAAAAGTTTGTAGAATTGCATTTTTTGGAAACCTAGTGTCATGGTCATCTTTATTAAAAAACATAAATTTTACCTACACCCATTATAGAAATTTCTTTCCAATGATAACAAAATCCATGACTATGCTGTAATATTTGTAAAACCTTGGAATTTAAGATGTTTTCAATTAAGCTTTTGAGGGTGTAAAGGCAACAGCCAGGCATTCCAGTGTTTGCTGGCTTGTTAGTTGGGAACGGTTGAATTAAGATCTAATGCTATGGGGTATAGTAGGAAGATATTAGAACTTTTTAAGTTTCATATTACTGTATTTGGTGTCTATTCACTTCTTCCCATGCATCAAGCAACAAGAAACCAGACACCTGTGTTCGGTGGCTTGTTCCTTGGGAACCACAGTCAAGATAAAATATTAATATGTATAGTAGCATAGTGTTTAGCATGTGTGGGGCCGTATGGGTTGTCACCTATAATCGAAAATAGGTGACAACCCTAATGTCACCCATTATTAAAAACTTAAATTTTTCTTTTAATAGCACAAGTTATTTGGTGTATTTTCAGGTTTATAATTATATATTTGCAGGTTACAGACTCGAAAGGTCATCATCTTTATGTAAAGGAAGAAGCAGAAAGCGGCAAGTTTATGTTCAATACCGAGGACTATGATGTTTATGAAATCTGCTTTATTTCCAGGGTTCCTCCAAGTAAGTATAGAGCACGATTTTAGATATGCTAATTAATATTTCTTGGTATTATCTTCTAGACTTTCATTTCTTTGTGCCCCATGGAATTCTTCTTGCATCAGTGATTTTTTCCTCGGATGTTGGTTGTCTACCACCACTCTTAGCCCCTTCTTTAGTCTTGCATATTTTTCTTAATACCATTGTATCCTCTGCATACCTAAGTGATTCTTTTTCTTGATGCCATTATACTGCCTTACACCTCATAACTTTAAAATGTCTTCTGCCATTACTCATCTTCCTTACATTTCATTCTACTTATTCCTTCCTATTAATATTAATACAGCATATGTCTATTTCCTCATACTTTTTTTTTTTTTTTTTTTGGGAGATATATACAAGAGTTGTTACATTCTTGTACAGCCACTAGTACGCGTAGCGTTTCGGGCAAGTCCTTAATCCTATGGTCCCTGGAATACGATCCCCTGCCGCGAAGAATCGTTTTTTCATCCAAGTACACATTTTACTGTTGCGTTAAACAGAGGCTACAGTTAAGGAATTGCGCCCAGTAAATCCTCCCCAGCCAGGATACGAACCCATGACATAGCGCTCGCGGAACGCCAGGCGAGTGTCTTACCACTACACCACGGAGACTGCTGTTTTTGTTTTCCTTAACATGGTGTGTGAACTTAACTCGGTACTGTGATACCATACTTGAAATATTATATTTTTTACTTCAAATTTCAGTATACTGTAGCACTGTATTTCTAGCTGTATTGTACTGTTAGCCTAAATACAGATTTGCAAATTGTCACTTGTCCTGTGTGTAGCAACATGAATTTATTTTCTGACTTCCTGTGTAATCTGACAACTATTACGTCATCTCAATTGGCATTACTAGTGAGTGTGATGGTAAAGAATTTTGTAATGCATTGGGCATAGGTACCAGATTAATTGTTGGTTCAAAATTTACCAAATTATTTATAGAGATGTGGCATATTTATGCAAGTCATATTTATTCCTAGTGTATGTATAGACCTTGATAGCTCTTGAAGGGGAAAAAAAGGTTAAATAGTTCAAACTTGCTATAATTCAATTTAGAATTGACATTCCTTACTCTTTAATTTTGAGGGTATGTATTCATTGCAAAAAGTACAGGGACATGATGCACAACCTTGCCCAAGCAAAATTTTTATTGTAGTACAGTCGTGTATGCCTTACCTTAAAGAAAGATTTTGTTGAACTTTATGCATTTTTTTTTTTATATTTGTTAAGCCTCAAAGATGTTGCATTTCACTTTAGGACCATATTGTGTTAAAAGGTGATCACTAATGTGAACTGAACAAGTAAATAGTTTGCAGTATCTACAGTACATTTTGAACAGATTTAAGTGTACTATTGAAAAGTGCTTTATAATGAAAATTGCATAAAATGTTTCTTAGCGTTATTAGTTTGCAATACAAGATTTTCGCTGTTGAACCTTCATTTTAAAAGCTATTATTTTCCACAGCTCAGCGGGGTATACAACAAGAGGTCACCCTTAAAACTAAACATGGAGTGGAGGCAAAGACTTATGAAGCAGTAAGTTATTTTGCTATTGTTTGTGCCCTAGAATGTCAGATTGACATTAATTTGGTAGGGTGGGTTATACAATAGTTGATTGAAGTGCAAAATATTTAATGAACTATTTAAGATGTGTATATTCAAGGGTGCTTTTTGCTGCCTACAATAGGTACTGAACTTGTTTTCAAAAGTTCAGTTTGGTTGTAGATTGTTTTTTCAGCTAAAAGTAAAGTATTCCTTTTCATGCTGACTAAGTTTCTACGGTAAAATATACCTCGGATAGGGTAGTGTGTTCTCTGAAATAGGTCTAGTATCTTGAAAAATCCTCATTTTGTAGTACTTATTCACTCGGATATTACGTGTAACAACCATGCCAGTCACTAGTCTTTTATGTCTTTACTTAGCAGTAAACAGATTCCATATTGACATCTTCCTGGGAGCACACAAGTGGGATACTGATGTGAGTTCTAGAATATTAAATTTTGGCTTTGTTCATATATACCTCATGAAAATTGGATTAAGTAATGTTATTATCTAGGACTGCAGTAATTTAATGCCATAAGCATAAATATTATATAATACTGTATACTAAGGGTGAGTGAAGGTATTTGCAGCTTCTAGCACCATTTTCACCATTGTATACCTTACCTTGAGTATACTGTTGATTTCGGGGCCTAGCGTCCACGCAGCCCAGTCATTGCCCAGGCCTCCTCGTTGCTTGACTGATCAACCAGGCCATTTGGATGTGGCTGCTCGCAGACTGCCATATGAGTCATAGCCTGGTTGATAAAGTATCCTTTGGAGGTGTTTATCGAGTTATCTCTTGAACACTATGAGGGGTCGGCCAGTTATACCCCTTATGTGTAATGGAAGCGTGGCCTCAGTCTCAGGCCTCTGATAAGTTCTCTCTCGGGGTACCTATTGCACCTCTGCTTTTCAACAGAGGTATTCTGCACATCCTGCAATGCCTCCTGGTCTCGTTTGGTGTTATTTCTGTGTGCAGGTTTGGGACCAGCCCCTCTATAAATTAAACTTTTGTATACAGTACTATTAAGTTGTTTTTATGAACTGTCAAATGTTTCAACTTTAAAACATGAAATACAGTACCTGTACTTTAACATGAAATGTTACATGTTTCCAAAGTCAACTATTTCCATTTACCTTAAAAACATTAAAATATAGCCAATTTAAAAACAAAAAGCACAACTCTCTACTAAAGGCGCTTTGCGCAGTGCAGTTTAATTTGTCTAAATTTATTTTATTAGAATTTGTATTAATATATTTAATTCTCCCACACACCGATATGTACATTATCATCAGCAGATGTTTGTAAGTTACAATTTACTCAGTGACTGAAATGTTGCATTAAACTTAAGCTCTTGCTTATGGCATAATTGTGTGGCACGTCCCTATCGTTCAGTATTGGTTAACTAACTGCATATTGTCACATAACTTTGAAGCATTAAGTTGTGTGTGCCCTTCATACTTACAGTAAAAATAACAGGGTGCTGTGTGTGAATTTTTCTAACAAATTTAGTTTCTGGTGTGAAACTGTTGACAGTAGACTATTTGTTAAACACAATTTTGTGGTATAAATTTGTTGTAAAAAAAATGTTTGAATTGATGATGCCTTTCACATTCAAAATGCATGCAAAAGTATTGTAGTTAAGGGAGGGGAGGGTAAATGTGTGGAAATCTTAAGTAATATATAATAAAAACTTTTTTATTGAAGAGATTGGATATTAAGAAGAGTAAATTAATTGTACCATCACCCTAGATTTTTGGTGTGCTCGGTTGAATAATTTTATTACATCTTTATTTCACATCTTTATTTCCAGTGCTAATGTATATAAACTAACACGATTTTTTGAAAATCTTGTTCTTGTCTGTGAGGGGATATTAGGACAGTTGTATAGAATTGTTTGTCACCATAGTTTATGCTGTATTCATAAAATTAACTCTGTATTACCTGATATGAGCATCAGTGTGATTCATTAAACTTTGTACAATACGGTATGCTCACACTTCAACTAAGTGATGAAGCATGAATGTTAGCAGTTTTTGACGATTGATTCTTGTCTTTGATTCTTGGCTCATTTGAGTTAATGAAATGAGGGAAAAGATTATAGGTACAGGTATAACATTTTCTTGCTCTGAATGATGCTGAAACGTGCAGCCTGATGGGTAAATTTTGGGGATTTTCAGTTTGAGCTATTCAATTCATATCAACCTGTCTGAAAACTTATGAAAATTGCTGTTATTTTGTGGACATTGTATCTAGGGCAGGAGTGGACCAAGTAGAGAGCTTCTTGCTCATCCCATGAGGCCCCACTTAAATTCATATTAATCACTTGCACATAATCTATTATAAATATATATATGTTTTCCTGCTTTTCCATTCCTGCTTTTCTCAAGAGAATTCCTTTATGAACAATTTGACAGCAAATTTAGTTTTGACCTAACAAATGTTGCTTGGCAAACCCATCCTCCCGTTTATATAGTATTTGTGACGATCGTCAGTAGTTGGAATTCATACGTTCCTAGCTTTTAGATAATACCATACTGACTAGCAAATAACTTTTTTTTTAATAAATAAAGCTAAAATACTTATTCCTAGGCCTAGTATAGCACACATGTACTATACTGTATTTGGCCTAGGGAGGTTAGGAGAGGATAGTTTAGTTTGTCAGAGCAATACATTCAAATTTTGTTGTATGTCGGTATATATACACTCTGGTCCTCATCATTACTGCCAAAACAGTAGGATGGGCTGGCTTGGCAGCAAACTTTTTGGTACTGCATCATTCAACTGGTGTAAATAGAAGACATAAAATCATATGGGGGTAATGTGTGGGATTGAAACAACATTGATTATATTGAAAGGATTATTTTGTAAGACAAAGAATAGTCACTGTGTAGTGTGTACCAGTATTGGGGGCAATATTGGTAAAATGTGCTATCTTGGGATGTTAAGCAACTGTGTGATAAATCTGTATTGTGGTCAGTACAGTATATTAATATGAGGGTTTGGAAAGTTAGTCTGTCGTGTGGGCATGTTGTGGAGTGTGTGGCATGTATACAGTGCTGAATTAGGTTTTGTTACCATATAGATAACTTCTACACTTGGTTTAAAACCTAATACATTTCATTTTCACTTGTGAAAGATCATTTTAAGTTGAAGGGAATTGTGAAACTTTATTTTTTATAATGTTGAAAGTTGCTTTTATAAATTACTTGGGTAATTCTTAAAATGATTTGTTACCAATTTCATTTTTTTATGAAGATGCTAATTCAGAAAGATTCCTATGCCATCATAATTAGTTTGTATACTTGTTAAATATTAATCATAATTGCTTTCATTAAGTAGCTGTTTTTTCTTAACAGTTGGGTGAAGCAGCCAAGCTAAAGCCTCTCGAGATTGAGCTGAAGCGTCTGGAGGACCTCAGCGAGAGCATTGTACAAGACTTCTCATACATGAGGCAACGTGAAGAGGAGATGAGAGACACTAATGGTAAGGAGAAAAATAAATCCGACCATCCTTTCACCATTTTCAGTCTCTGCACACTATTTGTGCATATACAATATAATGATTAATCTAAATGGACTGCAAAATTTAACTTTTATTTACCTTGCAATAAATGTAGAACCACCTGTGTAAGGTTATCTGATCATAACTAGGAGAGGTTTTTATAGCTGAAGGATGAGGCTGTACATAAAATACATGAACCCCCCCCCCCCCCCCTCAGTGAGTGGTTCCTTGCACTTGCAATCCACCCCCTTTCTCAGTGAGTGTTTCCTTGTACCTGCAATCTCCCCCTCTTCCTTCTCGGTGAGTGGTTCTTTGCACCTGCAATCCACCCCCAGTTCTGTGATTGGTTCCTTCATATGGTGAGAGAGCTCTTGTGCACTGCCTTTCAGTAGGTGGTGGAAGCTCCCGCTTCCCTCCCCGTCCTTCTGTGGTGGTGCACAAGTGAAATGTCCTCCGTGTGTTTGCCATGCATTCCCTTGTGTTCCTTCATCTGGTTGTTGACCCTATCCAACAATTCTAGGCCCTTGGGGAAATGTGTTGCTTTTGTGCGGGGGCAGGGATAAAATGGGAGGTTGTGTGGCCCACTCGAGTCAAGTCGGCTTGCCCGGTTGCCTCGCCTAGTTAGACATCGGGTCAAGTGGGAATTGGGGGGGGGGTTGGTATCCTTATCGATCCCTGGGATCGTACTGTATTCAGACCCTTTAATGGTGGCCATCATATACTGTCCCATTACCCCTGATGTTTTCATTGTACTTATGCCTTCCCTTATTCTACTCCATGCTGGGTAGAGGGGGGTACAGAGCTCTGAAGTTCAATTTCCGTTTACTTTCATGTCATCCCTATATGTCCCTCCTTTTCAATCTCGTGGGTGTGTCCACACAACCTCCCTATGTGTCAGACTGTGGTGGAAGAGAAGTATTAATTACCTTATTGACAGTAAGACTTTAGACATTGCACTTAAGTCAACATTGCATTGAAAAGTTTAGAAAAGTCCTTAATTTCTATGCAAAGATGTACTGAATATCAAAGTGCTTGATTGTGACCCTGCAAAACCCTTACTATTAAAAGCTTATATGAATTAAATAGTGTGCTTCCGAAATTGAAATTTGTATGGCTTCTAAAATGTAAGTCTGCCAGCTGACAACGGTTAAGACATTTTGGTCATTTTTAAAGTGACCATCTAGCTTGAGAGGCTGAATGTTGAAAATATTATTAATTTTGTTTGGATAACTGTTGGCTATTGGAAGACTTTGCCTACAAAGCCATAGTGATCATTTTTCTCCCCAAAATGACTTTAATTAGGTAAAGAAAATGATAGTTTCTACTGATAATTCTTTGTGCATCAGGTTATATTGAACTGTACTTTATTCCACTTTTTACAGAGTCCACAAACTCAAGAGTGCTGTACTTGTCTCTCTTCTCATTATGTTGCCTGATTGGCCTGGCAACTTGGCAGGTTCTCTACCTCCGGAAGTTCTTCAAGGCCAAGAAGCTCATAGAGTAAAAATTAAAGATACTCTCATCCCTACAAAGGATGTGATATGGTACAGCAAAAAACAGGCCTCATAACTGGGATGCATTCAAACTAGAAAAGTAAAACTAACTTTTGTCCAATCATTTTAGTTAACAAATGGCTTGGTTTTTAATGTAATTTGATCAATTGTTTTATAAAAGATAGCGTACTGGCAAGTGCCAGATCCAAATACCTTATTATATTAGATGAAAAAAGTGTTAAGCAATGTGTTGAACTTCAGTACTGGAAGACCAATTGAAAAATATTTCTCGATTTAACATATTTCTGATTATGGATTTTAACTAGTAATGAGGTTTTATCCAGTTTTATCTGCAAAGGCAATCAGCGGGCAATTTGCAAAGTACGAGATTTTGAAAATGGAGTATAATTTAGTCTCCTAAAAATTTGTAATTTTTACACTACAGTATAACTTGGCACAAGATTCTCATGGCTGAATAAAAAAAAAAAATTGTGTATGCAGTTAGAAGGAACGTGCAAATGGTAGCACCTTCAACTGCAGGATACATTATTTGTATCAGTGTACAGTAAATAGCTACTCAACACTAGACATAACTATCATAAGATAATAAGAAAGTGTTACTTCCTTCCTCATTGTACCAAGTGATTTTTTTTTTTTTTTTTAATGCACAAGTTTTCTCTAGGAAGAGAATACTATTAATGTACTGTATATTTAATGCAACATCTTTAGTAATGTTTAATGATTTTGTATGGACAATGTTTTGCAATACTGTTACCCGTATTATTGTGCAGTCATTGTCTTTAAAAGTTTACTTGGAACACAAGATTGATGTACATTTGTTTACTTTTATTTATTGTCTGTTTTTTCTTGAACTGCAAGCTAACAATGTTATGGGCACATGTTGCACAGATTAATGTTTAGGTTATAGAATACAGTACTATACTGTATTTAGATTAATACGCTTGGTTGTAACATCTGATGGATGGGTAAACCACGTGAAAGGTTCATATCTTAGATAAACTTCCAAGAGTGTGGCTGTTAGTTTTCATACAAAATTTTTTTTTTTTTTCCTCAGGTGTCAAAAGTGGTTTAATTTTGTACATAGTTTTGCTTTGCTTTTCCATTAATAAGTTTAACGAGTTGACTTTGTAGATTTGTTTGACGCTTTTTTTTTTAATACAGCTTTCCACTGAATAATAATTTGTATGCTATTGTACCTGTACTGTTGTTTCCACTGATCTGTTTTATTATGCTAGATGCTAGATACAAAATCTACTTCTTATATTAAACAATGAAGATGGCTTTTCAGGACAGAACAGTACAACCTAGTTAAAACCAAATTTTTCACAAATATTGTTAGGCAATTATTTTCATAAAAAATTGGGAACTTGGATGGCAGACATTTCAATAGGTGCTAAATGTGTGGGAGTTAAGTATATGGATATACAGTATTCTCTTATAATGTGCCTCACTTAATCTTTGGGGGTTAAACCAATTTCTTAAGATTAATGAAGATGTGTTTTGTGAAGTTCTGCATTTTTCACTTTTAGCGTACCAATGGTGGTCTTGCTTATACATTTGCTAGGCAGATAGTTTGTCAAAGTAATTAGGTTGAACCATGTTGTAAAATCTTTATTTCACGTGACTTGTATAAGCTCGCATATTGTTTGATCTGGTGTAATTGAGTGTGTGTGTGTGTCCGAGTCGATGAAATTTCTGATCTTGAATAAATAATAATTTGTATCCAATGTTTGCATTTTAACCATTTTACATTTGCAAGTTGTAAGATAAACTATTTTCTCCTTGGCATCATTCATAATGCTATCTACAAACAATTGAAAATAACAAACTACATTCTATTGTTACCTGTACCCGTGGTCTACTACCACCGGTGGTAGTTTCTCCACGTGGATAAAAAAAAACGGCTGTCTAGGGCCCAATGGAGTCTGATATTCCATTGCTGTCCCACTTGGAGGGCACCTGGCCATCTGCCCCACCAACCTGTATTTGAGATGTAGATTGTTACCATATATCATTGTTTTCATAAGTTTGGCCCCCAGTGTCAAGGGATACCACTCACCAGGGCAGCAAGGATTGCTGCACTGTCGAGCAAGTTTCTTATTTGTATGGACACCATCTCTCATGGTGTTGTCCAGCATGATAGGGACAAGGCAGCTAAAGCTGCATGTGATAAACCTGAAATTGAGCTAGATCTAGGCATTCCAATCTCAAATGTAAAAACTGAATTACTACAGGAAATTAGCGATGAAAGAAAAGCAGACACTAGACAGTGAAATTGTAATTACCAGAATTAGGCTGGGATGTAGATATCTATGGCAGGTGGCTGCTGGTAATGAATCTTCCAATGGTGAACATTCCAGTATTCGCCAAGTTGAGCTTCGGCTCTTTGATCTTGTCTCTTGACTGTCTATCAACAGTTGTAAACTGTGAACAAGAAATATCTCCAACACTATATTGGTGAGTGCCCCATTGTCAATAATTTCAGACCAAAATGGTTCCTGTAACTACTTCATACTCTCATGAATGTTGGAAAATATTCTTGTGCTTGTGCTCTGCCCAGAGTTTGCTAGTCCAGGCTAATAGATTAGACTTCCATTTCATGTTCTCTGCTGATCCCAAATATGACTAGTCATCTTGATATTAGAAGAACTCATAATTAGCTTTTGATCTCTGCTCTGTAATCTTTCCTATGGAAGAGGGGTAGCAGCACATTGTTGTGTATACCTAAACTTTTTAATAAAAAAAAAAAAAATTGATAAGAGGACTGGAATCTTTTGCCCATCCGTGCTGCTCTTCCCAGGCTAATTGATTTGCCGTATTGGCATTTTGAATTATATATGCAATAATACCTTTTGAATAACTATGGCACAAAAGGTGCATCATATTCCTCCTGGCTTAACACCTTTTGATAATTATTTACTTACTGACCCTCACTAGGAAGCAACCTCGCAACAGTTTCCTAGTACAGGTATTTATTTACTGAATTAGGTGAAAGGAAACTTGCACAACTATTTCTCTCTGGGATCCTCGACTGCCAGTCGAGAATTAAGTCGTGTATAAATACAACACTGGCTGTTTATCAGGTCGGGTGTCTTGACACCTCTTTCCATGTGTATGTATATATAATATACATAAGTATATTTTTTTTACGGGCTCACTATAGCCCGTGCTACATGGACATTTCGTTCCGAGTAGCTAAATCTAAAACATGTATATGTTTATATTAATGAGTGTCAAAGGCTTACCCGGCAGGGCATCATTGCTTTCCTTCAGTGTCGATGGTGATTCAACTAAATTCTCTCATTTCCAACAGTTGGTCTTCCTCACTTATAAATACCTGAGTTTACCTGATCTCCCCGAATACCTCGTTACCTAATACCTTCCTAATTACCTGAATACCTCCTGCAGACTCGTATGTTGACCTCGTTGTACCCAGATTATTGTGTAGAAGTTAGTAGTTGTTTCTCAACGCATTGCCTAATTACTGTGGAGAGAATTCATGGAATTGTCCGGAGATTAGGGATTATTAAGGATTAGGATGTGACCATCAGAAGCTGTTGTAGATCACGGTTTGTAACCCTAGGCGGTGTTGTGGGATTGTATAAATATATATGAAATATATTATAAATATGAGTGAATATATAGATTAACGCCTAGCTGTGTTTGGGGTATCCCCCGTGTTCCTTGCTAAGCCGGTAGCCTCATTGTACGAGGACTCGTGCATGCAAATGAATATATATTGACATATATAAGTGAAATATACATATACTGCAAATATTGGAATAAAGGGGTCCAAGTGACCACGACAATCTCAAACATTAATTTGTGTAACTCATTTAGTAAAATATTTACAATTTAACCAAAGAACTAATTGACGATGATGTAATTCAGTATATATAATTTAGTGCATCATAAAGATCTTTGTGTCAACATCTCATTTACCTTATCTTGCGGTGATTCCGGGGCTTAGCGTCCCCGCGGCCCAGTCCCCGACCAGGCCTCATTGCTGGACGGGTCAACCAGGCTGTTAGACGCGGCTGCTCGCAGCCTGACGTATGAATCACAGCCAGGTTGATCAGGTATCCTTTGGAGGTGTTTATCGAGTTCTATCTTGAACACTGAGGGGGGTCGGCCAATAATAATAATAATTTTATTAATAAAAATACATAACAAATGCAGCGAGTATGATTATTTGCCTACTCCAGAAAACTCTAGGGAGTCATATGTAGGATTAATAATTATATTCCGGTAATGTGCTCTGCTTATTGAATTATGAAGATTTAACATTTCGTACAATGGACAAAATACAAATCAACATGAAAGTGTTAACAGTGGCCTCTTGCTCCTTCAAGAGCTGGCTGCTCTACACTCGTGTCATATAACGGTGGCCACTGTGAGTGACAAGCAACATGAATGACAGCTTCATCACTTATTTTCCCAGGTATTTAATGTGCGTTCATTCATTCTCAGTACGAGCAAAACCTTATAAATTCATATAAGATGATACACAGTGAAAAATAATCAATATTTACATACTGGGAGTAGGGCGTAGTACTCGTGGCGGCGGCGGCGGTGGGGTTGAGGGTGGCGGCGGGGGCGACGACCAATAGGGCGGCGGGGTTGGCGGCGGGGGCGGGGCCAAACGTCAGCTGGGGAGGCAAACAACGTGCAGTGTGCATCTAGCCAGTGGAGGTGGAGGATGTGTGCTGTGATCTCTCGTGTTCCTCTCTAGTGCTAGCGGTGAGTGTCCAAATGGAGTCCTGCATCATCTGGCCGCCTGCTCTTCACGGAGGTCAAGATGCTCACCATTTCTCCTCCTTATCATCTGTCTTCGATAGTGCACATTAGCTTTGTTGTGTGTGCTGATGAAAAATGACAAAGCATTACATCTATATTCTATAAATCTACGCGAGATAATGTTAAACACAAGCTTTAAATGCTTACATGTTTTAATGAAGTTTTATACATATTATATCGTTGGAATCATTTTGTGTGTGTGTATATCACTAGATGGTTTGCTCAAGGAAGTGTATGCTACAGGTGTTTGCCCAAGGGAGCGTGCAACACGTGTTTGCCCAAGGGAGCGTGCAACACGTGTTTGCCCAAGGGAGTGTGCTACAGGTGTTTGCCCAAGGGAGTGTGCTACAGGTGTTTGCCCAAGGGAGCGTGCAACACGTGTTTGCCCAAGGGAGCGTGCAACACGTGTTTGCCCAAGGGAGCGTGCAACACGTGTTTGCCCAAGGGAGCGTGCAACACGTGTTTGCCCAAGGGAGTGTGCTACAGGTGTTTGCCCAAGGGAGCGTGCAACACGTGTTTGCCCAAGGGAGCGTGCAACACGTGTTTGCCCAAGGGAGCGTGCAACACGTGTTTGCCCAAGGGAGTGTGCTACAGGTGTTTGCCCAAGGGAGTGTGCTATAGGTGTTTGCCCAAGGGAGCGTGCAACACGTGTTTGCCCAAGGGAGCGTGCAACACGTGTTTGCCCAAGGGAGTGTGCTACAGGTGTTTGCCCAAGGGAGTGTGCTACAGGTGTTTGCCCAAGGGAGCGTGCAACACGTGTTTGCCCAAGGGAGCGTGCAACACGTGTTTGCCCAAGGGAGTGTGTCAACAGGTGTTTACCCAAGGAAGCGTGTCAACAGATGTCTACCCAAGGGAGCGTGTCAACAGGTGTCTACCCTAAGGAGCGTGTCAACAGGTGTCTACCCAAGGGAGCGTATCAACGGTTTTTTTTTCCAAGGAAGCGTGTCAACGGGAGTTTTTCCCTAGGGATGTATCTGGGATGCCTCGGAGGCTTTCTTGTAGATTAGGATTGATATCTCAGAAGGGCTACTAGATTTAGTTATAAGCGAGAGGAAAATGTCAACATCTGAGGAGTTTAGCAGGGGACTGGGGACAGATCTTATATTGTGAGTGTTAAAGCAAAACTATATAAAAATTAGTTTTTGTAATTTCTGCCTGGAATGTGCTGAAATTTGCTCAACAAGCCAAATAAATCTACAAGTTTTTCAATTGCTTAAACTGTGGCTCCAAAGACAGTATAACCTTCCTAGTTTAGGACTCTTAGCTCAATTTTTTATTTTTGTCTTTTTGCAATAGTTTTGTTAGAAAATCTTGAGCTTCCTCATCATTCATAAACACATTGGCACCAACACGGTCAAATTCAGTCTCACCTTAATCAACCAATGAAAAGCTATTTAAATAAAAACATATGTCATGCTCTACCATATCGCACTGCACTTCTTTGCTGACAAAATAAGCCTGCAACGAATCATGCCAGAAAACCAATAAACTTGTAACCATTCATTTGGTTAGCTAATGATTCAGCTTTACTTTTGTAGTATCCTCTGATATTTATTTCTACACAAGCATCATAGGAAATTACCTGCATATTCCTTGCACCCTTTATATTTGGCAGTCCTCACTCCCGCCTTGTTTCAACGGTGTTTTACGGAAACCTCTAAACATGCTTTCGAAAAAATGGTCATATCTTTGTTGATGCTTAAAAAGACGCAGAAGTATTTACAAAAGTAACCCATTCATTAATTATGTCAAGGGGATAGGCAGCCAGTTTATACATAAAGTACAAGTTAGGGTAATATCTAGTTACCTAGCAGTAAATAGGTACCTGGGAGTTAGACAGCTGCTACGGGCTGCTTCCTTGGGGTGTGTAACAAAAAGGAGGCCTGGTCGAGGACCGGGCCGCGGGGACGCTAAGCCCCGAAATCATCTCAAGATAACCTCAAGATAGGGTTACATAAAGTCTTTCGACTTCTTTCCTCTCATGTTGACTCTGTTGTCATGCCCACACCTTGAATATTCAAGTCTATTCCTAGTGTTTCAAATAGCTGTTTGAGCAGTGTAAAGATAATCTTCTGTACGGAGCCCTATTCGGTCAAATAGGTTTATGTGTCCTACGATCGGTCGTGTGGGCGTGGGTTTACATATGGAACAGGTGTGGGCGGGGGTGGCACCTATGGCGGGTGTGGGTGTGATAGCACCTGCAGAGGCGCGTAATGGCACTTGTGGACCAGGAGGTGTGGTAGCACCTATGAGATGGGGGCGTGGTGGCACATAGGATGAAGAGGATGGGGTCGTGGTGGCACAGGGTGAAGAGGATGGGGGCGTGGTGGCATATAGGATGAAGAGGATAGGGGCGTAGTGACACATAGGGTGAAGAGGGTAGAAGCATGAAGGCCCATGTGTGGCATACATACTGGCACATATGGGCCTGTGTATGGGTGGGAGCTGGTATTGGCGAATCCAAGTGGGCGTAGGTAGGGTTGACGTTGATGGGGCGCGTCTGGACGATGCAAGGTGGAGTGGGCGTGGGTTGGCTGGACGTAACATCACATAATGGAGGATAGGTTGTAGTATATTATGTATCGAGATGAAATGTGGGCGGGACAATAAGATGTGGAAGTGGTGTGCGGAGTGGGCGTGCGTTAGGCGGGCGCGGGTTGGGGTGGGTGGGTGGGTGGGGCGGGCGTGCAGGTTGTGTGTGTGCCCTGGTAGACGGCGTGCCTGTGTGGCTCCACCAACAGCAGCAGCAGCACCACCATCACCGCACCATCAACATCACCAACACTATCACCACCCTCCACTGTGAGTAGCCTCCGCCGGCACCACGTGTCTCCCCCCACGCCACGCTCCCGCTGTTTTCCCGGGTATCAATACGAATGTTACATATTATAGTGAAAAATAAGTGAAAAGCAAAAGCACGTAGTGATCAGCGCCAACCCGGCTCCACCGCCTCTCGTATTTTGCCATTTTGTCTAATATTATCAATTAGCAGGCCACGGGAAAGCTTAAATTAGTTAGTGGCATTTCCAGAGACTCGTCTCGAGTCGGAACCTCGATAAAATACGCCGCAGAATTTGTATAATTTGAGTTTTTCTACATTTGACATTCTCAATTCCTATCGTCCCAGTGTCTGTTAGCTTCAGTCGGGACGACGGCCGATCCAATATGGCTGCCGTCCGAAGCCTTGAAAAGATGGCAGCTGGTCGACGCTTATTCTCTCTACCTCTCTATTGCCCCTTTATCGGACAGCGCGCCCAAATATGTTGAGCAAAATGTACACACGGGCGTAATACAAGGGTGTGCTCTAGCAGGATTGTTTGCCCTTATCCCAGACTATTTCTTATATCTTCATTCCCTTTGTTTCGATCTGCTTGCGTCTGTACGAAATGAACGGATTTTAGCCCTCAGTGTGTGTATTGGTGAGACCTGAGAACCCTCCCCGCCGCCGCCCGCCGCTCTCACCGCAACTTTTCATTCATACCCACGACTACTTTCCGAAAATTGTCACTGAATTTCGTCGCGTTTTAATAAATATTGTAGTTATAAAAATTGCAATTGGTTGTATTCCTTGTGGTGTGTTGGGTGGGTGGGGGGAGGAGGGGTGTGGGGGGGTAGATGGGGTGATGGGTGGGGGAGGGGGCGGGGGGGGAAGGGACAAGAGGACCCCCCAAATATTTGGTGGGAGATACAGACGGACGCGGCATCTCAATACTTCGCGCTGACTTCGACTTAAGTTATTAGCCAGGACTTATAACTATACGTTTATCGTAGAGGTTGAAATAGTAAAGATATTAGAGTGAAAAAAAGCGTTGACGGTTAATAATAATATTGAGTCATGTTTTGTAATATTTTAAACACTATTACAACTGCGTGGCATGGTCAGATTTCGTCTTAGACATTATTAAGATGCTAGGATCAACGAAATATACATTTATATACATTTAGTATGTTATTAGTATTGAATATAATTTTACCAACAATCGTATCACTACAGAATCCTCTATATTTTACAGATTTAATTGTAATGGTTAATAGTAGTGTGTGTGTATTTAGATTACAGGTAGGTTAATGACATAGTATCCATATTATAAATATGTTCTTTACATGGAAAGAACATATTATAAAGGGAACCCTGATTTGTGAATAATAAAGGGGTGTGACGTGAAGAGGAAGTCGGGGTCAACACCAGAACATAGTCCTTGGGACAACTGGCAACGGGGCGACTCAGGGACAGCGGCGACCACCTCACAAATATTATTTCAATTTGTTTTACAGTTAAAGCAATAGTTATCTTTATCTAATGTTGTTAATGCAATGTTGATATAGTTATTATACAATAACTTTAAATAATAATAATTTATGGCTGCTGTTAATAACAATATAATTGGGTAAAAGTTGTAAGTAAGCGAGGTGAAGCAAGGAGCCGCCGCCTAGGGCTGAGCGTCGGGGCCCACTGACTACCACACTCACACGAAGCATAAGAAAACTGCTCAACACCATATGAAAATACACCACAACTTTGCGATTTCTCATTCTCGCATTTGACACTTCATATTTTAGGTTGTATTTTAGGATAATATGTTATATAAATTTTGACTAATCTTTAAAATAACTGATCAGTTATGGAAGGTTGGATAATGTACTTCAAATTGGTATGACAATTGTACAATTGTCTGTAAATTCGTATTGGTTACAAAGTTTGGTTACAAAGTTAGGAGTCCGAGTATTAAGGGCACGCATATATGCACTCGACATGGGAATACAGTAATATCCTAAGTCTAATAAATTGTTATATATTATTTTTAATTGTATAAGATGTCAGTTTAGCTTTTCTTTCAATTGAAGCACCACATAACTTATAACATTTTAACAATACTGTAAGTAAATTTAGTAACCAAAAATGGCCAAAAATGCAACATTATCCTCTAGTGTTGTGAAGGGATACCCGAAAATAAAATAAACTAGAAAATTCCAGACATAAATGTCAAAGAAAAAGAAGTCTTGTACAATTGTACTCTTTTTTTTTCTCGAACCTGTATGACTTTGACCTCAACATCAGTAAGCGGTAGAACCGATGAGAAGAGAAACAACCGTTTACCTTATATTCACAACTAACGACGACGTACTAAGTCCAAACGTACCTCTAAAACATACAATTGCCCTTGCCAGAGACAACTGTAGAAGCTGCTGTATTTGAGTATATCAATATCGCCATAAGGCCAGCTAATGACCTACATAAAGATGCAACTGATTTTTTAATTTAATTTTGTCCTGGAGGGCTACATGATGAGTGTCACTCATCCTGTGAGTGAACATACCGCTATAGGGGCAGTATTGGGCAGCGTCACTCATCCTCCGAGTGAACATACCGCTATAGAGACAGTATTTGGCAGCATCACTCATCCTGAGAGTGAATATACCGTCATAGCAGCATGCAAAACATCCCCAGTAGGAAGAAAACCCGCATCCTGTCGTTTGTACCCAGGCGCAGCTGGGACTTGTTTAACTGTCTCAAGGCTGTCGAACAAGGGATTAACATCGTACAATCCTCTAGTTTACGTCATCTTGTTGGTGCAAATTGGGGGAACCATTTATTAACAGTATATAAATTTGATAAAAAGTGCTTTTGCAATTCAAACAATGTGGGGTTTATTATACTACATATATTTATAATGTATTTTAAATGGGCACAGTCTCTTAGGTAATGGCCCAGACGATTTCCTTCACTCAAGCTGCAACTTCGCTCCTCAGATGATGTTTCCATTCCGAATCTTCATGGTGCAAAAAGCAATGTAAATTATTTGGATGTACTAATGTCAGAAGACCTTACCTCTAAAGAACACAATAAAGTAGCCGTCACAACTGCAATCAAAATTTCAGGTTGGATAACAAGAACATTTCACACTAGAGATGCTATACCAATGATGATACTTTTCAATACACTAGTGCTCTCTAGTATGAAATACTATTGCACAATGACAGCCCCTTTTAAAGCTGGAGAAATTGCTGACCTGGAGAGCGCACAGTTTCTTTACTGCTAGAATCTACTCAGTAAAACATCTAAACTATTGGGACCGACCAAAACGCCTAAATCTGTATTCTTTTGAGCGCAGGCGAGAGAGATACATAATAATTTACACGTGGAAAATAGTAGAGGAACTGATCCCAAACCTGCACACAGAAATAACACCACATGAGACCAGAAGGCATGGGAGAAGTGCAGAATACCCCCGTTGAAAAGCAGAGATGCAATAGGTACTCTGAGAGAGAAATCTATCATCAGAGGCCCAAGACTATTCAACACGCTTCCACTACACATAAGGGGCATAACTGGCCGACCCCTTACAGTGTTCAAGAGAGAACTTGATAAGTACCTCCAAAGGATACCTGATCAACCAGGCTGTGATTCATACGTCGGGCAGCCGCGTCCAACAGCTTGGTTAACCAGTCCAAAACGAGGAGGCCTGGTCGAGGACCGGGCCGCGGGGACGTTGAGCTCCGATATCATCGCAAGGTAAGGTACTTGTATCCACAGCGAATTCTTTCAATTGTGGATTCCCTCCATTTCGTCCATAATGAATGAAGTTGTCGGCTGCGACTGAATTGTACCGGCGCACAGATTGACGGACTTGCTCTTCTATCTTCCTTTCCTCGGCTACCGTGTCATCGTGATGATGCCCTTGAATTGTAAAAGGATCTTGGAGATGAAGTATTCAATATGGTCCCCTTCAGCACACTCGGCAGCCAGCATATCTGCTCATTCGTTTCCACAGCTTCCAACACGAAAGGTAATCCAGCTACTATCCCTTTCTCTTCTGACTGACCTTTTTTAAGACTGCCGCTCTGGAGGCAGTGTAGGTCACTGCCGATGAAGCCTGGTCCCAGGCTGGGCCGAAAGTGATTCCATGCACCCTCCAAACCCCCCTGCTTATGAATGAAAAACGGTTTACACACGACTTACAACTGATTACGTTCGAACACTTCCGGAACAAGTGCCTCACTGACGAACTTTGTTCGAACCACAACGCTATAAATGCTTCACCCACGTACTACACATACAGATAATCGCCAACAGAACCTAAACACTTAACCTAACCTATGCCTATAAATGTACAATATGCTTATATATTATAATATTTTATATTTGAAAAAATTCCAGTTTTGAATGAACATCATGTTAAAATTTATGAATGCGTCTGTGGGGGTCGGCCACTGGATGGAATAGACTTGAGTCGAGAACGGGTTGGTTTTCCTGACATTTCTGTTCAGTATCTCGAAAATGCTTCATTGTGTTGAATTCGCAGCTTAAAAGAATTGGAGAATGCTAATTTACTTTTCTTATTGGATTATTGGGTTTGCCCGAAAGGCCATGCGTGCTAGTAGCTGTACAAGAATGTAAGAAGTCTTATATATGTAAATAAATACAAAAATAACAATAAAGTGTAGTATGCGTAGACAAATGGCAACGTGCAGAGATAATTAGTTTTTAAAATGTAATTCATTAAATTTGATAGGGCGAGCCCATAGAGTTTCATAACAGAAAGAGGAGAGGTTGGCCATATAACCACGCCAGCTGATCTCTCCCACCTACTAATCATTATTCTACAAACTCCCTACATACTTTTGGTCTAGCGTGAACCAGCCTACCACGACACTCTCCCAACTCTCACTCACGAAAACAACAACCAAACTTTACAAAAGGAATAAAACCTAAACATTCCAAGTCGCCTAACACCCGACATAATGTATAGGTTATTGCTACCACCATACTAGCACCCCACTCACCATACTCGGTCCCCACCTCCCCATACACGCACCCCACCTCCCCATACACGCACCCCACCTCCCCATACACGCACCCCACCTCCCCATACACGCACCCCACCTCCCCATACACGCACCCCACCCACCATACTCGGACCCCACCCACCATACATGGATCCCACCCACCATACATGGCTCCCACCCACCATACTCGGACCCCCACCCACCATACTCGGACCCCACCCACCATACTCGGACCCCACCCACCATACTCGGACCCCACCCACCATACTCTGACCCCACCCACCATACTCGGACACCCCCCTCCCATACGTGGATCCCACCCACCATACGTGGATCCCACCCACCATACGTGGATCCCACCCACCATACTCTGACCCCACCCACCATACTCGGACCCCACCCGCCATACTTGGACCCCACCCACCATACTCGGACCCCACCCACCATACTCGGACCCCACCAACCATACTCGGACCCCACCCACCATACTCGGACCCCACCCACCATACTCGGACCCCACTCATCATACTCGCACCCCCCTATACTCGGACCCCACCCCCATACTCGCACCCCACAACCCCATACTCGCACCCCACAACCCCATACTCACATCTCACCCACCATATGCTCAATGACTCTTCCAACTCCCAAGGTTCCTTACCATTTCTTATGATGATGTGTCCATCTACTTAAATCGTTAAAAACATGATTGGAGCTTTATTAAGTTACAATTCATATTTAATATTTCCCACACTCATACGTCGATTTCACTGAGTGAAATTGTAATTTCAGCCTGTTTTAATGAAGGGCAACAACCAAGATAACCTGTCTGTAAAGAGATTTAACCACATCTAGCATGCAGTATTTCCAATGCCCATGCCTTGAAATCTCATTTTCAAATTAAAAAAAAGAGCCATATTTTATTTAACAAAAAATTCTGCAACTGAAAATAGAAAAAAGAACCATAGAATTTGGGTTTAAATATGCTCAGAGGCTCACCCAAGGTCCCAACTATTTCTTGTAATGTTGCCTTCCATCTGTAAACTTGGTCCCAACATTCTAAGCAAAGCCACCCATTCCCTGCTTCAGCAAATTCTTGTTCGTCAAATCGGGTGAGTAAATCTGGCATGGAGAGTGTTCCAACTGCAGATTCGCAGAATTGAGGCTCGTTGAATCTGGGTTCCAATGTATTTTGAATGGCTTAATATTATATATTTTAAAGGTTTTCTTTGTTTTGTATTATGATTTTTAAAGATTACAAAACTCTCCATTATTTTCAGGGACAGAATGTCTTCAAATGGTGAACCTCCCACATCACAGGCATTTACGCCTTTTTGGATTGCTGGACCAGGCTCCCCATCTGCTCCAGTGGTTGGCAATCCTGTTGCCAACCCTGTTCCCAGTAGTGACCTAGGGACACTCGGGCCTGCAGGAGTGGCTAGCACAGTACAACCTACTATGTCACAAGACATCACCACCATGGCCAATGCTGTCCCTCATGATGACTTTACAAATGGATTACCAGAGACACAACCACCTCAACCACAACCTCAACAACCAGGGGTCATTATCTCTCTACTCTCCACAAGTTTATTACTACAGTGTAGCATTCACAAGGAAAAATATGAGCTTACTTAGAAATATCTTTTTTGTAAATTCCTGGAGCTTAATATGGGGCCATTTTGTTACAAGAATATTTTTATTCTTGAAAATGTATTGCTTTGATCAGAACATATCCACATTTTTTATTGTAGGCACAGTAAGGAATTAAACAATTAGAAAGTTTGGGTTTAGAAAACAAAATAGAGTTATCAAATACTTATTGACATGGTTATACTGCATGGATGAAGTGAAAGTGGAATTTAGTATATTTAACTTGGGAACAGTGTTGAATGAAAATCGTATGAGGGAACAGGTTAAAAATCACTTGGTGACTACTGTAATTTCCTAAGATACTATGTTAGACTGTTTACATAGGTTCAATAGGTATGCAGAGAAATCTATCAACATCAAAGGCCCAAGACTTTTCAACTCTCTCTCCCTCACATAAGTGGCATAACTGGCTGACCTATCAGTGTTAAAAAGAGAACTTGATGAACACCTTCAAAGGATATCTGATCACCCAGGCTGCAATTCACACATCAAAGACCCTAGTCTGGTCAGAAACTGGGCCACTGGGATATTGATCCTTGGAATCATTGCAAGGTACCTAACCTAATCCACCCAAACCAACTTAATTTAACCCAACTGAGCCTATTGCAGCCTAATCTAAGCTAATACATCATAACCTAACAATACTATACACTTTTGTTACTCTGAACATCAGTTTTGATGAACTATCCTGTGTTCTATTTAATCATTCTCTTATTTCTCATTAGACACACTGATAGAAATATCAGTTGGCAGTGATATGTAGTTATCGAAAGAAAATGTACCATACATTACATATAATTTATTTATACTGTAATAATAATTTGCAAATAATATCAGTTGACAGTGATATGTAGTTATTGAAAGAAAATGTACCATACATTACATATAATTTATTTATACTGTAATAATAATTTGCAAGTACTGTACATGAGTAGAAGGAATACAGCACTTGAAATGGAAGACAGCTGCTGTTTGTATAAAAGGAACTGTGTACTGAAGTAACATACAGAAATAGGTGGGGAGTGTGTTGTCAAGACAGGGGGTTATAGGATATATTTTTTAAAGGCATGGATGGATAATTTTAATTGACTATTAATTTTATTTCTGATTTTGTCCAGCCTGCAGAGCCTCAGCCCCTAGTTGAAGCACCTCAGCCTGAGCCCACCCTGGAACCTTCTCAGGTGCAGGCTGCCCCCACTGAAGTGGCAGTAGATGGCAATCCTCCGGCATGCTCCAGTGGTGCACCAACTAAGTTTTTCCACACAACTGTTGAAGAGGAGGAGGAAAACATCATGGGAAAGAAGAAAAAGAATAAAGTTCAGCGTAGAAGACTTTCCCCTTCCCACAGAGAAATGATTATTGATCTTGTATTTAATGAAAAGAAAACATCTCGAGAGGTTAGTGATCTAATGGCATGCGTGTATTTGTAACGTATTTGTAATTTCATGTTAATTTTTACACTCATACTGCAAGTGAATTTAAGTGTAGTACAGTATATTGAAGTGCAGATACCTCATTGATGTCACATTCTTTATTTTCTTGTCTGCATTGGTAAATAGCTAATATATACTGATGGAACATGTCAAGTAAATCTCCTCAGGTGTAAGAAACAAGTATTGAATGTAATGAAACACATCTTTTAGATAGAACCCTGGTGGCTTCCTGAAGCTAGCTCACTTAGATAGCATCCCATGACTTAGGTGTAGTTACCTCATGCCACTTCCCCAGATAACTCGATGGTAGCTAGAATTGTTCTGCAAGAGCCTGAACTTCACTGGCATTGTTTTTTTCGGGTCATGGTGTGCTTTCGGGGGCTGTTCTGGTATCTCCAGTTCAGTCCCTTTTGCCACAATCGCAATCATTGGGTATGGGCTCCATCGGTCATTTGCCGGCTGTTGCATCGCTGGCTTTCTCTACGGCTTTTTGGGGTTCAGTTCCCCGGTGAATTCTCCTGCCCTCACTCAACTTCTTCACAGACAACTCAACTCTGGGTTGGGGCTTTGTGACCAGCACTCACCACGCCAGGCAGGGTTGTTGGTCTCCTCCCTTTTGTTGGGCTTACAGTATGGTGCAGGGGTTTGTGGCCTACATTGGTAGAGTTCAGATTCCTCTGGGTTCCATACTTTTTTCAGGTTGTTTTCCCCACGGTGAGCTCCTTTCCCCTCCCTCCAAATGTGGGAGGTGGCAGCAGTGATTTGTTATGACTCTTTGACTTTCTGGATGCCTTTCCTGGCAAAGTGTCACTGTTCCCTGTGCCTTTGTGAAGGGGCCATGTTCTGGCTCTGGTCCCAGGTAGGCCTAATGATTTCACAGCTGATGCGACCTGGTAGTTGGGGACTATCTCGGTGCATAGCTCCAGGGAGCCACTGGAGTGTGAGCCCCAGTGGCACCCTGGAGTAGGCATTTCATTACATTCAGTGTGCAGTTTTTTAAATCATGGGAAGCATTTATAAGTTAAGCAAGCTGAGCAGTACTGTACTATATAATATGTTTTTAGTTAAGAATTTTGTAACTTTAGTACATGGTGAGTAGAAATTTCCTTTACATTCTAAAGTCATTCACTACTGATATAGATAATAGTCTAGTCTTGAAGTCTGGCATGGAGACCCATTTTACTGGGGCTCATGTAACAAGATGACTGTAATATTCTTTGAGTTAAGTGTCATTGTATATTGATGTACTGGCATTATTCATTTTCATTATTCATTTGTTAGAGTTTGTCAAAAATAATAGTCCATCTACTGATGCAAATTCATTGCCAATTTTCTAGGTTGCTCGTTATATGGGATTGCCACAGTCAACGGTCATGTCTGTAGTACAAGTTTTTAAGAAGGAACACCGAATACACAAGAAGACGGCCACAGGTCGCAAGCGACGCCTCACAACTGCCCAGGAATTCCATTTGTTTGAAATGTCACAAGAAAGAGACAACATATCAGTTGATGAAATTCGTACACGCTTTTTGCAGTCTTTCCCGGAATTTGGCCACATATCAAAAACTACTATCTACCGAACACTAGAAAGAGGAAAGGTATGTGTGATTTACAGTTGGCAATAATATCCATATTTAGCTATACAGTACACAGTAGTATTTATATTTCATTGGTGATGTGGATGCAGATAGGTACCAAGTAATATTGAAAAGTGTTAGGGCAGTGTACAGAAATAATAATCCTACTTGCTAATGTTCATATTAATGTTTGATTTCTGGGAGGGCCTCCTTGGCAGCTCCCTGTAGCTATGAAGGACTTGCCGAGGGACCCACCGGAAAGAAGCATTTCATTACATTCATTGCTGAATTTTTCTTCTGCTAGTTTTTTTTACTTTCATATTTAAACTAAAATACATCAGCACATATAAGTCTTGGGAAACTAGTATGCGAGTGTATCTGTTTGTGTTAAATGTTCATTCCTATGAGCAATTATTTCATCTGCATTGCAATATATTTGGTATTCAGTATTATATTTTGATAATACGTACTGTACTTAAGATCTTGTGGGTTATTTCTGACTTTTTCTTAAGACGTTGGGTCATAGGTTTTCTGTGATGATGAATCCACTTCTCATATGACTAAAGTTATATAACCAGAATAGAATGCAATGAAACTCCTTTCTGGTACAGCCCCGGTGGCTCCCTGAAGCCATCTCACTAAGATGGCTTCACCTTACTAAGTTGCATCAGCCATAGAAGTCCTGTATGGCCTACTGGGGACCAGAGCCAGAACCTGGACTCCTTTACATAGGCACAGGGAGCAAGAGATTGTTACGATCACCCTCGCAGAAAACGTCCAGAAAGTAAACAAAATATTACAAATGCTTCCAAGGTTCATAGAAAACAAAACACCATAACAGCCAAATGGCTCCACAAACAATTCACTAAGATGGGGTCCTTCCTAGGTGCATGGGCCAGGCAAAGCACGAGACTCCAGTACACAGCCCTCACCCGCCTCTGGATCGGGCAATCTTGCCTAGCTGCACACATCTCCATCATCCCTGGCTGGTTGATTCTCCCGACTGTCTGTGGAGCGTGAACCAGGAGGATACTGTGGAATACCTTCTTTGCTGCTCCTGGTTTTATGGTGCAAATGTAGGGCTTCAGTGTGCCATTCATTAGTTACAAATATCCTGCCTTAGCGTTCCCATTCTCCTAGATGGGGCTGGTGAGAGGGATGACGACACCAAATATGAGATTCTTCACTATATATTTCGCTTCATCGGCCATGTCCATAGATTGTAGAGGCTATAGGGATCCCCCTCCTGTTACTCTATTTCTGTCACATTGCCAGAGTACATATGATCCTATGATCATCATTGCCCCTAAAGCAATGACAACAGCAATATTGACAACGACAACAATGAAGACGATGACAACATCAATATCGTCACCACCACTGTTGCCGCCGTCGATGTCGTGCTCATGATGTTCAGAAGTACACTGCTTCATCGGTGGTTTTTGGTAATATATCGTGGTCTGATATTTAGGTACAGGAGCTCTGGAGGTGTAACAAGTTCTTGACTGCAAGGTATCTTGTTAACGTTCCTGATCCCCTGTGACCTTGTGTTGCTGTGGGGCATCAGTCACAGCCATTAGTTTTGTCTTCGACTTGACACCTGCGTTGTTTCTGCCTCCCTGCTAAGTTACTCTATTTTTGTCCTTCTCTGAGGGTAGTTAGCATCAGGGAGCCAACAGGGCTTCTCACAGAAAACCAGTGTTGCATGTAATGAACAACAAGTTTATGGGTGAGCCCCGTAGACTCCCTGACATCCTCCCTCCCTCCGGTCAGCAGTTTTACATCATTCTAGAACTGACCGGAGTTGGCCCAGCAGACCTGGGCTGGCTCCCTCCTTCCCACAACGAGGGGGAGGTGCCGCTAACTAGCGGGTGGGCTGGTTTGATGAAGTTTTGGTTGTTTGCTTTCTTTTTGTTTGTTTGGGTTTTTCTTTTTCTTTTTTTGAGTTCTTTGTACATTTTGCAGGCTGGGGTTTTGTGTTAAACCATGCAGTGTTTTAAAAATTTAATTCATGCAGTGGTTTATTTTGATATGCTACCTCTGGGTGCCTTCCCTCGATGATGGCAGAGACGATGGACTTTATCTTTAAAGTATGTGTGGGCCATTACTGCCTGTGCCTCTCTGAGGGGACCAGGTTCTGGCTCATGGTCCCCGGTAGGCAACAAGAACTCTGCGACTGATGACTCAAAGAAATATGGCACTTGATCAGTATAATAGCTTCAGGAAGTCGATGGGGCTCCCCACAGAAAATACACAGAAAATGCTCATGCCCAAAATACACATTATGAAATGTGGAATAGAAAATAGGCAACACACTACTTATAAACTATGTGGAAAAGCCTACCTGTAGTTAGTCTCAAGCGTCCTTATACATTTATACTGTACTCTTGACCTGGGGCCAGACTTGTTTGGTACAATTTCTCAAAATTTATTTCAGGGAAAATATTTGTGTACAGTATTTTTTAAATTTTGTCAATCTATTTTGGGTTAAATAAAGTTTAGAGCTGTTAAGTTAAATAAAGCTAAGAGAAGTCATAAGGCAATATAGGAAAAGCATATTGCTTTCCACTTACAAATTCAGATGCCAATCCTCACACATTTTCTGACCCTGTAGGGTTGACTGGCTTCCGGAGTATCTTGACCCTAGCAGAAGACTCCACAGCCTGGCTATCAAGACAGCTTACATTTCACCTTTTAATTTTCAGAAAGGGTTAATAGGTATGGATCCTCCTCCTGAGCGCTATTTAGAACCTATTGAGCGGTACTGGGGACCAAAGAAGAGAGGCAGGCCTAGAGTAAGTGTTCTTCCGTGTTCTGCTGTAAAGTTTAAGAATTTAAATTTTTAACCTAAATTTTTGTAGTGACTTCATATGTCTGGTTTACAAGATCTAAGACAAAATGCATTGACTGTTAAAACAATATTTCATGAATTTAGATGATTTATGGTGTTTTAATATACTGTATAGGATTACATCTGGAATTATAACAATGGTGCTTGCAGTCTGATATTTGCTATTTTAGTATTGAGTCTCTGATAAATACAACAGAATCATAAGTACTGTATTCAGTATTATGTATTAAATGCTGAAAGGATACAGTACCAGTGGTGGTGTTCTAAGGGATTTTTTAAGATTAAATTTTGTGTATATTCATAAAAACATATTCATGTATTATCCTTGTACTGTACTAAGGAAACTACAGTGTAAATTGCAAAGATATATATTTATTAAGGAATTACGTTCTCTATAGGTATTATTATGGAGTCCTTACTTCCAGAAGGCAGGGATTGGGCCAGAGTCATCAACCAATCACAGTTTACTGGAGCCAAATGTTAGTATAATGGAGGAAACAGGACCCATTGAAACTACATCAGACAAGGATATTAGCAGGCAAAGACGTTCACTCTCTATTGCGGAAAGAGAGATGATTATCAGGCAAGTTATGTGATTCATGTATGCATCTGTTTTGACATGGTTACTCACATGTCTAGAGACTGTTTCTGTGTATAGGTACAAAACAACAACCCTGCGATCAACTTAAGCTGTTGGTAGTTAGCTGTGCAGAGCACTATATATACATGGCTCTTTCTTTGAAATTCAAATATTGCTTGTTAGAGGTTATTTGAGTGAAGGTGAATGTCATTTGGAACTTTTAAAAATTAGCCAGCATCTCCCTAACCCCCATACATGGCACTGCCAGGGTGCTGATGATGAAGGATGCATTAATTCTGGCTAGTCTGCCGAGTTCTTCGGGAAGTGGTATTTTTTTATGAGAGTTGCAACACTATCTTGCTTGGATGAGAGTTTTTCATGCACACTCTGCCTTATTTTTATTCATAGCATATACAGTTATATACTGTATATTTTATATTACACCTTGAATATTTAACCTATTGAATTGAAACTATTATCGTCTTACAGTATAAGTGAGGATATATTAAGACCATGTACTGTATAATGGTTTATTTGTGCTTTTCCAGTCTTTTCTTCAATGAAAATAGAACAATTAGAGAGGTAGCAGACTTCATGCACTTAGCCAAGTCAACTGTGTCATCCGTTGTTCAAGTATTCAAAAAGGAGCACAGAATTCAAAGAAAAACATCAACAGGTCGTAAAAAAAAATTATCAGATGAACACGAACAAATGATTATGGACATTCTGTCCCAGAAGGAAGATATTACCATAGAAGAAACAAGAAATAGATTCCTCTCCCTTAATCCTGAAGTTCCTAATATCAGCAAGAGTACAATTTATAGAATAATGGAAAACTGTCAGTCTAAGTTGGTAAGTGTAATAGTTTTTCTAATATTATAATGTACTTTAATATTTTAAATTCTAAATTTTTTGAAAGGAAAAGTTATTTAAAGGAGACAATTGCCTTAGGCTTGAAGACTTACTAATTACAGTAAGTGAGTTTTAGTACAGATTGGTTTTCAAAAGGGTTGAGTTATGCAATAATTTTATGAAAGAAGAAATGATAATAATAGAGTAAGAATTTTCCACCATGGTTTATCACTTAGGAGGGCATCTGCAAATGTATATAATTGCATAATTAACCACTCAATCGGTGATTAGTTTGTTGTTATCTATTGCACAAAATAAGTTGGTGTATACCAAATGTTATTTGGTATCTTCCTGATGTAAGCAGGGCAGACAATAATAGACAGCTTAATGCGATGAGAAAAATTCTTTTGTAAAATACAGTACCAATTCTTCATTGGTATGAAACTAGTTAAGGCAAGATCTTGCTTGTATAATGTTACCTGTGCCTAATACAAGTGAAAAGCTAATAATGACCTCTGAACTGGATATTATAATTGCAGAGAGCAAGATCCGACATGGAAGTGTTTGTTGGTACCTTCGTCCATTCCACAGAGGACAGTCCTATGGTCATTCTTACTGATATGGTTATGGGAGTTCTCAACACAAAGGTAAGATGGGAGTGACCTGTTTATTTGTTCTCAGTCCCAATTCCTAGAATGCAAGATAGTGATGATCAAGTACAGTTTACCCAAATGTATGTACAGTATGTAATTACCTATCTGTAATTATCCAAGTGTCGTTACAGGATGAGAGCTACACTCGTGGTGTCCTGTCTTCCCAGCAATCTTTGTCATATAATGCTTTCAAACTACTGACAGTTTTGACCTTAAACCACCACCTCACTAAACATGTTCCAGCTGCCTACCACTCTGTTTGAAAAAGTGAATTTTCTAATATTTTCTCAGCAGCTTTGTTTAGTTAGCTTTAATCTATGATCTCTTATTCAGGAACTTCCAAGTCTCAACAATCCTTCTTCATCAATTTTGTCGATTTCTGTTACTACATTATTTTGTATGTAGAGATCGTATCTCCTATTTTCTTCTATCTTCGCCTCTGCTGTTTGTGTTTGTGTGCATGCACTTTTATAAATAAGAACATACACAATGAAAGGAGTAGATAAGAACACACTGTGCAGAGTTACATTAATGCAAGAGTGGGAAATGAGAAAGTGGCTGACATTTTAGAGAGAATTTTTGTATAATTTTGCAGAAAACAGAATGTTTTTGCCAAACACCTTAATAGGACCTAAAAAAGTCATAGATATACTTGGAGAATAAATGTGAGGATTGAAAGCAAACGAAAAACTTTCATATATTAAGTAATAGTAGATTCAAGAATTTAGATGAAAGTACCTGTAGTAAATACCACAGTAGTAAGGGAAATTCTGTTGTATTTTCCAAAATAATGACAGGGACTAGTGGGAATATAAACCATGGAGGGCAGGATGAGGTTAGGTGTAAAGCTGTTGAAAGAGGCGAGATTCTATGAGTATGAAAAGAAGTCACAATAAGTAGGAGAAATATCATTGAGGACTTTACAAAAGATGTGATAATTTATGAACTGTCCCTTGGCTGCTCTCTAAAGCAAGCTCACTTAATGTTCCATTGGGCAAGGTCACATTTTGCACCAGCACAGTGGGATTACTGTACAGTATTTCAAAATTGCCTAGCCTTATGCTAGGAACGCACTAGAGACTGATTTGATCCAGCCACACAGGGGGGACTGCCAAGTAGTGCCTTGACAATGCAGTGGTCTACATTGTTGGCTCACTATTAAGGGTCCCTGGTTTGATCCCAAGGCTGGACAGATATGGTTGGGCATGTCTCTTTCCACTTGATGCCTCTGTTCACCTAGTAGTAGTCACCTGGGGAGTTAGATAATTGTTGTGGGTTACACTCTGGTGAAGGTAAGAAGCTGGCAAAGGGAAACCTCAATGAGTTTAAATACGGTACAGGCTTCTTTCTCCCTAACTACTAGTTTCCCAGCTGGCCACCTTCACTTGCTTGCAGCACCCTAGCCAACACCAGGATCCCTAGTATTATGCGTATTATATTCCTCCTGGTAGGCCTGTACAAGTCTCAGTGGGTCTGGTACAATCTGTAACCTATTTCATAAATGTTTTGTATTTGAGATACGATGATGTAGGAAGTCAGTGATACCTCTCTTAATTGTACAATATCATACCACTTAGTGGTTTTTAGTTATATTGGGAATTACTTTTAATCATGAAGTGGAATGTCCATTCTGCATTTCCAGTGCTTTGGCAATCATTCATTTCTTTTACAGATTGAGTTTATGGAGAGTTTGGAGGAGCTGGATCATCTAAAGGCAGAGTATGGCTTCACAGACTCTAATATTCACTATATGACTCCAAGGTGAGTGTAACAGACTCTTCACTCGCAAATGCAGAGGTTTAATTTCTTTATTGACTCGGCATAAAATACTTGTGAAATATATTAATAGCATTCATCAATTTTTAATAAGGTTGTATGACTGAGAAAGTTTGCTAGAGCTTGCTAAATACACACATTGATTAACTTGCTTAAAAATATAATTCTTAATTTTTTTGTGAATGAACTTTCAACACATTAACAACCTTGAAGATGCCTATTTTCGTAGATCACTAGTCCATGGCCAAGCATTACTTTATCAACAACTTTACTCTTGTTGTGATATATTCTACAAAGAGACTAACTTTTCATTATTATTTGGAGGAATGTGTTGCTCGTATATCAGTGATGGAATTTCATTACAAATTAAGAATGAATGCACCAGTTGGCTGTATTGTTTACAGTATCTGGAATTAGTGTGCATCTTTCTCCCCACAACAGTCAATTTATGATGCCAGGAATGATAGACACGCACATCCATGCATCGCAGTTCCCCAACAATGGTGTAGCTATGGATTTGCCGCTGCTTGAATGGTTGCAGACGTACACTTTCCCAACTGAAGCCAACTTCTCTGACACCCTCTTTGCCAGAGAGGTTTATAGCAAAGTAGTGGTGAGTATTGCATGCTTTTAATCTGATAAATTTTCTGATATATTTTCTGTATATTATACATTGGTACATACAGTATTGCATTCATTATATCCTTATGTACAGTACAGTGTATACAAGTTTCTTTGGTAGAGCTAATTAAAAGTGTATTGAAGTGTGTAAGAGAAGATTGTTAAAAATGCAGGTGGAAAAATAATTGTGGTAGAGATTGAAATTTTGTGAGTGAAATAGATGTGAATGAAGAAGGCCCAGAAGTGGTCGATGAGCTTAAATACCTCGATATGTGGGATTATTTCAACAGGAATTTGTTCATCTAACTTAAAGAGTAGTCAATTCAGGGAAAGAAAAGGCCGGGATTTTTAATGCTTGTGCAATAATAGTCATGGTTTGGAAAACTAAGATGGGAATAAATGGGGCCGGAAGTCTGCATGTAGATTAAGTAAAGTGGATATAATGTAAGATTTATGAGAGCATACCAAGCAAAGGAAGTTTCATTACACACTATGCTCCATTCTTGCACGTAAAATAAGGTGCAATGTATAATAATACTTGGTAAATATGAATGATCAATCATTGATTTTCTAAAATGTAAGTAAATGTTGACCTTTCTTAATTTTGTTTAATTAAGGAACGATTGTTACGTAATGGAACAACAACTGCTGCATACTTCGGAACTATTCACCTTGAGGGTTCCAAAATTTTAGCCGATGTAGTACACGATAAGGGACAGCGTGCTCTCATTGGTAAGGTGAATATGATGCGCAACTGTCCTGAATATTACCGTGAGCTGAGTGTGCAGGAGTCTATCAGAGATACAGAAGAGTTTATCCGTTACATTAGGAGTATTCAGGTAAGGTTGGTCAGTTAAGGTTAAATGTATTTTAGTTCTTTCAGAAGTGTACTCAAAGCTATTTCATTCACTGAGATATAGTTTAAGCAATTTAGTGTAACATATTTTGACTTCATTTATCTGTATTATTTCATGCTAGAAGATTTCCAAATTAACCTAGAATGTATACAACGATTCTATCCCATTGCATATTTTTTAAATTACAAAAATTAAGTTATAACACTGGTTGCCAAGCCTTCAGGAATCACATCAGGACTCGGAGACCTACCTGAACCTACTGGAAGTAAGGACTAGAATCCAACTCTCAAGAGTAATGATCAGTTACCTTGTCTGCCTCAGGGCTTATTTCTGTCATTTCAAGCAGCTGCTTGTTTTGTTTCATCTAAATTTCTGGTGTTTTCTCTCAGTTTTAGTATGTTTCTACTTTAGCATGTTTTCAAATACTGGTCCTGGCTCTTGGTAGGTCAGGGTGGGTCTCGGAGGCCTGGTGTGACTTCTGAGGCTTGGTTATACCAATGCATAAGCTCTGGGAAGCTACTTAAGAAACCCTCCAAGCAAATTATGCAAATCTAAGAATTTTGTAAAAATTAGCTGTGATTACTTTAAATAAATTCAGTTGTTGAATTTTCACAGAACTAATGATTGTGTAAGGGATGCTCTGAGATATTTGTTGATTGAAAGAAGCAGCATAATGAATAGAAATATTGGTAAGCTGGATGTAGTATTTTGATTTTCCTAGTGTTAAACTTTACTGATTGATATGTGGTATCTTTACAGTCTCCACTAGTACAACCAATTGTCACTCCTCGGTTTGCTCCCACCTGTCCAGAGGATCAGCTGGCATCATTAGGGCAACTTGCAAACAAATATGGCTGTCATATTCAGAGTCACTTGTGTGAAACCCAGCCCGAGTGTAATTGGGTTAAAGAACTTTTTCCATGGGCCAAGTCTTACACCGATGTATATGACAGCATGAGACTACTCAGTGAGAAGGTAAGTGGTTTCATATCTATAATTGCAGTGTTTAAAGCAAACTAAATTGTTTAAACTTATGGTCCAAGCAAATATGGTTCAGTGTTTCCTAAACTGTCATGAATGAGCCAACTGCAAATTACCCTTTTTGAGAGCTTATGAGAAACAAATGTCTGGTATTTAACCCTCCTTTTCCCACACCTCGTCCATAATTATACACACATTGACAAAATCAAATAGTGATGTTCCGTGAAAGTTTAAAGAAAGTGAAAATGTAATACAGGCCAAGTCAGCCAAGAAGCTGGAGATAACTGATAATGATGGTGGGAAGCTGACTGCAGTTTCATAAAAGCTTGGTAATCTTTGACTGCTTGTATTAGTCCAGTTAACATTCAGAGGCAGTGAATTCTTCTACTGGGAGTGTAGCTTGGCCAGCTCTGTAGGGGAAGGGAGGCATCATTTTGGCAGTGGAGGTAGTAGTAGTCCATGATGCTGGGAAACATGTGTGCCCCAGATTGACTGCACATGGTGTACTATGAGGACTTGATTACTCTGTTTAATTGTCTTTGGTCAGTTGGGCCCTTGCATCCCTAATTGGTCACTCTGTGGTGATCAATTAGGTGAACTGGCAGATGTCCCAGTTCCATCCAGGTGTACACAGGTGTTGAGGAAGTGTAGCTCCTTAGGGCTAGATTCCACCGTAAAACCCAAATCTGGGTGGACACCATTAGCTCATGTGTGAAACCTTTTGACCTGTACTTCCCCACCTGCCACTACAAAAATATTATCAATAACATTTTGTTGTGGTTGTTTCTTATTTGACATCTCGTGCCTGATACTGTTGCCTCTTTGTCATTCAGCATTGGCAGAGCCACTGTTGCAGGCAGTCTGCATCATTACCTCCTCAGCACCATTCCACAAGCAGCCTTAGGCATTTTTTCACATGTGACCTGCTCATGTTCCTCTTGAGCTGTCCTGGTTGCTCAAGCATGTCCTCCCTTTTCTCTCTTCTTGGTTTCCAGCTTCCTCTTGAGTCAGGGATATCTTTGTCAAGGTGGTGTCTGCTGGCTCTTACCTCCGAATGTCAGGCTGGAGAGTTGTGTGCACTTTTCCTGAGATGAGAGTTTTGCCCTCTTGACCCTGTTAGGCATGTTCTTCATCAGCAGCCATTTCCTTCTATTCTGGCAAAGAACAAATTGGCAGGCTTCCAGAGGGAGCCTACCAATTTGGTGATTAATGATTAGTTGGTTCATCTGGGGATGTGTCATTTGTTGTGTTCAGTAATGGCTCTTTGCCACTACTTTCATGCCCCCAATTTTACCTCGGTGGTTGCCTTATTGGTTGCTATTGTTACCTTGATCCCCTTTTCCAAGATTCACATTTCTCTGGTTGTCTAACCATCCTGCAGTCTGTCCTTGTGCCCGTGATGTTTACAGATATGCTGCACTAGCAGCATTGTTTACTAACTTTTACTAGGTTGGTATTCAGACTTGTGGGTTTTGGCAGTCTATCAGAGTCTTGGCGGCTCGATATTTAGTCCATGTCCCTGGGCCTAGTTGTTTCTGTGTTGCTTTGGGCCATGTTCCCCCAGCCTTGTGTTGACTTCACCTTAGTACCTGCCATCTCTCCTCCTCCCTCATGAATGCCTTGTTTTTATTTTTCATGGTTAGTCAGCTTCAGGGGGCCACCAAGGAGCTCCTCAAGAAAACTAGCTTTTTAATGCAGTGAAACCTCTCTTTCTGGTAGAGCCCCATGGGTTCCTTGACTCACTCTCTTCCAGGTAGTTGGTTGGTGGTTATGAAACTTCATCTGCTCCAGAACTGACTTGGAAATGTTGGTGGAGGGCTGGGATTCTAGGCTCCCTAGTTCTAAATGTTTTGGTTATTTCATATCTTAGTAATGCTTTGCTGACTTTCTGGATTCTTTCCCAATGGGGGTGGCAAAATGTCACTTGCTCTCTGCCTTTATGAGAGGGGGCCAGGTTCTGGCTCTGGTCTCCAGTAGGCCAAACATAATTCTCGCAACTGATGTGGCCTAGTAGATAGGAGCAATTTCAGTGAGATAGCTCCAAGGAGCCATTGGGGCTTTACCAGAAAGAGGCATTTCATTACATTCATTGCTGGTTGTTTAGTTCATGATTGGCTATGAATACGTAAAGGATCACGAGTGAGGTTACTAGTACAAGTATTCTCTAGTTTTGTTTAGAAATTCAAACATCAGTTGATGAATTTACTAAATATAAGCAGTAAATATGTACTACCCAAGTACTGCAGTTTAAATATGTACAGTACTGTAAATTTTTGAGGTTGTCATTTAAAAAAAAAATAATATCTGGATTTAGTTTCATTATGTATTTGTATCATTTTAGGTATACTATTTATTTGTAATATGTAAATATGTATTTAGTGTAAAGATTTTTTATGAGAGCTCCAATTCTCTGTAGTTCCTAATGAAATTTTATGAACTTTTCTTGGCAGTGCTGTAATATATTCTAAAATCATAAGGAATCTTTTTAATTTTTGCCTACAGTCTGTAATGGCTCACTGTATATGGTTAGCAGATGAAGAGATCTACACACTTCGTGAACGAGGGGTTGGCATCGCCCATTGTCCAAATTCTAATATATCTATACGATCTGGCCTTTGTGACATACGTCGTCTCCTGAATCATGGCCTTAAGGTTGGCCTTGGTACTGGTAAGTTAAAGACGATAGTCGAGTAGTTTTCAATAGACTATAATGCATTGGGAATAATATAAGAGCAAGAAAATACCTAAAAATCTAACCAGAGTTTATGAAATTTATTATCTGAGCTGTACACAAGATTGCTTCTTTAGGCAAGATCCTACTGCTCTCTGGATAGGATAAGGATCAGTCTGACAGGTTAACATTGAGCACTGATCTGGTCAGAAACAAATCAAACTGCTGCTAGACATTGGAGAATACTCAATTCAGCCAGAATATGCACATAAAAGTGGAAGCTCTGTCGGTAAAGATGTGGGTGGTTGAACGTAAAAGTGAGCCAGCTTACATACATAAATACATGCATGCATGCATACATTCATATATGCATGCATACATACATACATTCATGCATGCATGCATACATACATACATACATACATTCATGCAGGGAAAAGTTGAATGGTTTCTCTAGTCTTTTGTATGAATGCATGCAGTTGCTTGGTGATGAAATGAGATACTTTACACAGTCTTTCCCTCCATTAAACTATGTGGTAAGACCATTTCAAAGTTCCTTGTCAGTGCAAGCAGAAAGTTTACTAGTTTACTAGCATAGTGTCCTGGATGAACTCTGGCCTTGGTAAGGGCAGCAATCGAAAGACTGCTCAAACAGTAGGGTTTTATTTGCTCAAAGTCCTACAGTAATACATGGTAAGGTATGTAAGACTAATCTAAATTTCTCTCATATCCACAGACTGTTCTGGTGGATATAGTTCCTCTGTGTTAGATGCTCTTCGTCAAGCACTCCAGGTTTCCAATGTACTAGCATTGGATCGTGATCAAGATTACCAGCGGCTTACCTTCAAAGAAGCATTTCGTATGGCAACTCTGGGAGGAGCCAAAGGTAACCATTTTTTTTTTAGGTTGAATGTTACGGTTGATATATTGCATGTTCTCTCTCATTAGCAGTAACTGAAAGTTGCTAGGAAGATAGGATACCGTTAATTGATAAATGGAATTATTTTGCTATGTGTAGAGAGTACTGAGATATTCCTTCATTGATATTAAGATATTAACCACTGTGCTGCGCCAACCGAAAAAACTCGTCTGTGGGGAAACTGCGCCAACCGAGAAAATACCTTTTGAATAATTCATACCCATTTAAAATGTGTGCGCGGTAGGTTGTGTACGAAATGTACTCTTGGGACCTCCAGTGAGAGGCAGTCATCTTGGAAAAAATTACCAGAATGCCCTAGGGCTGCTGGCTGGGTTAGTACTGAGTGTTAGCAACCATGGGTGGCGCATGTGCCTCTGGCTCCCAAACACCTGTCCAACGCGGTGTTGAAAGATCGCTCTGTCAGTGAAATTCAGACCTTATTTTTGAAGAATATAAGGGTCATGATATTGATCAAGCTAGGCGCAATAAACACCTAACACAAAGGTCAGATGCAAGTGATACAGCTAAGATGAGGACGATACAGCGAGCGTATCCAGTTGTAGCTCTTGAGCGCCATCCTTGTCATCTCCAATTTTTATAGATGATACATAGATGAATCATTTTCTGGGTTCAGTGATGATGCATCTGATACAAGTAACATACATACATTGCCCCTACACATATGGGGCATAACTGGCCGACCTCTCACAGTGTTCAAAAAGAGAACTCGCCAAGCACCTTCAAATGATATCTAATCAAATCAAAGTGACTCATGAATCAGGCTGCAAGCAGACATATCAAACAACCTGGGGAATCAGACCAGCAACTGGGCTTTGGGGACCTTGATCCCTGGAATCTTCAGCAGGTAGGTAGGTAAGATTAATATATGCTGTACAGAGGGTTGTTCTAATGGAAGTAGCACTTATGTTGGAATTAATAACGATACAGTATAAACAAATATTGTAGTTTAAAATATAAATGGAAATTCACTACAGATGTGTAAAGTCACCAAAGCCAGTTAACATATTCAGAACTAAAGCAGCATATAATAAGGTAATTATGGAGTATGAATGATGTATTGACATTCTCATTTTTAACTGTCATTATTGAATATTGAATTTTTTTTTTTCCATTTGTTTGCGCAAGAATGACAATGAACTGTGCTGCATGTATTCTCAGGATCAGTACATGTCAACACGCAATACACTGGTGCTATCAGATTGGGCCAGTATTTTTGAGGCTGTTCTGTTTAAACATTATTTTGTATAAGAGTTATTTTCTGATTGTTGTTGTCAAAATTTTCAGTATTAAACATGGAGGACCGCATTGGAAATTTTGAAATTGACAAGGAGTTTGATGCTTTGCTCATTGACGTATCTGCACCTGGATCAGCCGTTGATATCTTCAGTAAGGTAATATACAGATAATGTTTAGTTATTGTCTGTCTATATATACAGTATTTTGTATGAAAGAAAACATACTTTAAGCTTGTGAAAAGTTTAATTGTGAACATGTTCATTCTGCTTCTCCCAAACGTATAACTTTTCAAATCACCCAGAGGGATCTCGAGTACAGTTTGGTAAAATAACACACTGGTGTCACAGAGGCTGTAATGCCCTTCATTACAGCCTCTGAAGTTTCATTAAGCATCAATAACGTGCTTGGGAGATGGAATATATTCAGGTAAAACAAACAGGAGCTCTGTCTGTTCGTAAACTCAAATATTTCAAATTCCTAGCGACAAAACACTTGTGACTGCCTATATGAACTCTGATCACCTGTCAGCCAATCACTGCATCATCACCAGATGGCAGCACCTTACCTGGCCTCAAGTACATCTGTTCAGAACCATCCCATATATATCCTGCCAAGCAAAAGATGCTCTAGGCATAATAAAGGAAGCATTTCACAAATTGAAAGTATATTTTCTAAGCCAATTATTTTTACTGGTCCCATAGATATATCTAATGAAAGTTATCATCTTGGTTTATTTTTAAAGAAGTAAGAATGTTAAAAAAGATGATCACAGGAAACCATTGCAGTAAACAAGATATGCAAGAACAAATGACAAATTGTGCATTGTTACGTTCACTTCCCCGACCCTCCATAAATTACAGTGTAGATTAAAGTTTCTACAGATACAAATTTAGCATATTATTTAAAAATCATTTCCTATTTTATAAGTTACATAGCAAAATTCCATAAAAAGAAGCTTAATCACAATGAGGTATACCTATCATTATATTGGATTTCTGGGGGGAGCCCATTGTCACTCCCTGAAGCTATATGCTGAGATTGTTACCATCTACTGGGTCTCCTCAGCTGTATAGTTTTAAAGGCCTACCGGGGACCAGACCCAGAGTCCAGACATCTCAGAGGCACAGGGAGAGGTGACATTTATTTTTGCCACCTTACAGGAAAAGGCAACCAGAAAGTCAGCTAGTCAAAATAAACTATTGTTGGATTCGAAAGTAGTAATTCTCAAAACCTCAAACCTCAAAAACCGTTGAGCCTCCAAACCAGCCAAAAGAACTTCCCTAACCATGTAAACAGTTGAAGTTGAAGCCAGTAGGTTTTTTTTTTCACTTGCTGCGTTTCTGGTTGCCTTCCCTGGTGGTGGTATAAATAAATGCATAAATGTCACTGCTCCATGGTCCTCTGTGAGGGGGGGGGGGCCAGGTTCTGGCACTGGTACCCAGTAGGCCTATGGAACTCTGTGGATGATGCGACCTAGTAGTTGGTACCCATATCAGTATGATAGCTTCACAGAACAACTGGGGCTCGCGCCCAGAAATTGGTGTTTCATTAAATTCAATGTTAGTTTTTATATTATAATACAGCAAAATAAATGGTTGTTTTCAGGATACAATAGAAGATAAAATTCAGAAGTTTATATATACCGGTGACGATCGTAACATAGCCCGTGTGTATGTGGCGGGACACAGAATCTTGGACCTACACAACAAGAACCTTCACTAATTTCTTCAAAATTGTTAAAACTAAGTATATTAATCTTAATATGCAAGTGGTAATATTAATTGGTTATACCTAATAAGGATGTATTGAGGCAAGCTGGTCATACTGCCTAGTCAATGGAATCATGACTTTAAGCTTGTTCAGAACTCTGAAGGTTTCCAATATACTATCCAGCAAGCATGCTCTTAGGTGCCATGTCTTATTTTAGAAAAGTTATTATTTTACTAAAATGAATTGATAGTGATAAATATTGTATATAGTTGAAAGTGATCTATAAATACATTTGATAAATACATTACTGTATAGACCTCGTAAATATAAGTCTCCTACATTAGGATTGATGTTTACTAGCTTGTGGCAGGAGGAGCTGTTGCATCTAGGTAATACAGTATTTGTAAAAGATTTGAAATATTGCAGATATATTGCATTTTATTTTAATAAATTAGATATACTGATTCATGACATACATTATGTATAAGTGATTTTGTGCATACATACACAAATATATGTATATATGTGTATGCACACATGCGCACACACATACACAAAGTAGTGGTAGACGGTTGGAACAAATTAAGTGCGAAGGTGGTGGAGGCCAAAACCGTCGATAGTTTTAAAACGTTAAACAACAAAGTACTGGGAAGACGGGACACCAGGAGCGTGGCTCTCATCCTGTAGCTACACTTAAGTAATTACTTAGGTAATTACAAGTAGTTTCCTGGTAGATAAAATGATCTAACAGAAGGAATACAGAATTATATGAACATGTCTGCTGATGATGCTAAGCTACTAGGAAAGATAAAAGATCTAAATGATTTTCATGCCCTTCAAATTGATGTAGATAAAATAAGTGCTTGGAGCATCATGTGGCAAATGGAATTCATTGTGAATAATTGCCATGTTATGAATCGGGTAAAATAGACCACACACAACCTACAAATTACGTGGAAAGGACTTAAAGAACTCTAACAAAGAAAAAGATCTAAAGGTGGTTTTGGATAGTAGACTGTCACCTGAGGAACATATACAAGACATTATGAGAGGAGCATATGCATCGCTTTCTAACTTCAGAATCACTTTTAATTACACGGATGATGCTAAAGACACTGTTCATGACTTTTCTGACACCAAAATTGTAATATACAGCAGTTAAATGGTGCCCATATCTCAAGTAGCACATCAATAAACTGGAAAAGCTGCAAAGGCATGCTACAAAATGGCTTCCAAACTGAAAAAGAAGAGTTTTGAAGATATGCTAGAGGCATTAAATATGCTAAAGTTAGGAGATAAAAGAGAAAGGTGATATGATCACCACTAAATAATAACAGGCATTGACCAAATTGACAGAGGAACTCCTGAAACTAGCAACTTCAAGAACAAGAGGTCACAGATTCAAGCTAAAGAAACAAAGGTGCCAAAAAAAATTAGAAAATTTTCTTTTGCAACCAGTGGTAGATGGTTGGAATAAGTTAAGTGAGAAGGTGGTGGAGGCCAAAACCGTTAGTAGTTTCAAAGTGTTATATGACAAAGAGTACTGGGAAGGTGGGACACTATAAGCGTAGCTCTCGTCCTGTAACTACACTTAGGTAATTACTCGCACAAAACACATATACACACACACAAAAAAAAAAAAAAAAAACACAACACAAACTTTTATACAATACAATATTATAAATGAAATGGATGATGAATGCAGAAGTTAATATAATAAGACTTGCTTTCACTATGAAAATTAAAGAATTAAATGTGTGTACAAAGGGTAAATTAAAAATTTCTCTTAGACTTGCCTTGAATGTGAATCTTAAAATATATAATACTGTTGCAATGTATTACAATTTTTACTTATTTGGCACTACAGATTTTCCAATATGGCAGTCTTTAGAATGCCAACATTCTTAAACAAGTTCTCTGTAATATGATGTAACGTGGACTTTAATTAATTTTAACGACACGTGATTTGTGGAGAGCTACTGGATAAGATAACATAACTGAGGAGTGAGTAATCGTCATGTTAGAGAAGCAAAGTCAGTACTGCGACTTGACTTCATGGAGGGAGGAGGTAGAGGCGGCAAGGGAGCCACTGAATGACCATCTCTCTAGTAAAGCCAACTCAATATTTGTCAAGAAACGTGAGGACAATCATTAATTGTTTTTTTTCCATGTTGCAAAGCTTTCTTTTAACTTGTTTACATACCTTTAAGACACAAAATACACACAAACTATAAGAGATGGGACATGCATGAGAGTGCTGCTTTAATGGAAAAAGCTTGCATGACATTTGTTGATAAAAATATAAAAAAGTTTAAGTGTTTATACTGTATGTGGTCATCTTAACAAGACACTTTAAGCTTTCACATGTGTGCTCATCATCTGCCAGTGGACCAGTTGATTAGTACTAAAATGTAAACAGTTCAATGTTCTGAACTGAGTATAATGTATTGTTATGAAACATTTTATTTTTTATTTAACAGATATTTATATTAGTTTTCTAATATGCAGTTTTAATACAGTAAACCATCACATATTAGCAAGGTTTTCCCTTGGCCTTCATAAAACTACAATATGAATTGTGAATCCTCTTGTTAAAGATTTTAGGGAACGAATTGATTTTGTTTCAGAGACCCTGATTCCTAAAAGTCTTTTTGTACTTTGTCAGTAATGTCCAGTAATATCACTGATGAATAATGTTTATATATATATACAGTATATATATATAAATATATATATGATTCAGATATGTAATAAATAAAAACATAAACGGACTGTTCAAGTGACATGCACATCATCCACTACACAAAAAACATTCTTGTCTCTTAACTCTTATCAAAGTTCATTGTAAAGATATTTGAGTGACTAAAATCACTGTTATCTATTGGAAATGATTAATAACTCAACTATGAGAGAATTTATACTGAGCACTGTGTAATCTTATAAGTACTAATAGAGGTTTTAATTTTCAAACCTAAAGCAGATAAATCATGGATTATCTCTATTTTTCTGTAAACTTTTGCTATGAAAAGATGCTGCTTGTCCTAATTGCGTCTAAAAACCATCTAGTGTATATGTACAGTTTGGTGATACCACTTGACACAGCACAGTACAGTAATTATAAACGTGTGAATGTTAGTCGATTCCTTAATTTTCATGCAATATACTGAGTTCATTCATTGTATCAAACTCTGCTATACAGTACAAGTACAGTACAGCAATCATAGTCTATAACATTATTTATATGCTAAAAAAAAATTAAATTGCAATGTAAATAACTGAATTATGTTCTAAATTTAAAAAAATAATTTGAATTAATGTGGGAGGTATTGGCAACAATAATCAACATGAGACTGTGCAATAAGACACTACTGATGGCATGAGTAAATTTGTTCAATTAGTCAAATGATCACTGCCAAACATATCTATGTCCATGATGATGTCAGTATGTTTACAAACATCTCTACTGGAGCTACAGGCAAAGAAATTTTGAGTCATCATGCAAACTGAACGATACTAAAGGTGATAATGCCCTGTTCTTCATAAGTTTCATAAGAGGTGTTATATAAATGAAAGCAAGGTGAAAGGAGGAAATGAGGATGAAACATGGTATTACTGTCCTAGCAATCCCTTTCCAATTATTTAGATTGCAACAATTGCTCTGAATAATTATTATAAAAACACATAGAACAAAAATTGCAGAGTTGTGTTTTTGAGCACAAAATCTGATAAGTGATGTTATAAATCAACCTGTCCTCTTAAAAAGAACGTCGCATTTCGCTCGTATGCGTTACATAAGGCCAAAAATTGTGATGTACTGCCCCATTTTCTGTTTTGGGTCCTCAGACAGGTTAGGAGAGGACACTTTAATTTGACCATTTCCTTGGCGTTGGGAAACCTTAGGAGGACGGGCTGAATAATAATCTTGGTGGTTGTTACCAATACACGCCCACTACAGAGCCAAGAGTCACGTTCACACACAGCCTCAGGTATAGAACATGTACTAATGTTTTCAAATACACTTGTGCACTTACCTTATGTATTTTCCGTTTCTCGATAATTAACCACATTTTCCTTTGAATTATGAATCATTAGTGAAATGTAAAGTTTAATGACATTATAGTAACAATATAGGTTGTTTCTGGGAGGAGCCCCTTGGTGGTTTCCTAAAGCTATCCAGTCAGGAGTCATGTTTGACCTACCAGGTACCAGAACCATGACCTGACCCCCCCCCCCCCTTCCCTCACAGAGGCAGAGAAAGCAAGGGATTATTAACATCACCAGGAAAGCATCCAGAAAGTCATCGAAGCTTTACAGACAACTGTAAGGTTAATACAAAATAAAGCATAGAAATGGCTAAATGACTATGCAAACAATTTGTTCACAATAATTGGCTCATTTGAAACTAGTTTGAACCTGTTAGTAGCAGTGGTTCATCACTAGGTGCCCTGGAGCCGTCAGTCTTGTTGCTTATGTGGATGATTCCAGTAGCGTGCGCCTAGGTCACCATCCTTCTCAGTTGGTCCCACTGCTTCTCAACTAAGTGCACCCCTGTGATGGTGCTTTAAGAGAGGGGGGGGTATCTGGCCCATTTTGTCATCTCCTGGTCCCACGATTTGTGAGCCACTTGAGTCATCTCCCTTGGCATTTGGTGGAGTGTGTCATCCCTTCCTTTGTTCCGGGTTCAGAGTTGTGGGGTCATGAGTCCTCCCTATTGCTGTGCACAAGGTCATTACAACATGGTTGGATTTGGGTGTGGTCAAAAAGACCTCGTCTCTTCAGTGGTGTCAATTTGGACACACAGCATGGTGCGTGAGTACAGCTTGCTTTCCTGCTCCTTTGGCTCAGTGTCCAAACTTGGGCATTTTCCATGTCTCTGCCTCTTTATCAGCAGACCAGTCCAGCAACATATCTCACTGATTTGTCCTTCTCCGCTCTACACGTCCATTCACAACTTTAGGAAAAGGGTCGACAAAGAAATTGATTGTTAGAATAAGTGAGGCTTTAGTGCAATCGGTATAAGGCAAATAGGCTGGGCATAAAGAGCTAGACCTTACTTCCCCGTAGGCACTTTTTTTTTTTAATTTATATATATATATATACAAGAGTTATTACATGTAAAGCCACTAGCAAGCATAGGATTTCAAGCAGGTCCTTAATCCTAATTTTCCTTGGCATATAACCCCCCCAAATCGTTTAACAACCAGGTACCCATTCAATGCTGGGTGAACAGAGGCTGCAGTTAAGAATTGGAGCAAAGTCAATCCTCCCCAATCAGGATACGAATCCAGGCCAAAGTGCTTGTGGAGTATCGGGCGAGTGCCTTACCACTGCAAAAACAGGGACTGGCACTGATAGGGAAGTATGTCTAGAGTTTCTGATGCTGGGTCAATTATTAATTGTGTTGCAAGCAGTTGATTGGGGCTCCAAGCCACCTTGTAGTGGCAAGCAGCACAAATAGGTTTGAACTACATTAGTTTTGAATAAACCAACTGCTGAGAATGAATCATTTGCAGTCATTTCGCTGTTTTAATATTCCGTTTTCTATGAGCATTGCAGTTGTCTGTAAAGCTTCACTGACTTTCTGGATACTTTCCCAGCATGGGTGACACTAATACTCCCTTACTCCTTGCGTCTCTGGAACTGAGCCAGGTTCTGGCTCTGGTCCCCAGTACGCCAAACAGGAATCCAGTAGTGGATAGCCATCTCGGTGAGATACCTTTAAGGAGCCACTTGGGGTTCTACCAGAAAGAGAGAGTTTCATTACATTTAATGCTGGTTTTATTACCAATAACATTTCTTTGAGCATATGAAGATATTAGTTATTTTTAGGGAACTTGTTACAGTAGTTGTATAACAGTTGTATGGTGAAAAATTACTTAAATGCTTGTACAGTACCTTTGAACTGTGAAGATATTGAACTGTTCTTAAGGTGTTTATTATCTAATTTATACAAGGAGCTCTGTACCTCAAATTCATATGCAGTTATAAATGTTAAGTTGAGAACAGCAAAATATCTTGGTGCTAACTCTTGAAAAAATTAGATAAGTACTGTACTGTATTTGGGTATAAATTTTCTTAGTGTGGTTAACAAGTGCAGTACAGTATATGTAAATGACATCAAAATTTATTCTTTACAAATTTTTCTGTAGATATCTTAAATATATTTTTGTACACATTACTGGTCTAGTAATACCAGTACTAATTAATTCTTTACTCAATTTCAATAAACATCCTTATGTCCTTTTCATCTTTTGCTTAAGTAATGCTGCTTCATTCACCTAGTAAATATTCCAGAAGATATTTGATCTTTAAATGGAAGGATAGACATGTATGGCTGAACTTTGAAAATACTCTATTTTCATTGAGTCTCTAATTTGGATGTGGTTTAGCTATCACAATTACTGTATGTGTTTTTATAATGCCTATGTCCAAGCGATGGTCATTGGTGCTGCCTAAGGTAAGGATCTCCTGTCTCATATGACCAGGACCACATACAGTCAGGCAGCACAACATTCTGGCCATGGTATCACAAAGATCTTTTAAACCATCCCTGCATGCCCATTGAAAATACAGTGAAATTGCTGAATAAAAACTCAAACCAATGTATAGGGCTCATGCTAAGTACTAGTTTGATTGGCTGGCTACCGATGCTGAGCACTGTAGCGATCTATCTGCTACTTTGGTTAGGCAACATGACCTACAATTTCTCCAATGCCTCATCTCTTTCACACACACACACACACCTACTGGGGATAAATTACAGCCAGCCTAGACATCAATATACACACACTTGACATAAGTATGGGCTTTCAAATAATTCGTCCTCCACCATCTACGAAGTCGGCTCCACAAGTGGCTTCTATTACCAACATTGAACTCTTGGCACTGACTGCAAACACTGGACTTTTATCACCCTGCCATCTAACCTATCGGTAAGCAGCATTACATTTTTGGCTACAGCCATCTCTGTAATCTTTTTAGATATAATAATTGCTGTGTTAATGTGTGCTGTACTCTTCTCTGGGTATCATTGTAGACCTACCAGGTGCTAGTATTGTGCACACCTCAGCATTTTTATACTATGCCCACCTCACTTTTCTCTTTCATTTCAATTTTCAGGTAGGGACCAATTCAGTTTTTGACTTGTGTTCATCCTATTAGCCATAATTTTCTGGTTTGCATGATACCTCCAGTTAGTGTTCAGATGGGTGTCCAGACTAACAAGGCAGGCTTGGGTTTTTCTTCATTGACTCTTTAGCCTCTTTTTGATAATCTTGCAAGGACATTTGAAAAGATCTCTGTGGTTTGTGAACCAGAATGTTTTCTTGCTGGCTGTACAGTACAGTGCAGTAAATGATAAATGATCTGAGACATCCAATGTAGGAGAAAATTATGTTATGGAGCAACTAAAGTTTTTTTTTTTATTTACTCAAATCTTGTTTTTATCGACATAAAAGATGTAACTAATGTGCTCAAAATGAAGACATCCAATTGATCAGGGTGGATTGTGCTCTCATTTCAAGTTTAACAAAAAACTACTGAAGCAGATTGTAGCCTAGGCTTATCTCCTGTCTGCTCCCTACATCCCTCCTCGACCAAATTGCTCGACCTCGATCCATTCCTTACATTATATTTCTTATATTTAACAATGAATAAATATATTAATGTGACATAAGACAGTCACAAATTTTCAGATGCTCTTAATTCCTTCCAGCTCCAGTTTGCTGTTACAAATACCTTCCACATTAACACACACACACACACACAAAATAAATTAACTTGACATATAAGCAATGTTCATGGCTGGTTGGTTCCAGAGTTGGCCAAACTCTGCCCATTTAGATAGTGGGATAAGGGAAAAAAATGGCCTAAGCTAGAATCTCCTCAGATATGAATTATCAAGGATATTCTCTGGTTTGCTATAATATTGGCCTAACTAGATAAAATACACTAACTGTAAGAGTATGGTAAAAATAATTTTTGTTCAATTAAGATGGTAAACAAATATTATTTTCAAAGTATGTAATAAAATACAAAAGTTTTAATCTAATTAAAATGATGCACATATAAAGCCTAAATAAATTGCATGCATGGCAAAATATATGTTTTGGTATAACTATTGTATAACAATACAGTATTCATAACTGAACAATACAGCACTGTATAACACAACTGAACCTCGCACCCTGTTCGACATGTAGGAGTGGATTGAATTTTTCCACTTGTTCAAGAACCTCGCATCCAACTTGATCCACGTGGGAGTGTCACAGCACATGTACCATCACCTCTTATTGTTAAGGCTATGGTTAAAATATGATCTCTATGATATTCAAGAGTTATACTAGCTTATCATTAATGTATTGGTATAGTTGTGTATAATGTATGAAGTTGTCAACTTGATGCACCATAGATTATCCTGCCTTAAGATGGAAAAGTTCCAAAATTTTGTAATTGGAACTAAAATCATAACATTTAATTTACCTGTACAGTACTCCAGTTCACAACTAACATTTAATCCAGGACCTTTTAGAGAGCCAAGCTTATGTCTTTGGCATATTCTTGTAAACGTCATCCGATCTTCAATTTTTAATACACTTACGAGTGACCTAAGTGGGGTTTTAATTTTTTTTACTTTGCAACATGCATGTACCATTTCTTAAGTAAATTTTTCTTTATATGCATCAAACTTCATTACTATATGATATGGCTTTACTGCATGGTTCTCTTTGTAATATAATGATCATCTTTAATATATTGCATTTTATTATAGAAAAGCTATTTGTGTGTGATTGAAAATTAATTGTTTGCTACACTAGCTAGGATTTGAATCTACTACACAGTAATACCACATAACCCAGATCAACATTAGCAGGATACAGGGTACCATAATACCCTCTCCAGGTATCATCTTTGCCATCCAAGCCAATCTGAAGCAACATAATGCCCTTAGACTTGGTTATGTTGGCTTTGTTGCCAAAACCATCCAGTGGAAAGATCTTAAAGCTGAAATCGACCCTGTTTTTGAGATGTTATGAGAGGTTTTCAGTATATGCATGTGTTCAAATTATAATTGAGTATCAATATGCTAGATAGTTTAGGTAGCAAGTTCAAAATTCTGTATCCCAAGAGTGTTCATCTGTGTTCAGGCTACAGTAGTACAGTATAGTTTAGATGGCAAAGATAACACTGTCCTAAACAAGATCATGTTGCTGAGCAGTGGGTTTGAGGCCACTGTTTGTACCTTCAATATATTTATTTTATATACATATACAGTATTGTATACAAATAATGCTAAAAAGTTGTAGGGGTTTCTGATGTACGTTAACTATTCAATCTTAGTATGTAATAAATAAAAACAGAACTACAGATCATATCTCTATATTTAATAGTCTCCCTTGACTGTAATACACTTATTCCACTTGTTCATCAAACTCACTTAGCCAGTATTACAGAAGTCTTCCAATTGCTTCTCAAACCTTGCCTTGGTAGCCTCTTTGGCTCATCTCAAAAGTGTTGCCCTTAGGTGGGACTTCAGGTTTCAAAACAGAAAATAGTTGCATTTGGCAAGATCTAAGTTGTATGGAGGCTGGTAGAGTTCCTCAATACCACAGTCGTGTATTGATGCCTGTGCCACTTTTGCATTTCTACACCCCATGAATTGTCGTGGAGCTTCAGCACATCTCTAGTCAGCATTCTGTCATTTCTCATTGATGTCATGCATGCATTAGGCCAGCATAATAGTCACTGGTAATTGTTGTTTTATGTGATGGCTAGTTGATCAACAGAATTTCTTTTGCATCACTGAAAAATGAAAGCCATGATCTTGCATTGACTTTTTATGGGATTGAGAAATTGCATGCTTCCATTGCATGGATTCCATCTTTAACTCAATCTTAAATTTGAATCAAGGTCAATCATTTTAATCATTTTAAGATCTCCGTTAGAAGGCAGGAAGAAAAATTGGCTGTATCAGCTTCATACATTTAAAGGAATTCGCAATTTAAAGCCTTCCTTTTGTGCCAATTTGAGTATTTATGTTTCAAGGAATAAATGTTGCAAAATCTTTAGAAGTCTCTTAACTATTCATAGACGATGGTGTAATACCTCCAAGTGAAATGCCAACCTTACTGCTAATTTCACCAACTTGTCTACCCGTCAAGCCTATGACTTGGATTACAGCTTCCTTGTTGGTGGCATTTGATGACATGCTATAAATTTTGTGCCCATGCTTGAACCCTCGTCCCACCTTGTCATGGTGGCATAGTGGTAGGGGGGCCATCTGTGCCATACACATTAGTGAATTTCCTTTGCTGTTTAAACAAATTTGGCAAACATACGTTCAACAATAAATAGATTCACATTATTAAAATACACTAAAATAAATACAAATGTATGGAACTCTGTTATAAAACTTAGAACCTGACAGACTTTATTGTAAAGTATATAAAGCAGCTGCTGTATTCTAGAGCTGCACCATTGTTTGACCCCTGTTCACATATTGTGAACATACACAATTTTTAGCTTTATAACTTATTTTTGCATTATGCAAATATACAGTAGTTTAAATTTTCAGTTGCATTGTGTATAATGGAACATAAACATGTTAGAGCGAAGCTGTGTTGGCAAGTCATGCAGCTAAAAGGGTCCTGTGAGAAGACTAGTTAAACTTTGGTCTAATGTATTTACATGCATTTTATTTTTCAGAATTTTCTACTAAATATAATTGATTTTGTCAGATAATTTACATGTGGGTGCAACATAACTCTCTAAAGTTTACAGTCCCCTGAAGACAAATTTTATTTTCAGAGCTGCAGTGCGTGTGTGAGACTAAGATGTACATATGAATTACATATTTAGGCATACATATTTTATGATTATATTTTGATACAACACAAATGTTTTCGTGTCATTTCAAAATGGTCTTTGTTATTTCTGTATGTACCTTCAATTTATTTATTTTATATACATATACAGTATTGTCTACAAATAATGCTGAAAAGTTGTAAGGGTTTCTGATGTATGTAGAAACTAGCCTAAATGAGTTGTAGCTTATTTCTGTATATTTTAAATTTTGTATACTTATATTTTAATGTAAATAACAACATTTTGTCATTTATCTAAAATTTTAGTTGTAGACATGCATAAGTATTAATACAAAAATATATACTGTATAATGTTTGTGAAATAATAAAGCTAGGTTTGCAAATACTGTGGACATGACTTATGGACACATTATAGCAGTTAAAAGTAAATGCTCTTACAATGAGCTGGGTGGCATTACCGCAACACAATACCACCAGAAGGCACTATGTACCTATGTACTTTACTAGCAGCTGAGTAACTAATTTTGAACATATTTCTGGGGCTCTGAACAATAATGTGATAGTTTCAAATCAATATTTAAAAAAGAAATCAAATTTGTAAAAAGAATCTGAAGTACCTTCAGGTTTCACATGAGTCATCAAGTACGACAGTTAGGCCACAATTGGAATTGTTCGTTTTGGATTTAAAAATAACCTTAAGAACTTGGTGGCTGCTTTTGCCTTACAAATGATGCTTTCCTATATTAAATAATAACAAATACTCATTAACATTCCTCCTATGTACAATATTGATTAAGAAATTCATTCTTTCTTGAATTTCAACTATGATGCATTGATCTTCCTAGATATGTGTGAGTGAGATCAACTGTATTTTTGGGTAACTATTGTATATCACATATGATACATTCAGCTTTGACCCATACATTTTCTATTTGGCTAAGCTGTTATGCAAATACATTTGCTAAATAAAGTTAAAATTATTTATAAACTTGTATTTTCTTCTATCCTCTTGATATATTACACCAGCTATCCATATAACAAACCTTAACACTGTACTGTATATTGTGTAAGTAGTGTGTAAATATAGTGTAATGCTTGTTACTATGGTG